TGGCACAAATCATTTTCATTCACTGTATGGTAAATTTGTAAAGTGAAATTAAAATCACGTAAGGGACTTTACAGTTATGATTGAAATGCTTTCAAATCGCAGCCAAACGCTCTGGTTCCAGCAGACTTCAGAAGGCATTTTGACCATGACTGTAAAGTCCCTGAAGTGATTTTGATAAAACTCCACAAATACACCACACATTAAGTGAGGATAATTTGTGCCAAATATGAAGTGCCAAAACACTATGGTTAGAAAGTTGTTAGGTTTTATTGCTGTGGCAGTCACCTCTGACTGCGTTTTTCGTATTTTCCTAGAACAACTGTCTTTTGGGCAGGTGTCCAATTCATCATGTTTTATAATTTACTAAGAACAGGAGCTATACATACACAATATCTTCTTTTTTTCCTGAAAAAAATGAACATAATTGAATCAGTATTTTCCAAGATATAGTGATTTTCCATTCGCGTTTTTCGTATTTTCCTAGTACAACTGCCTTTTGAGCAGCTGTACAAGACATCATGTTTTACAACTAACTAACAACAGGAGCTATACATACACAGTCTCTTCTTTCTTTCCTGAAAATATGAACACAATTGGATAGGAATTTTTCAAGATATAGCGATTTCTTTGGGTTGCGTTTTTTTTAACACCCTGTGCTATCAATTCAACGTAATTGATCACTGATTAGTTGAAAAGTTGAAATTCATGTTCGCCCCAAAATATCAAAACTTTGTTTTTTGCCTAAAATTCATGTATCAACACACCGCAGTATGTAATAAAACGTCAGAAATCTGATACATCAGTTATCGCAAAAAGACCCGTGTGCACTGTAATATTTCTATTATCTACATGTAGTATAATTGTTTTGTCACTTAACGCAACAGCGTAACGTCACACTGGTGGATCCAGAAGCTAACGAGGTGGGCTAAATTTCAAATCTTAAGGGGACTCATCTCTAACCCTTACGACAATGGTGATACACCTGCAAATGACAGAACAGAAAATAAACATCTTCAGGCAAAGCTTGTTTGTTAACTTCACGTTTGACAAGTGTTCTATAATTAAATGTTAATGACGCTGAATGACGGTATGTGTCACTTTACGACATATTCAAACATGACCGTGCTCTATTCGAATTTCTCAACCAATCAGAATGCAGCATAGCCAATATAGAACGTTCTCTAATTCGCCATAGATGCACGACCATGCTCTATTCAATCTGCAATTTGCATTGTTTTGAGTGACGTCACATCTCAGCTGCACATCTGGGGCTCTGTCCGGGGATAGCTGTTCTTTTTTACTCCCTCCGTAACTACTGTAACTATTTAACTATGGCTGACTTCAAGTTTATACACCGTATAAAATCTAAAACGGGGAGTAAAATAGAACAGCCCAAACAAATTCTAAAATTTTCCGGCCAACTTCAGAATCTTGACAGCATGCGTATTCTTCCTTCATGCCCGTTCCACAGACACGGCTTTTACTAATTTTTATGTTTGAATCGGAATAAATAATGATAGGCCATTCAATATGGTGAAATTCAGCACTCGTTGGACAGAATGTTAGTACAAATGCACTCACCTTCGGTTCGTGCTTTGTACAACATTCTGTCCAACTCGTGCTGAATTTCACCATATTGAATGGCCTATCATTATTTATTCCTTAAGTAACTCATAGCAACTATGAGCTCCTCACTCGAAGCAGTGTTTTATCATGACGTCATATAACACTCTTGTTCACGAATTCTTGAAATATGGTACCATCATCTGTGACGTCAGTCACACATTGCCCCATCAACAATTAAACAAACAAATGAACTATACGTCACTGATTTCCCAAATAATTGCATAATTTGGGTGTTTGCTTTGTTTTCTTGTATTCGTTCAAGTTTAGTTCGCTATATTCCAGCAGTATAACAAGCATGCAAATGTTTTACAGACATGGCAAACCAGCATGTAACTTGCTTTTTTTCTTTTTTCCACTAAATGCCATTTGTATGAGCAATTCATATAAGGTTTCATCATATATTACCTTTGAAATCAAAATGATAAGTATCCCATATATTACTGATGAATAAGAAAATCGTTTTAGCCTACGGTATAGCCACCGAGTTGTGTGCCTCTTAATAACATCTAAAATAAAAAAGTTTCACAATCGATTTTTTACTTCAAATAATATCAAAGTTTATTGAAATAAAGAGGCGATTGAAATTCAACATGGCGTCAAGAACCATTTACAAATGTTAGTCTTATAAGGCTTTAATTTATTTACCCTCATTTGAATTTTCTTGGAATTCAAACTATTCAGATAATAAAAGGCATTGAATTTGTATCACTTTAAGCGATTATAAAATAATTCGCATGCCCAATAACACGTATAGCGAGATCATACCGTTTCGAACTAAAAAAAAAATTGTTGGTGAAAATCGATGAAATTCTTGAAAATATAAGAAAAAGCCGAAACTCCGAAAATAAATAGAAGAAAAAATCGACGGTGGAACCTTTTTATATTTTCAGATGTTATTTAGGGGTACGTGAACTATTGTTTAAAACAATAAAAACAATACGTCAATGTTCCAGTTATTCCCTAAAAATGTCAAAGTTTATGAAAATTGAAAGTCAATTAAAATCTGATATGGCGTCAATTGTACTGTCGAATTTGGGTAAGGGGTCACAGGCCTTTACAAAGATTGGTATAATAATGCTTTATTTACCTCGAATCGAATTATCTTGGAACTCAAACTCTTCAGATAATCAAACTGAAGTTAATCAAAGACATTTTTAGCTATTGTATAATGATTCACATGTCTTATACTCGTATGGCGAAACTATACCGGTGAGCAATGTAAACATTTCTTGTTGGAGATAATCGATGAAATTCTTAGAAATATCAGAGAAAGCCGAAATTTTGAATCTAAATAACAGAAGAAATCGACGGTGGAACCTTTTTATATTTTCAAATGTCATTTAGGGGTACATGAACTGTTGTTTAAAACAATAAAAACAATATATCAATGTTTTATTTTTCTCCTCAAAGAATGTCAAAGTTTATGGTAATAAGGTGATTTAAGTTCGACATGGCGTACTTTTTATTGCCGAACTTGGGTGAGGGGTCACAACCCTTTACAAAGGTTGGTCTTATGATGCTTTATTTACCAGAATTTTAATTTTCTTAACATTCAAACTATTCAGATAATAAAAGGCATTGCATTATTATCATTTTAAGCGATTGTAAAATGATTCGCATGCCCAATAACGCGTATAGCGAGATCATACCGTTTCGCACTAAAAACATTTTTTGCTGGTGGTAATCGATGAAATTCTTGAAAATATAAGAAAAAGCCGAAATTCCGAAAATGAATAACGGAAAAAATCGACGGTGGAACGTAATTAAATTTTCAAATGTTATTTAGGGGTACGTGAACTATTTTTTTAAACAATAAAAACAATATGTCAATGTTTTAGTTTTTTCCTCAAAAAATGTCAAAGTTTATGAAAATTGAAAGCCAATTAAAATTTGATATGGCGTCAATTGTACTGCCGAATTTGGGTAAGGGGTAAGAGGCCTTTACAAAGATTGATATAATAATGCTTTATTTACCCCGAATCGAATTTTCTTGGAACTCAAATTCTTCAGATAACCAAAGTGAAGTTAATCAAAGACATGTTAAGCGGTTGTATAATAATTCACATCTCTTATATGCGTATGGCGAAACTATACCGATGAGCAATATAAACATTTCTTGTTGGAGATAACTGATGAAATTCTTAAAGATATCAGAAAACGCCGAAATTTTGAATCTAAATAACAGAAAAAATCGACGGTGGAACCTTTTTATATTTTCAAATGTCATTTAGGGGTACGTGAACTATTGTTTGAAACAATAAAAACAATATGTCAATGTTTTAGTTTTTTCCTCAAAAAATGTCAAAGTTTATGAAAATTGGAATACAATTAAAATTTTATATGGCGTCAATTGCACTGCCGAACTTGGGTAAGGGGTCAAAACCCTTTATCTAAGCTGTTCTTACTATGCTTTATTAGTACCCATGAAAAATAATTGGCATCAAAAGTCTTCAGCTTATCAAATGCCGTAAATTAAAAACAATCTTGTTGGCCGTGTGACGATTTTCCTATCAATCATCGATAAATTGAGAACGTGTCGCTTTTAAAGCAAGCGTATGCTAGTGAAGCGGGTAAATTGAGGAGCTTTTTCCGTAACGTCACACCCATCTTTCAGACGATATAGTGAACTATTTTGAGGGCTAACATCCAATGTTTTTTACATCAATTAAAAGCATATATAATACCCTTCAGAAAAAAGAAACATTAACAGTGCTTTCAGAGTACCCCAAAATCGGCTAGGTTAGAGATGAGTCCCCTTAAGGAATTCTATGCGTTAAAAATAAGAAACTATTGCTTCTGGGACAAGACCAAACGACTTTTACATATTCTTTACCCTAACTATTTTGTAATTTATCAATCAACACAAGTATACATACCATATTTCAGCAGATATCTAAAAAATCATGGATTATAAAACCGGAAGTGTTTTCTCTGAGGAAGTTGTCGTGAATACCTTTCAATCCTCAGTCTAAATATGGCTTTTCAAGATTCAATAGACGACTTTGAATGGACCTGCATGCATAGTTCGAAAATAAAATCATCAGAGAAGGTTTTAAACCATGAAATCGACTCTAAAGACTATTTTACAATATGCCTTAACACGCGTTTTTTTTAAATTTTGAAAATTAAAGGCCCATTGTTTGATAATTTGGCCTATTATCAAAAATATGTCCCCATTTTTCCCCATATGTCCCAATTTTTCTGGGCATATCCTGAATTTGGTGGAAAATTGAACTTAATTTTGGCCAAACACTAAATTTTGAAATGCCTGTATTTTTCACATTTTAGGGTAGAACCAATATACTTGGAGTATCAACGTAACTTTGGATAAGCTCTAAAATGATATATGACAAATACTATGACGACACTGGTATATGTCTGTCTTGGGGGCATACTTTGGGGACACCCTGTAGACCTGTAGACTTAATAAGCTGATATTCAGTATCTACTTACTTGAATCAATTGCCATTTCGGTGATGAAGCTTATCTGGTAACAAAACTGTTACATCTACTATAGTACATATCATTTAATCTCAATTTCGACGGAACTTATCTATTTCAGTTGTTCCTGTCATATAATCATGTTAGACTAAAGTTATAGCATCCCTTTAAATGTGATGTGACGTCATAGCCTCGTTCTGGATTCAATAAATGACTAATCAATATGAGGCCTTAAATTGTCTGCTAGTTGGCCAGAGACCAATATTCCAGCAGAATTTGAGGATAGAATCGATTTTTCATTCTGCTTAGGGCAAACAATGATTTGAAATCACTTTCAACCATTCTGTGAGTATAAGAATGGTCATAAGAGGCCCGTGGAGGGTCACGAATGAAAGAAAGCCCTCTGAAATTCCGTCAAAATTGCAGGTTATTTCTTCATTTTTTGCTAAAATTGCATGATTTTCAGGGCCCATATCTCAGTAAAATTGCTACAATGTAGCAATTTTTCATTTTTACAGGCTAGATACACGTGTCAGGTCGACAGAAACAGTAAGCATGTATGATTTTTAAATTGCTACATTGTAGCAATATTTATTTCAAAATACAGGTGTGAGGGAAACTGCAATTTAGTTAGATTTGGGCGAAAATGGCCAAATTTCAGTCAAAATCCTCGGGACACAGGGCCTTTGTCTTAGATTTAGTCAATGATGCAACTCTTAGTAGAGATAGTCAGGTTAGATTTGTGACGTCACAGTGGCAAAGTTAGACTAGCATATTTAGACGTATTTGGGGTAGGGCAAATTAACCCTTTCTAGCCTAAATGGATAAATTTTTCACATATTCAGCCAATTTCGACGTTTTTATGCATTTTTGAACTAAAAATGATATTTTCCGCCAAAAAAAGTTGCAGAGACAAAAATCAGTGTGATGTCATAAGACATTAAGGTATGAGGTTCCATATCCATCCGCCAAAAGGTATGACCCCTATATAGTCCATTTAAAAACCTGTGGTATTGTTCTAAATAACGCCATAGTTGACTTCTAGGGTACCTAGTATGCCACTATTTGGTATCAAAATGAAGAGGAGGAGTTCAACTTTCATTTGAATTACGAAAATAGCGATGTATGTCAAAAATAGTTCCGACGTGAGCATGTCTACTACGCGTTTGCTCGTCATATCAGAATTGAGGAAGTGGTGGCAAACGCGAGTTACAATAAATGGACGCTGATATCTCAAAAAGTAACCTGACTCCCTATAATATGATGTAGATCAATCGAACCCCTATATGAACAGGTACATTTTGATATATAACACTATGGGGGGTAAGCGTTTTATAGTTGGTCACGAACGCCATATGTGCAAAGTATTGTTATGAATTTTCGAATTTGGTGTTGGATTACGGTACTCATACCTCAAGGAGAAACCGTTTCCGTTTATGTTCTGTTACAACTCGGTGTTTATTGTCTCATTACAGTTCCAACTTGTGTTAAATCTCATAGTATGTTTCTAATCAGTTGAAACACTACTTGAACTTATTTAACTTAGTTCAAAATTGCCCTCTACACTTTTTAATTTTTAAACGAAGTTGCAATATCACTTTCACTGATATATCCTTCTTTCGAGATCAGCCACCAGGTTCTCAGATTCGATCCCTGAAAACACACAAATATAGTACAATCCTTAGCCCCTTGTCACTTCAATATGTATGTGTATAAGTTATATCGTTGAAAAACTAGAAAAACAGCAACTCAACGGAGTAGCAAATCCCACTGAACAAAACACATTTTGATAAATAGCGGCCATCAGGAGATATTAAAATACGTGTACATACATCAGAGATACATCAGAATTTTCACCGATTTAAGCATTTTGGTGACCATTTAAGAGTTTCAAAGGCACAAATAATAATGACAATATATTTTAGATCTAATAAAGTATCATATCACCATACTTTAAAGAAATATTTAAGTAACAGCGAATTCTTGCTAGGCAGCCAATTTGAATTTTCTGGGGCACAAATCAGAAAAACAATACCATAAATGTTACCTACCCCATACTCAAATGAAAGGTAATTTAGAGTAGAATGCAAATATCACTTTTCTGATTTGGGCCTCGTAAAATTCAAATTTATACTCAAATTAAAGGAAATATTATTTGTAGTAAGATAGCTAGTAAGATGACCTGGTAAATCATAAATCATAAGGCAAGCTACTTTGAAAATTCTTTTCATCTGTTTTTAATCAACACAGAACATAGCAGAAAATGTTTGGGACATCAATTTGAATGACAGCTTTTATATACAGATGGGATAGGATAAGGATGTGCCATTTGATAACAATTTGGTAATTCAATACCACAATATAGTCGTTTTGCAACTCGATATAATGAAACAAATAGCAAACATTTTTCCTACATGTTCCTTTAAATCTGATAAAGCATGTTCACCATTTCGACTAATATCTTCTTAAACATTGAAAAAATTATTTTTACATGATTTACACGAGTTACAAGTTTTACAAGATTTACATGATTTACAGTCTACCATTTTATACTACAATATACAGGGTGTCCCGAAAGTATGGGGCCCCCCTAGGCAGACATATTCAAGTGTCCTCATAGTATGTGTCATATATCATTTTGAAGCTTATCCAAAGTTACATTGATTTGCCAAGTATCATGGTTTAACTCCCAAATCGGAAAAAGTTACAGTCACTTTAAAAGTCAGTGTTTTGTCAAAATAAAGTTCAATTTTACACCACATTACAAGTCAATGTGTCCCCCCTTGGCCATATTAACAGCAGCAATTATTTTCAGATATGACCTTAAAAGCCCTTCAAATAGGGGTGTGGAATTTTATAACCCTCTTAAACCTGTTAAGGGACTTTAGAAGAGTTTCCTTAGAGTTTCTACCCTTTCTACCCTCAACGTTCTCTTTTTCCAACTCAATATCCCTCTGACCCGAAAAGAAATGCTGCTGTTAAGATGGCCCGGGAGGATTGAACTTAATTTTGACCAAACACTAAATTTTGAAATGCCTGTAACCTTTTCCATTTGGGAGTTAAACCATGATACTTGGCAAATCAATGTAACTTTGGATAAGCTTTAAAATGATATATGACACATACAATGGCGACACTGGTATATGTCTGCCTAGGGGGGGCCCATACTTTCGGGACACCCTGTAGTTGTTTTGCAACTAAATATAATCTGAGATATAATGAAACAAACCAGCATAGATTTTCCTACATGCTCTTTTAAATCATATAAAGCCATTTTCAATGTTTTTTGCTATTTCGACTTCATATCTTAAACATCGAAAAATGTATTTTTACAAGATTTACAAGATCTACACGTTTTCCAAGTTTTACATGATGATTTACAGTGTACCATGGCTTCTTTGACCTTTTGACTTCTTCTGAGGTAAAAAGAAAAACTATGTACTATTTAAAAGGAAATATGAACTGAAAATTATAGTTTATCAGGCTCATTTGAAAGGTATTTAAACCTCTTGATTTTCCATTTTCTCCTATTTCAGACATACAGATGTAAATGTCATGTCATCTTTAGTTTTTCCTTTAGAAATATTGCTTGGAATCTCAAATTTCTCCTTCTGAAGTGCATATTAATAATAATATTGTATGTGAGTTTTACGTTGTTCTCTGAGGCAACCAGATCCTGGTACAGTATCTAAGCAAATGACATAGGATTTAAGCCTTGGGCTCGGTGAAATGTGGAAGGACCATTCCTTGAAGGCGTTGCATTCCAAAGTTTACACAAGATGCATAGCATCGAATGTTAATTTTAGGACAAACGCCTGAAAGGAATGGTCATTCCACAATACATCGAGTTTGGGGCTTAAGTTCTTTTCACACATTGCAAAATATTTTCTACCTTGTCACTAAATGATACGACATTATTAAAAGAACATTATTTTCAATGAAACTTTTTGCAAATGTCAATTGCAAGTTGACAAAGCATCAATTTCAATCTGAGTCAAGTTGTCACCTTGACAACCACATGAGGAATTACCTTTGATGCGGTGATTGGATATATAATGCACTTCAGTTGTATGAAATACTGTCTTCGGATTGGCTGGAATCGGGCATACCTTTCCTAACTATGTGTGAATGTGCTTATTCACACGTGGCTAGGCAAGGCATATCAGATTCAAGCAGTATTTCAAATAATGTGAATACTTGATATTACAACCAAGCACCCGGGCCATTTTTAGATTCAGTGAAATATCTTCTTTCTGGGAAAGAAGGAGGTACGGATTCAGGACAACTGCTTAGGAGGATGCAGTTGACTGAAAACTTATAAATTGTTTCAAAGGGAATAACAAGACAGTCGCTAATGCAGGTCAAATGCAAAATGTTACTGTTGACTTACCGTACTATCACACCAAACGAGTTCTCACTACGTTCTCGAAAACGGGCTTCACCTGTCCGTAAGACACTTTTCTCCAAGGGGGGTGCGGTTTTTAGCTTACTAAAGAGAATATAAAATTGTCATTTTTTGCCGCGTAAATCAAATCGCGTAAGACAGAGGGGTGGGGGCAGGTCAGTTACTCCCTATATTGGTTTGGAATTAACAAATGCATGCAACTTCCAAACGTTCCAATTGTTTTGTGTGGGATGTGAGTAGTGGTCCACTCCCCCTAGAAAATTTTACAGTTTTGAGATGCTATTTGGTGCTTTCTGGCCACTTTCAAAGTGTAAGTTTGTAAGTAGTACGCCACAACCACGGGTATAAGAGTTGAGTGTATAAAAAACGAGCATTCAGGGGGGTCTGGGGGTTCTCCCCCAGGAAAATTGTGAAATTTGGTTGTGTATTTGGAGCGAATTTGCAACCATCTGGTACGCCTGTGCGATATGAGTCAATAAGAAAAATGTGAATTTTTTTCAAATTCTTTTGGGGGTGTCAAAGAGGATGAGAGGGTGAAGTGGGGTGGGGTGCCAGTAGGGGAGCAAGGGGTTGTCCCCCAGAAACATTGACCATATCATGTCAAGGTGCTATTTGATGATGTCTGGGCACTTAAAAAATGTCTGAGACAATACATGAAATTCAGAATATTTTCTTTTGTTTTGTGGGGGATGTGAGGGGTGGCTAACTCTCCTAGAAAATTTTACAATTTAAAGATGATATTTGGTGCTTCTGGGCACTTTTAAAGTGTATTAGTCAATAAAAACATTGAAAAACAATCACAATTTTTTTCAAATTTTGGGGGTGTCAAAGGGGGGGGAGGGGTGCCAGAGGGGGGAGGTTGGGCTGGGGTGCCAGAGGGGAAGCAAGTGTTTGTCCCCCATATCAAAATTTACAATATCAAGGTGCTATTCGATGAAGTTTGGGCACTTTGAAATTGTCTGTGCCTAAAAGTGCCTATTTCCCAAGAAAATTTTACAATTTTAAGATGCTATTTGGTGCTTTCTGCGCACTTGCAAAGGATGAGTCAATAAAAAAATTTGAAAAATCTCAATTTTTTTTTTTGGGGGGGGGTGTTAAGGGAGGGGGGCTGCAAGAGGGGGAGGTGGAGTGGGGATGCCAGTGGGCAATAAGTGTTAGTCTTCCAGAATCATTAACTTTATCAAGGAGCTATATGATGTTGTCTGGGCAATTTAAAAGTGTCTGAGACAATACATAAAACAAATTCAGAACTTTTCCATTGTTTTGTTTGGGGTGTGAGGGGTGGCCCACTCCCCTTAGAAAATGTTACAATTTTACGACGCTATTTGGTGCTTTCTGGGCACTTTCAAAGTGTATGAGTCAATTAAAGAATTTGAGAAAATCACATTTTTTGGGGGGGGGGCGCCAGAGGGGGGGGAGGTTATGCAAGTGCAAAATGCAAGAGGGGGAGTAAGTCCCCCAGAAACACTAACTATATCAAGGAGCTATTTGATGATATCTGGGCACTTAGAAAGTGTCTTGAGACAAAACTCTAAAATAAATTTAGAACTTTTCCATTGTTTTGTGGGGGGGTGTGATGGGTGGCCAATACCCCTAGAAAATTTTACAATTTTAAGATGCTATTTGGTGCTTTCTGGGTACTTTCAAAGTGTATGAGTCAATGAAAAAAAATTACAAAAAAAATATTTTTCAAATTTTTTTTTTCAAATTTATTTTGGGGGATGACAAAGGGGGGTGCGGTCGCACCCATCGCACCCCCCCCCCCCCATCTGACGGCCCTGCGCTGTGTATGAACGGACTGGACGTACTTAGAACCTTTTGGGGTCTATTTACAAACTTCGTCGAACGTACTTGAACGGGTAGGTCCTCTAGAACTTAGAACATGCTCAAAATGCTCGCGTGGTCGTCACGTTCTATTATTAGAACGAGTGACAACGTACTAACGACGAGCTGGACGTACTACGAACGGAACCGTCGTACTTCAATCCTACTAGGGACGTTTTTACAACGAGTTGAACTGTCTAGGGACGTATTGAGAACGAGGTAGAACTAATTGCGAACGGGTTTAAACTGATTAAGAACGTATTAAAGACTGCTTATGAACGAGTTAGCAAAAATATAGCTATCACACCAAACAAGTTGCCACTGCGTTCTTCAAAACTGGTTTGAAACTGTGTGCGAACGGAATGAACGTAGCTGCAACTTTCTAAGGTCTATTTACGAACTTCATGAACGTTCTCAGACGGGAGGGTGATTTTAGAATTTTGAATCTATTCAAAATTCGATGGCGACCATACCGTTCTGCAATCAGATCATGATGACCTTCTAGACTAAGGGACGCGTTATACGACGTTGCACACCGGCGTGGTGCGACCTGAACGAACTGCGAATGAGACGGACGTATTGAAGACTGATTATGAACGAAGAAGCTAATTATTTTAGACATATTTCCCGACCACAGCCAGATTGAGCCCGTTTTACGACGTTTTTGTAGGACTGGCAAGAACGGGTAAGAACTAGTTTGGTGTTTTCTTATTACCTTTGCAAAATGTATCCTTGCAAAAATCATTATTTAAGGTCCCGTTGTAGTTAACAGGAAGAGACAAAACAGGAAGTCACAAAAAACATACTGAATTTTTGAAATTTAATTCTTAGACATACCTCAAAGTGAGTTTCTTCCCTTGCTTGTACCTCATACAGGTTGTTTGGTCTCAAGAGTACAAACGCTGCTTCACTAATCTGAATCTTTGAAGCTAAAAAAATTAGAATGTCATGATGGTAAACAACACTTTGTAAAATAATAGAATATTCTATTTCAATCAATTTTCATTAATTGCAATAGACTAGATGCGAGTAGATATAATCTTGATTTACGTCATTAAATATTCAAAATTCAGTCAAAATGATGTCATATTTGGAATCTAAGTACATCTGAAATATGGTTTCGAAATGATGTAAAGATTGCTTAATTTTATTCTTAAGACAACACGTATGGTAGAATTAGTGCTAGCTTTTCTGATTTTGTTTATTGGTTCGTTTGAACTTTAAACATTCATTGATTTTAAATTCCGATGTACAGACACAATTTTATAATTCTCCTCTTTCTGACCATCTCATTTTAATTCTCGGCAAACACAAATACGTGACTGTGTAAAATGCAGTTGAAAACTCAAATTGTGCTATGAATTCGTGCAAAAAGTATATTCATTAAAAATAACAATTTTAAATATCTGACTCGTACATAAGTTAAATACTATATTTTATAAGTACCAAAAATCAATGTGCTACGATAAAATGCCATAATTTGGTACATTTTTTACGAAAACGGTTGGGCATAATTTATCTAAAATTATATCAGATCAGCAAGTTTTTACTAGGGGACTAGTTTTACTAGGGTGGCTAAAGGTGCGATAGAAAGAAACTACGGTACCTATACCAGTGGACTCCATAAAAGACGCAGTTGTGACGTTATCTCCAAACAAACAATAGCGAGGCATCTTGAAGCCTACCATTCCAGCAACACAGGCTCCTGCAAAAGTCATTAAAATAAGAGTTGAAACTTGAAATAACTTGAAAAAACGCTGGATTAGAGTGGTGCGCCAAAAGACAGGATTTTCTCTATAAGAACGAGGAGTTGGGGTAAAGCTAGCCGAACACATTGGACGTTGCCCGGCTTTGTCCGCTTGTCCGTTTTTTCCGAACTTGTCCGTCGTTGTTCGTCGGACAATGTTGCACGATGTCCAACCCAAACGCTCTTACATGCACGACGGAGCGTTTCATTCACGCGGAAACGCTGTAAAGCGTAATAAAATGGCGGCTAATGAAGATCCCACTATGACCGTAAGTAATTGTTTTACTCGTTTCATGGTGACTTATTATGTGCCATTCGATGAACAATACCCTGAGCAAAGATTTTATTTATTCAACTTCTGGTGGTAAGCTGTTATTTGCTTCATCAAAGCTCCGCAGTGTAGATCGAACGAATCTGAAGTTGACGAATTGACCACAAATTACGAATTAAAGGGGCAACAAGGCCTGTAGAAAGAAAAAAGGTCAATTTTCAGCCAGAAACCATCGGCCAGACAACTTTTATCTCCGAGATAAAAATTTCCCAGCGCCCGTACGTCTAAAAATCAGCTGTTGGTTCCCGATAATCGTCCGACGCCCGGCCGATGCCTAAGCTTTCCGACCGATTTTGAACAAAACACTCATTGGAAATGGATGTGACCAATGCATTATATAGCCTATCGTAGGCTCTGAAAGCATGAAAATATTATAAGCATGAAGCTTGAAATATCATATCAAGCTGTTAACGGATCGTTTATTATGACAAATCAATTCCCATAGTCAAACAGGTCAGCTGAGTCAAAATGTAAACGTGCCTGAATGAAAACCACTCCTAAGTACAAGATGCCTGTCTACCATATGAGGCACAGCTATGTTAGCAACAGCGTCAACGAGGCTAAGTGCCATTGTAGCTATCTCCGTCACATGGTTGACTCCATTACATTCTGGTACTCCAGATGCCACCATAAATGATGCATCCCCTGGAAGTATACAGTTTTCACAGAATTGTGATCACGTTACTTAGTCCACACAATGAATGCGGATAAACCTTCATTTGAAAGAGTTTTATTAAGTCTATCTGAAAAATGCCTCATTTGTATTTAAATGGAAACTGTATAATAGTGTTTTACTTTTCAATGATCCACCCTGTATGTTAGCGGGTGGCATACTATGCTGTTAAAACTGTATCAAAATTGGACATCTTATATTTATGTGATATCTCTAACAAAAAATAAATTCCATACAGGTGCGCACCCGGGGTACAAGAGCTCATAATGATGAAATACATTCGAGTGTGTCTTCTATTTACGTTATGTCACTCACCTATTGTTTCGACCTTATAAACATCGAACAACTCCATCTTTGAGTCCAATGTCTGGTGTAGTTTATTCAGCATAACTATCACTTGGCGAGCTGTACTTTGAGCAGAAATATGTTTGAAACCAACAATACTACCAAAGTAAATCGTACAATGGTCGAAAATTTCAGGCTTGATGGGCTGGTGATTTTTCAATCTGTCAGCGACACTTCTTGGTAGCATTTGATACAACAGAAAGTCGGTTACTCTCCTCTCTGCACTTAGATCTTCTGTTTTCTCTTTTAAAATTGAGGCGACGTTTTGAATGTCAACAGTCATTTTGTGAATAAAGAACAAAACAGTCGGACACAGAATGCAAATTCCGATGAGAATGAGAACCTGGACGACTATTGTAGTGATAGAGTCTTTCGCTTCCTTCTCTAAAGTTAACACTATCTCGTGTGCAAGATCGTCTTGTATTATACCAAGAACATTTATCAACTCGGTCATATTTTGGAACCAATATGTTCCCATCTGTACATGCGGTCCAGTAATATTGTTTAAAGTTATGTCTATTCTCATTGATGCTATTTCCCTAGCAAATTTCATTTTCATAAATTGCTGCTCAAATCGAGAGGCAACGAGGGGATAATATTCTGTGCAAGTTTTGTAATATGTCGCGGCCATCTGTTTCTTTTTCTCGTACGAAAGAAGTCGTTCCTTGTCAAACCCACCTAAAAACGAAAATGTAATGAATAGTTCAGTACAAGTTATCATGTGTAAACCAGAAATCCACAGGAGGTTTTGGATATGTGGTTTATCCAGAGGGATATATGCATATCTACCCGAGGGACAGTAGGGACCGATGTGCATCTCACGAGGGATAAACCCCATATCCAAACCGACCGTACATAACTGATTTATCCTATACCCAGTAGTTTTCTAATTTTTTATTTTTTTTCATTTTTGTGAAATTATTTTTCAATTTTTTTCAAAGCGGGAAGATATGCCCTGGGGCAGGAGATATGGCGGGAGATATGGAGGTTCGGGATATGGAAACCTCAAAATCAGGATACGGGATATATCTTACCAAATTATCTCCCTAAACTCTACTTGGCATAGGATAAGTAGCGAAGCGATATCTATCAGAACAGAATATATTATTATCATTACATCTCGACACCCTCAAACCAAACCAATGCACCCGCGCCTGTTTCACATTGACTTTCACTCAATCATCCGGCAGTCGCCTCCTGGTTTGCTAAATTCAATGCCCCGTGTGGGAATCGAACCTAAGACCATTGGTTCCAAAGTCTGTTGCTCTACCTACCGATTTATGAAGGCTTAATCAAATTGCTATCATAGGATGCGACACATTGTTACACTATATGACACGAACAAAGTTACTGAGCATCCAGTTTTGACACTACAATCGTGTTGGTGGAGTTACATATATTTCAGTCAAATTCATGCTAAGCATAGTTTTACGGTTTCGATTTTATGATCTCTATACATGACCCTGATGATGAACAGTCAGAATCAATCGAAAAATCTGAACCGTAAAACTGTGCTCAATGTGAATGTTAAAAATGAACTTTGCCTGATATTTCTTCCATCAAATGGCAGCCATCTTATTTTTTTGAAAACATTCTGTAAAAACAAGATCCCTTATTCGATGTGAAGATTATATTTTATATAATATATAATTGTTTTTGTGAACACTTTTTGTTTTTTGTGCAATTGAGAAAGAAATGAACCTTGTTGAAACTCAATACCATAGTCATACAAAGGAAAATGAGGTTTATATCAAAAACAGTACAGTATCCAAAAAATTAAATTAAAAAACAAAAAAAAGATAAAAATTAAATTATACCTTTCATTTCATGAATAAGATACTTATTTGTACAATTACAATATTGAGAGACCTAAACATGTATACCAGTGCCCTTGGCACGTCCGTCCGTCAATAGCTCAGCGCGGTAGTGCACTCGTCCGGAAAGCGAGGGGTCGTGGGTTCTATCCCGACAGAGGAAGAACTGACTTTTTCATATCAGTCCTTAGCGTAATAGTTCATACTATACTGTGTTTTCATTAGTACTAATTAATAGAAAAATACCGTGAGGAAAGTTCGGCAGCTCTTCATTTGCAGATCAAATTTAATATATTAGTCTAGAATTGGTATGTTGAAAATAAAATGACATCTTACATTTTGGCGAGCACCTTAACCATGGTTATCAAATGAAAGGAAATGGGTTCCTTTTTTGATACTGAGATTTGCCAAGATGAAAAAGGTGTCGAAGTGAGTTTTTGGGTAAAAAATGTGTTTTTTTGCAAAAAGAAATTTCCAATTGATAAAAAAAATATTTTTGAAAATTTATAATATAAAAACAGTCTTGTTGACCCTCAAAAGTCGAAATATACCATGTTTAATAAACTTGGGGGGATTTTGGGAGCTTAATAGTTTTTTCTTTGTGATTTGCATGCAATATCGACTAAAACAAGTGTATGTTCAAAATATGATGACACCGTTAACATTTTTGACGAGCAGCTTAACCATGGTTAATAATTGAAAGGTAAATGATTCTTTTATTGATACTGAGATTTGCCAAGATGGAATATGTGTCAAAATGAGCTTTTGGGTAAAAACTGTGTTTTTGCAACAAATTTAAATTGATAAATAATATTTTTGAAAGTTTATTATATAAAATACAGTCTAGTTGACTCTCAAAAGACGACATATACCATGTTTAATCAATTTGGGGGGATTTTGGGAGCTAAATAGTTTTTTCTTTGTGATTTCCATGCAATATCAATTAAAACGAGTGTGTTCAAAATATGATCGTTACCATATTTTGACAAGCAGCTTAACAATGGGCATGTTGCTCATATTGCATGTGAAGTATTAAAGATCTCAATGGATGCAATCATTTTCATTGGAATCGACATAGAAGTATTCTGGCACTTACAATGACTAAGGTGTGCAAGCAACATTTATCATTTCGGGTAAAGGCCAAACATTCATCATAGGGAACGACAAACGGCATTCAAAATATAATATCATGAAAAAACACGCAGCGTGAACAATGAGGGAATAAGAAACATCATTCAAAGTTGTATGGTTATGTGTCAGTCATGGAAATAAAAAAGAAAGCACAGCATGTTGAATAGAAATGTAAAGCATTGCTATTCCCACAAAGTCTTAAGATGATCATATGTGAAACTGAGAATGAAATATATTGTTTCTTGGTTTTGCAAAGACTCATTCGTTGCTGTAATTTAAATATAAACATAAAAATACGAATACAACTAACTTTTGATTGTACTTTTATATTTCACATAATTTTGAAGTCATTTTGTATCCTCCAACACATGCTTAATTAAGTTTTACAAAGACAATTCAAATAATTCAAAGATTAAATAATGATGATCTAAACACTTTTATTAAGTACTTTCATTTCTCAAAATAATAATCTAAAAATATTTTTTCCCAAAGATGATATTTTAATGTTTGGAGGATACAAAATATTGGACAGCCTAATCTAGACAACTTGAATTCACGACAGAAATACCTACACTCAATCATATATCTCCATTGTCTGCAATCGAAGATATTTTATCAAAATGTACCTTCTGGCATAGCTTTCACCAAAATAATGAATCAATAGTGTATATTAATATGTCCGATGTGTTGGAGGATACAAATATTTGACAAATCGTATACATATAGTAAAACATACTTAATTATGTGACTAAGACATATCAAACATCCCGCTTTCAAGAGTTAGTAGCACATACATTTTATTAACATGCTCAAAAATGTCAACGCAATCGATACATTTTAGGTTAAGAAATCCGAGTTTATATTTGCCGAAAGAATAAAATATTTCTTAATTGTCAAAAATTCCATCATTAAAGTGATATTTTAAAAAAAGATAAGCAATGTTCCAAACAAGTACCTTGTGGTAATGATTGCTTAAAGTCTGGTCAACAAAAAATAACACATTGCATGTCCATAAAATCAACATATATGTCGCAGTCTCTAGTACAACACCAGATTTTTAAAATATCAATTATCGTAAATTGTCCCATGTGTACTTTTTGGAATCTTTATGCAGCCGTCTTTATGTTTATAGTCACATGTTATTTCCAGGAATACATAACTCATTTAATAAATGATGTACATCTTTCGCATTTGCACAAATAGTGCACCGAGATACCCAGAAAAGAAATAATATTCCATATGCCTTCAATTGCAACAGTTGTTCCTGGCACAATCATGAGTATGTTATTAACTTGCACAAGGATCTTGGAGTTGCACTTTTAGCTAGAATGCATTGTATCATCATGTAAGCAAGATGCTGATTGGTTCATAATTCACGGCGCTAAAATGAACTCGACGGGCGTATAAGATGTTTTTCAACGGGTGTTAGATAATGTCTTGACACCCGCTATTGAACATTTTAACGCCGTTTAGTTTATGCCTGTATTTGTTTTAACGCGTATAGAATTCACTTCTTAACGGGCGTAATTAACGCCTTCATGGGCGTAATTAACGCCTACACAGGCGTAATTTACGCCTACACTGGCGTAAATTACGTCTGCACGGGCGTAATTTCACGTCTACACACCCGTAAACAACACGTGCATACATAGGGTAGGATGGCAAACCATACTATTCTGGTATTTATGTGGTGATCAACACTGGTTGTATTGATTGAACTAGTTAAGAAATAAGAAATGATTATTTAATCGTCTAATTAGTGCCTTTCGACACCACGTTCACTTTGGCAAATCTCACAAATCGTTTGTAAGGTATGAGGGATTATTTTGAAACAAGTCTCTTGGGTGCTCGCCAAAATGTAAGAACTTTTTCTTTCCAGTAGAGGCTTTTATTTGGTAAAATGCTAGACTATATAGTGATAATTATATACTTATATAAATAATGATACTTGTATAACCATATCTGCCCAGTCGGAGTAATAATCACTGGTGATCCACTCGATTACGTTGGTTATCGAAACGAACGTTTCGGTAACAGAATGTCGGAACATCGAAGCTACGATTTTTCTTTTTTCCTTATATCACACCTTGTAGGCAGAATTCTCACGGTATTTCGAAAAACAGCTAAGATCTGCACTTTTTACCCAAACCGTTTCTGTAACTTAAGTAAGGAATTGTATCGACGATTCTGTTGTCTTCTGAGCTCTTCTTTCGCAAACATGTACATTTTTTAAAACATATGATACTGTGTGAAAAAACGTCGTGGGGATACTGCCTACAACGCGTGAAATAGGGAAGAAAGAAAAATCGTACCTTCGACGTTCCGACATTTTGTTACCGAAACGATCCGTAATCGAGCAGATCACCAGTGAATAATAAGACTATCATATTCACCAGCTGCAAAATAGGAAGATCCCAAAGCCCTCTCCACTCCAGTTTGTTCTTTGCTTAACACCAACATATGGTAGGCAACCAGCGTTTTCCAAATCGGCGCATCATTTGTCGCGTTCACACTTATCCCGACCCACTTCAGCAATTCATCGATGATTTTGGAATAAAATACGATGATGTCTGAAATGGTGACGTTCTTGTCGATTGTTACTCGTATTCTAAAGCCTTGAATATACGACTGCAGAGCTTTCACGTTTTTAAAATGATCCGTTGAAGATGACGATAACCAGGATTCTCCGCTTAGGTGGTGATCCAAGCCGGTATCAGTTTGTCGATAGGTTGACATTAGTTCCTTGGACAGAGAGGCATCATTGTTAGAGCTGAGGAAGAAAACCGAAATCCCTCGCTCAAGTTGCAACAGATGGACGATCTGGCCAGTTTTTGTTGAGAACACGACATTACCACGAACGCTATCTTTGTTAGCTTTATCATTAAATCTATCATGCAGAATGACAAACGTTTGAGAGGCCAATATAATGACAGGCAGGACTGCCAGAAGCATCATACGAACGACTTGTATAGTTTTCCCCCTCTTGGTAATCGGGTCACTTGGCACCCCGCAACACATCGTCTCACTCAGTCTTCTGGATCGTCTCCATTCAGAAATTGCTTTAGTACCATCTTGAAATATATCGGTCATCGGAACAATTTGCCGTGCGTTCTTATTCATATCAACACCTCACACATTGAGCTTTGCAAATCTGTTATTAATGCCTCCTGGTAGGAGAATGTCATTTATATGATTATGCAAAGGCAATAACATTATGTAATACTTTTGTAATTTCATATCACTTCGCTGAGTCATACACTTGCAGTCACCCTATGTATACAGAGCGAGTGAAATTACAAGGTTACGGGGGTGGGAGTATCACCGCGACAAGGTGGTCTAATAAACACGACTTATAGAATACTGCAGGGCTAGGTAGAAACGTTTTCTGTAACCCGAACGATCAAATGGAGTAAGGGGTTCGAAAGCTTTTGTGCCAAGTCCTTAGAAGGTATTTATTACTCGATATAATACCTGATCTGAGGAAAACTCACCAACATTTTTTTTAATTATAACCATACCAAATCCAATAGTGTATAGTAAGCTTAGTGCATATACAGTGGCCATATGGCAAAACCAGGCAAAACAGCCCAATTAACGCCATCATACTAGTCAAGATTTCTTATCTCGAGTTATGTCTAAGCTACATTTTGACACTAAAGTCAATAGGGTTCAAACATCTACTTTTTGAAATAATTGGTCAATTGTGACACTACCCCCCCCCCTCTCCATCTCTCTCTCTCTCTACTTTTTTTATTCAGCGGAAGTATTTAGGTGTACGGTGTCACTATTAACTGATTTGAAGCGAAAACTATGATGTAGGTTTGATGTAGGTTTTCAATGAATTAATTTGAGGAATACATAAAGTAATTCATGTTTGATTTCGTACATGTATTCAATTTGGAGGACATTTACCTTTCTAATTTCGATTTTTTTCGTTGTTAATCTACCCATGTAATTGGTCGGTTGGAAAATTGTGTTTTTTACACATTTCCTTTGATCGTTTTCACCCCTGTCGTCTAAGAGTGCCGAATATTTTTTATGAGAATATGTTTTTCTAGACTACACAATTTAACACGGTTGAAGGTTTAATAAATATTCATGAATTTGGTATAGTTTAAGAAAATGAAAAATGTACGTTGTCATCTCCAATGTACGTTGTCCCGGTACTTGAAATGCATGAGATATAATATTAAACAATGCAATGATTTAATTTCAAAACGCATTAAGGGTTTTATGAGTAACAAGTGATGTTCAACGAACATGTTCATGTATCCCTGGTACAGATTAACAGGTAAAAGTGATTTTTTTACCCCTTGTTGAATGCTATTTCATTTTATGAAAGTGTTAATATGGTGATTAATATTTGATCTGACCATAGGGTGTTATCTTCCAACCTCTTTGACCATTCGGCGTCGGTACGTTACGTTATGTTATGTTGCACTTTATGAATTTTAATAATCTTAAGGAGATCTATACGAGCTAATCGAAGATGACTTTCAAAATCCAGTTTTTTTTTAATAATCATTTATTTCAAATATATACTATACATACAATAATACAATAATAACGTTTGACTAGGTTACAAGTAACATTATTGTCAAACTAAAAACCTTAATGTAGTTACATTCATAAATTTTTACTTTACAAAGAAAGATTCATTATTTTATTTAAAATGGTCAAGTTGTGTGCTTAATGTGTAGAGTTTGGTTACGGGTCCAGTAGGTCTTTGGTGGATTGCAAAAATGATACACTTGCTTTGATTATTAAAATATTAGTATTATCATCAAAATCAGGGTGACCAAATAAAAGCATGTCTATTTTATCAGAAGAATTACAATCTAAAAATGCACTTAAGCAATCCGCCATATGGAGATCTCTAAGGAGTTGACATCTTGGGTTCGTGTATAGAGGGCATTGTAGAAAAAAGTGTTTTGGTGTTTCAGAGCGATGACCACAGGCACATTCTGGTGAAGGCACGTTGTTAAAATTATGTGCAAAAAGCTGGCTTTTCAAATAAAGATCTACTCTGAGTCTATTAAATGAAACTTCATTTTTCCTTTTAACATTACTATAAGTTATGAAATTTGTACCATTGAAATTTTCAAAATGTGCCTTGATCCTGCGTTTAAAAATTGAAATTCGCTCACAATTTCTTATATCATCAGGTAAAGTATTCCAAGTTTCAATTGCTGCATAGAAAGTAGATTTCTCAAACCTTTTACTTATATCTAAAGGAATATTGTATTCTCTGAAAGCTCTTAGAGTTCGAGTTGGAATATTTCTGCAACCATTGAAAACTAGACTTACATATGGTGCTATTAAATTATGTCTGCTTTTGAAAAGAAAAGTACATAAATGAGATTTTCTTCTATCTGGTAACTTTGTCCAATTTAAAATATCTAACACCTTCTGAGTGCTAGAGCCATGCAGAGCGCCAGTTATCAAACAAGCTGCATTATATTGAAGTCTGTCTAACTTAATCAAAGATAATTCAGGAGCACTAGAATATAAGATATCACCATAGTCAATTCGACTCAAAATGAAGGCATTATAAATGGTTTCTAAGTGTTTAGATCTTAAAACATGAGTCAACCTTTTAAAAGGGTTTAGCAAAGCTTGAGACTGTTTTATTAATTCGTTAATATGCTCTTTTAAGGTTAGTTTTTGATCTAAAATGATACCCAGGTGCTTATGGGTATTTTGTTTATCTATTGGGTTAGTTCCCAAAAATAAAATTGGTTCGTTTTGAATAACAGTTGTTGGTGAAGTGAAAGTCAAGTCAACGGATTTTGAGGCTTTAAAGTTCATTTGCCATGTTTGGGCCCAGTTATATATTTTGTTAAGATCTTGTACATGCTATATCTGGAAAGTGCTGAAGTTATAAGGTTCTAGGTTAAATAAAGTTGAAGTGAATACTGTTATTGTTCAGTTTCAATTTAAAATGATGAATGATTTAATTTGTATTTTCTGTAAAACTTACGCTTTGCTTGTTTTGTTTTGGCGTGTGCTTTCAATGTTTATTTTTATAGTTGTTCAAACGGGGGCGACATAAAGACAGTATTCAACGTTTATAACCAAGGCTACTACTTCAATGAAACATAGAGTTTAATTAGCTTTCTTGCAATATTAGTATGTGATTTGAGTACCACTTCTTCAAAGCATCACCGTTTAATAGTAACTACTCACATTTAAATTAATATCAGGCTATGTAAGAAGGGAAACTATCGAATTCAAGTACAAACCAATTAGACAGGTTCCAATTCAAATAATTCAAGTTTTTGAGGCATTTTTTAGAAAAAGCAACAGACCTATTTTTACTAGATCAGTTTTTCATGCTGATAAAGATATTAAAAGATGACAGCTCAACGGGGTGGTCACGACACTAAATTTTGGCATTTTTACCCCCCTAGGAAAATATTCTAGGGGGCACTATGAAACTAGTTCATAACTCAAAGGATATATGAGCTATTGTTCTGAGTTGTACATCATACATTGCTAGTACAAATATGAATACTATCCTAAAGTTATGGGTTGATACCCTTATTGGTCTCAGAAAAATACAAAAAACAGGAAAAAGATACGCAATTTTTGTCTTGCCAATTTTATATTTGTAGCTTCAAGCACAATATGAGAGCTTTAACAGCTCATAGTAGTATTCTAAAAACATTTCCAAGCTATGTGTGGTATTGTAATTCATCTATTTTAGTTATGAAGTACTATTTTGTAATTTTAATATGACTTTATAGTGCCCTACCCCTGGAAAATTGAAGAAAGTGGATGTGGTGAATTTTATCATTTTGCAGCATTAAGTTAGAAACATGTATTGATAGACACCAAATCAATAAATTCATACCATCATCAAATGTTAGGTGACATTCTAATTCATTTATTACTAGAATATAGGACTTAAGATATTTTATATGTATGTGCATGTATCATAATGAAATCTAGTGTAATCACATACTAGAGAGGTTGGCATACAGTCTGGACATTGACATAAAGTCTAAACATTATAATCATCAATTGATCTCATTTGAGCAACTAGTCTATGGTGGTCATCATGCACAAGTAATGTACAGTAGAACCTGCTAAGTGGAACACCTCGGTAAGTGGAACACCTCCCAAGTGGAACGCCTTTTCAAAGTCCCGTTTTAAAAACCCATTGACTTAATGTTATTTGAACCTCTGTAAGTGGAACACCTCCAAACTTGAACAGTGAACACCCTATATTGAAAAATTAACCTGCTAAGTGGAACAGTCAATTTCCATAGATTTCAATATTGATATGTAAACAGAATTAATCTCCTTCAATGATATCTGGGTATGAAAACAGGTAATACTGTGATAATTGGCAAATTAGGATTTTAATGGATTAACCTCCTGTAGAGGTCAACATGTGATGCAACCAATAATTAATTTGATAATCAGCAAATTAGGATTTCATAAGATTTTTATTCAGAAAATTGGATTAACCTCCTGTAGAACTGGACACGTGATGCTACCACTAATTAATATCCCTTGCTGTTTGTTTCAAACTTAATAAGTAAGATTAAAAATGTCATTTAAAAACAATTGAATTATAAGCAGTAGGAACAAGTCTTTAAAACTTAATTGCCTAATCCTTGTACCTGAGACTGGCACAATTAGGAGGATTAAGAATGTCAGAAAACATTTTGGCAGAATGAGAAGGATTAAGAATGTCAGATACCTTTTTGAGTAAAATAAATGGATTATTAATGGTATATACCTGCCCTGTAATGAAGGGAGAATCATATTTCCAATGATACATGTAAGTCCTATATTTGATCTTGTATGTTCCCTGCGAACCCAAAACCTCCGTAAGTGGAACACCTTCTAAGTGGAACGCTTTATGGCAAAATGGAGAGTGTTCCACTTACACAGGTTCTACTGTATTTACATAATAATGTTATAAAGGAGCATGTAGGTTATCGCAAACAACTTCAGACAATTCTAACTTGAATTATGAATATTTTCTGACCATGAACATACTATAGGAATATCCTATGGTTTTGAAAAAATATCATTTATATCCATGAGTGGATATTGATATCTTCATGAGTGAGCGCAGCGAATGAGTGAAGATATTTGTATCCATAAGTGGATATAATTGATATTTTTGAAAAACCATAGGATTGTCCGTTTATCCCATGGGAAATCATCATCAGCGAAAAAAGTTGAAAAACATAATTTGAGAAAAAAATTGAAAAAAAAATTGAAAAAAATTGTGAAAAAATGTTGAAATTTTTTTTGAAATTTTTTAAAAATATTTTTGAAAATAATTGAAAAATGTTAAAAGAACATTTTTTGAAAAAATTCGAAACCATCGAATATCACTTTTCAATCCATCGAATATCACTTTTCAAACCATCGAATATCACTTTTAAGACGTGATATTCGATAGTTTAAAAGTGATATTCGATGGTTTGTGAATTTTTTGCTAAAATATGATATCTTTTTTTTTTTTTTTTTTTTTTTTTTTTATTCCTTCATTCTTATTTATGTACATGTAAATGTAAATATAAATATGTACATGTAAATGTATTGCAATTAATAATATAAATACAATTTACGTAGACAAAAAAATACACTTATAGTTATGTTGTAAATGTATGTTGACTAAATGAATGTTGAATAAAATTGCAATTGTTGTTGATTGTTGATTGATAAAAGAATGAGTAAGAATAAAGTGTATGTAAAACCAATGCAAGGGGTGTGCTTTCCTATCCTATTTTGATGCTGTTTACTATATGTTGTAAAGGGATCTACAATGTTTTTATTTACTGCTTGAATATCTTTTGAGCAGTTTTCCATGCTTTGTCATGGGCTTCTAACTTGTTATTCTTCTCTGCATTGCTTCTGCTTATGATTTCCTGGGCTTCAACATATTTCTTGAGGCCTGTCATATTTGGTGGTTTATTGTCTAATTTGTTGAGATAGATGTAGTGTTTAACCAAGAGTAGCGTCAGGTTTTCTCCCAAACTGGTGTTCTCTCCTAGGAAGTATTTTGCTCTTGTCAGGTTTTGTATTTGACACAGTTGGGTGACCATCTCTATGAATGGTTTGACAGCTATACATTCGTATAGTCCATGTTCGATGGTATCCTGTTTGTCTTCTTTACACAATTCACATTGTGGGCTTGTTTTGATTTTCATATTGTGTAGCATTTTGTTGAAAAATATTGTTCGAAGTAATATTCTATATTGGAAATATCTCAGTTTTGTTTCCTTTGTTGTTATGTATATTCTACAGTAGTTGCTTTTCCAGTTTATATTTGTGTTGTCTATCGCCTTTTCCCATAGTTGTTGTTGTTTTATTGGTTCTTCAGTGTGGCTTTTTATTAGTATGTTATATGTATCCTTATTCGTCATTGTTTGTAGTTCCTTTATAGAAATGGATTTTTCTTTCACATCAGTTTCTGTCTCGGTCCTTCTCGGTGATATATTTGATATCTTGATCCACATATCAAATATATCTTCGTGTGATATTCGATCTATATCCTTGCAACCATGGGATAAATGGGTATATCTTTTAGATCTATTCATAATTATCTTCACGAAAAGTAAATATAATGATTAATCAGACCTAAGTGATATTAAAGGGAATGGCCCAATCAACATACTTTTTACTAAAAATGTTGACCTAATTTTTACCAAAGATGCAACCTTTAATTATATTGTTGAATGCATAATTAGAATATGCTTTGAGACATGTTCTATTTCCTAAGAGGAAAAGTGGATTGCTCCAGGGACTTCAAAGACACTGAATTTGGATGACCAAAATGAACTGAAATCAATGGATAGCATGAATTTTTTCAAACGGGAAATAACATGGGGAACACTAATCTTAGGGGAATTCAGTTTTCTTTCAAAGAGCTATTTGATACATTAAAATAAAGAATAGAAATGCATTAAACATTGTTAAAATGATAGCATTTTTGGTGGAAATGAGGTCAACAACTTTGAAAAAATATATTGATGGGTTGATTGCTAGTGAAATATCTCCGAGTCCGATTGACTTTATTATCCCTGTATACCTATCTTCATGGTCAGAAAATAGTCATAATCAAAGATATAACTGTCTGAAATTGTTTGTGATAACTTACCTGAACCTTTCCAGGTCAAATCAGGAGTGACAAAATTATTTCCACCAAATTTTTGACATGTCTTCAAATACGATAATATTTTCTTCATAAGATAGAGTGTCACTTGTTAAATTTATTGATTGACCTGAGATCGTACCATATCTTTATGACATAGAAGCGAAATAGCCATATTGAACTTTAATGATGTTTGTTTAATTGTTGTTTGCCACTTTTCGACAATTGTCAAAATTTGGGGGTTTTGGGGAGGGGTACAATTAGGTTAAAAAATTCACCTGATTCAGACTATCCTTAAATGAGCACTGATTCACCCGAGAGCATAACTTTTTCAAAACATGTAAGTGTTATTTTTGGACCACTCACATTAATGTTTCGTCTAATTTTCCCTCATAGTTTCATCATCATTGTCCAAATCTTATGCCATATTTGTTGAGATATATGAATGTTCATTATTAAAATCTTGCCTTCCTTTGCAGTTGGAAAAGATTCGGCATTAGGTGTTATAAGTCCCAGAGCACGATAAATAAAAAAATAACAACAAAATGACATAGAACTGATAGATGTTTTCTCCTGTGCGTGTCAGCCTTGGTCTACCAAATTGCTATTCAGTAGGAAGAAACTCATTTTTCAGTTTCCATTTTAATTTCCTGACAAATAGGGCGATCATCCCAGGATTTTTTCTATGATCTGTGTGTCGCCATAGCAACTTCTGTTTTAGAGAACAATAGAACAATAGAAAAGATTACTTTACCATAATTTTAATCATCCCACATTGTAGAATTAAAAATATGAAGAAAATGACAAAACCTCTTAAAACACATTTCTTAGGAAACAAATAGTGTCGTATTCTTGTAACTATGGCAACAGAGTTTTTTCTTTTTGTCATTTTTGTCATACAGATTACCTATCATACCAGAACCAAATCCTGAAAATTTGAATTCAGTATCTTCATTAGTATCTTAGATATATAGGTTTCTAATAGTGTCCCCTGCAGATTTTATCGGATTATATAAGGAAAATGCTCTGAAGAGGGTTGCCCAAGGATGCCACTTAATAGTTCTGGTATTTTTGAGGTCCCAGCCCTCTATTCATGGGAATAGTTAACCATTGTAAAGCTACTCATGGTTAACTGACAGAATTGATTGTATCTTCAACTAAGAAGACAATAAAATGTTAAAACCAGAAGAAAACCACACCAACTTTCTTCTATTTACCAGGGGTAGGGCACTATAAAGACATATTAAAATTACAAAATAGTACTTCATCACTACAATAGATGTATTACAATATCACACATAGCTTGGGAATGTTGTTAGAATACTACTTTGAGCTGTTTAAGTTATCATATTTTGCTTGAAGCTACAAATATAAAATAAGCAAGAAAAATGACAAAAATTGCATATTTTTCTAATTAATTGCATTTTTCCGAAACCAACAAAGATATCAACCTATAACTTTAGGATAGTATTTATCTCTGTTCTAACAATGTATGCTGTAGAACTCAGAACAATAGTTCATATATCCTTTGAGTTATGAACTAATATTATAGTACCCCCTAAAATAATTTCACAGGGGGGTAAAAACGCTAAAATTCAGTGTCGTGACCACCCCGTTGAGCTGTCATCTTTTAATATCTTTATCAGCATGAAAAACTGATCCAGAAAAAATATGTCTGTTGCTTTTTCTAAAAAATGCCTCAAAAACCCTTTCCCTTGAGATATTCTGAAATTGGAACCTGTCTAAATAACAATATACCGTAAGTAAATCTTCACAAATTAAGCGTGACAGTTGAACGTGCGGGGTAAGGTACAACGCAAGGGTGATGCCAATTGAGCTAACTGCATGATGTTTTCGTCTGTAATTTAGTAATAAGATAAGAAGTCTTAAGAAGTTGACAGAGAGATCTGTACAAGCTAGTAAAAGATGACTTTTTAAAATCCCGTTCACGCTATATCTGGAAAGTGCGGAGGTTCAATATAGTTCAATCAAGTTCAATTAGTAATACTGTGATTGTTCCGTTTCAGTTTTAAATGAATCTGATCCCCCTGCCTCATAGTGTTATGAAAAATACGTTGTCTACATTAGGGTTAACTGTGAATTCAGATATGTAAGTTCAATGGGACAACGTACATCAAGATGACAACGTACACTTATGATTTTTTTATTATTTGAGCAAAAACGTGAATATATATAAAATCTTCAACCGACCTTAATTATGTTACTTAGGGAAACATATTCTCATAAAAATAATCGACACTCTTAGGCGACAGGGGAAAAAATTACCAAAGGAAATGTGAAAAAAACCAACATTTTTCAACCGATCGTTGTTGGTGGGTAGATTAACTACGAAAAAACTCGAGCACTGCTCGAAAATCTTTTAACGTAATTAGAAAGGTAAATGTCTTCCAAATCAAATACACACGAAATTAAACATGAAATCCTTTAAGTATTCCTCAGATTAATTTTTAAAACCTATATCACACCCACATCATAGTTTTTGCTTCATATCAGCTAGAATAGTGACATCGTACATCTAAAGTGTACGAAGGCGTGTTTTGTCACTGTGCGTTGTCGATGGTTTGGTGTGTTCACAGCAAAAACAAAAATCGAACCAAATACGAACCTTCGCCCGCTATATGTGAAATTCGACCCTTTCCCGTCGCAGTGATACTCACACCCCTGTGATTTCTCGCTCTGTATGCATAGGATGTAGCTCGCAGAGAAACTTACCAAGCTGTCATGACAACGGATCCGTCTCAATAACAAAATGAAGCAACATCCGACAATATTTTTTATTTTGTCTAGACTTATACAAACTTTGAGATGAGGGAAAGCCCTAGACATAAATTATTGCGTCTCTTGCAATTACCACCTTCGTTTGTCAGATTTTTCATCGGCTACTTCACGAATACAACATGTTGTGATGTTCTATATATGTTAGCATATTCATCCATCACTTACCCCCCCCCCCCCCCCCCCCCCTATCACACCAAACTAGTTCTTACCCGTTCTTGCCTGTCCTACGAAAACGTCGTCGGGAAATATGTTTAAAATAATTAGCTACTTCGTTCATAAACAGTCTTCAATACGTCCATCTCATTCGCAGTTCGTTCAGGTCGCACCACATTGGTGTGCAACGTCGTATAACGCGTCACTTATTATTAGTCTAAAAGGTCATCATGACCTGATTACAGAACGGTATGGTCGCCATCGAATTTTGAATCGATTCAAAATTCTAAATCACATTCCCCGTCCGGGAAAGTCCATGAAGTTCGTAAACAGACCGTAGAACGTTGTAGTTCGCACACAGTATAAAACCAATTCGGCAACGTTTTGAAGAACGCAGTGACAACTGGTTCTGTTGTGATAGCTATTTTTGTTGATTCGTTCATAAGCAGTCTTTGATACGTTCATCTCGTCTTTATTCCGTCTGCAGTACGTTGGTATCAAGTTTAGATCGGGCTAAATTTTGCGTTCGTCTCGTCTACACAACGTATCCAAGCAGTTCAATTACGTCCTTAATCAGTTTAAACCAGTTGACAATTAGTTTCCACCAAATTTGCGTACGGTTGAACTCGTTCTAAAATAGTAAACATCGTGTCCCTAATCCGTGCAGAACGCATTTATAATCCCCTATTTTCCCGATTGCGGAAATACTCAGTCCGATGTTTTCCGTTTTCACTCACGTTCGCCAACTCGTAGGAACACATCGGACATAATAACATCCATGTGTACGACCGATCGGCATGCCTCCAAAGATAGTAAATGCAAAAAGAAAAAAGCGAAGATGGAGACGTCCATGGGCCTCCTGCCCCTGACTGTTTGGTGCAAGAAAAGCAACAACCCAAATCGCCTGTTGCATCTGGGTCAGAGGGGCATGACTCTGAGATAAGGTAAAGAGGATAACTAACTTTTATCCACAAGAAATTGTCTATGCCTGTGTAACTCGTACACACACATGCATAGCCATAAGTAACAGAGTCTCCTTATCATCATTGTATACAGTTCCTAGAATCACTTTAAGCATAAAATCATCGTTCATTCATCGTTCAGATTACCCCTAGCTAAATTGAGTAATGGTTTTCTGATATTAGTAAAAGCTGGACACGTGAAATTTGTGTCACCCTCACGGTGTCTTTTATTAAAATATGTCGAGGTTAATAATTTGACCATCATTTTACAGAGATATAATACATTGGGGTTTTCTTTTGCGATCACCCACCATACATTCGGTTTTAGGATAGACATCGATCCTGTCACCACGTTTAGATTTTTATACATTAATGATGATAAAACAGTACAATAATTGTTAAAACTCTTTTAAACACGTCCGTAGACTACAGTTCTAAATTCTTGTTTTGAAGGAACTTCAGCATTAAAAATTATGTTCTTAACATAGTCTATGAGGTTGTACTGCACAACAGTATCCAACATTTGAGATAATGGAGATTTCAGACCTCGAGATGGTGATTTTAAATACACCATCCGTATTAACCTTTCTAGACAAATGACCTTATTATATGCAGCTTACAGGTAGCCTTAACAACATGTACAGAAACATCAATCTATCACAGTCAATTTTTACTTTAGCAGACATCCATCCAAGCAGACTAGTGGCGACAGGGTCAGGCGTATTCTTTGGTAATGTATTGTATATTTTATACAACAAAAAACTGGAAGGTTATAAGGACACTAAGAAAAAACTATCTTTGCCAGCTGCTCTGGGAATAAAAATAGATGAGCTGAGGGTGTGGTATACAAGCTTGAGGACCTAGACTGTATCCTTCGTCTGAAGTTTGTATAATGATAAATCATTACCTTATAAAGAACTTACAATATTATGTTTTCGTATATTGTCCTCTTACTGAAGATATTCATAAAATATACAGACGCTTCTTGTAGCGAAGGCATTGATTAGGTCAAGCCATTTTGGCAATCCAATTCTCACATTAAACGAGATTTAATCAGTGACGTCAGTCTATTTGTAAACAAATAACACGTGGAGCGGGCGGAGCAACATTACGGAAGCGTATTTATAAATTCAATTTGTGCGGGAATTTATCAGTAATTTATTATCATTATCCCGATTGATTTTCGTCATTTATAGTAAATAGAGCGGGAATATGCATGAAGAAGGCCGAGCTTATCAAGTGGTCATGTGTTGTTCAAAAATTTGCATATCTCGTTTGGATCTCGTGAACTCAAACGTCCTTGACATTGATTTCGCGACCAACTTATGAACACATCCTGAAGTTTTGATGAGTCTGAACATTTCATTCATTTATATCAACTTGTACCCGCCTTATACAAATACCTTTTGCTTCTTAATCTAGTTTCAGATGAACATCTCTCCAACATATTCACCAATTTTCAAGGTGAACATTCTTGTAATAAACGAGAAATTTATGTGCACAAAATATCGCCGCGATTTCCATGCGAAAGATATAAATCATAACAGACGGAATATTATATTCGGTCTGTTGGATACATAACCTACTACTTGAGGACCCGGTTTACGAAATTAAACAAGAAGAAGTCGAAAGATGACTTGTCTGAGATGACCGAAAGAGACCAATGGGTGCTGAATAACTTTTCTTTTCTAGCCCCATTTACCTATGAAGTTAAGGACAGTAGTTAGTGTAAGTATATCTTGCAATAACAACGTTAATTCAGAATTTTATGAAATAATTTTGACTTATTATTTATAATTATTTCAAGGTACACATTTGATCTGATTCATTGGCCGGCGTCCGGCCGATAGAGCATCAGATACGTCTTCAAAACTGAATACACTCTTGTGAACAAAATACTCAATCGGCCGTGCGACGGCCGATGAATCGGAGCAAGTGTGACCAAGGCAATAGCGGGTCCATTTTACTTTAAACAAAATACACATTTTATTTGTGAATATACTTTAATATATGTAAATCATTGAAGATATACTAGAATAGTAATGTCATATGTATTTTATAAATGTAATTTTAGTAAACTTTTATCACATAACCGATGTCCTTGGTTATCTTAATATATGGAATTCATAGTTAAATTATTCTATCCTGCCATGGTACACTTCCCGCTGGGCTGTTGAAATGGGCCTTTAAATAGTCCATTTGTCTCTTGGCCAGAAGTGTGTCCCTGTTTACACCTTGTGGAACGTTCAAGTCTGGCAGGTTAGCATCGATTCTCCAAGCACCAGGTATAACGTTATATTCGACGTCTTCTGTATTTAATTGTATGTTCTGAATGGTTGGATTTCGGAGCTGGATAAAATTACGAAGGCACACACAACATTCCACGATAGTCTGTATAGTGGTATAGTGACTACTCTCTGTTGCATTGTGGATAAGAGGACTCTGCATCTTTGGGCCAAAATTCCAAATGCATTTTCGACTATACGTCTGCCTCTAGAGATACGGTAGTTAGCTATCATCTCTTCTGCTATCAGATTATGGACTGACTGAATATGGCTTCATCAGGTATGTGCGTGCGGAGACCGAAAGCGTCATCGTCCAGGATAAAATAGGGAAAGTCCTGTGTATCATTTGGCAAGGGGTTGGGCGGAGGGAGTCCGATGGACCCATCTTCTTAGCAATCTGTGAGTTCTGACTGGTTGTAGATTTGGGCATCCGACTGACTTCCACAACCACCAACATCTATCCACGTGAACTTATAATCGGCATCTACTAGGGCCATAAGGACAATAGAAAAGAAGCCTTCATAATTGTGGTACATGCTTCCAGTTTTTGCAGGCTTTTTAATGGCTACATGTTTTCCATCTAGGGCACTGCAGGAATGTGGGATACAGCGCGTCTGGAAATCCTTAGCAACTTCTTTCCAGGTACCTCGGTCAACAGGGCATACAATGACTTCATCCTTAAGCACCATCACCAACGCCTCACAGACGTCTTTCACCAACAAGGAGATTGTATTTTTGGCTACTCGGAATATCTTATTGAAGGCTTACATATGAATTCCCTGTGGCCAAAGGACGCAAGGTAGTAGCAAGTTTCATTCCTGGTTGAAGAGCCTTTCTGTAGTTGGTGTCTTGTTTTTTTAATGAAGGGGTGATACGTTCAACAAGTTCGTCAAACATAGGTGGGGTGATCCTCAAAAAGTTATGAAACGTCATTCATCATTCAGTCGAAGTTCCTCCATCAGCTGATGATAATGTCCTACAGCTATTCTCCTCTCAGGTGTCAGCCAATTCCTCACCCATACGTTCTTGGTGTTCTATTTTGTCGCTTTACTATCCGATTGTACTCCTGCTCTTCTTCCATCAACAACTGCATATAACCAACGTTCACAATATTAAGGGCTGCAAAGACACCCATGGTTCCCATCGTTCTGGGCAAAATATTGAAAATCTTCACGTATGTAAATGGGCGATGGAAGGCCCGTGGGTGTACATGTACAGTTCATAAAACTACATAGGCAACAACTTCTGCTACTGGGCCAACACCCAAATTTCAACTCGAGTGAATGTGATTACCATATATAGGACACAAAACATTATAAGAAGAAACACAGCAAGGAAAAGTGACAAAACTGGTTTAAACAATAGATTGTGAAACTGAATAGTAAAAAACATACAAAAGACTAGAAAACAACGGGATTAAAATGTATACTGATGTAAAGAAATGAAGGGACCTGTTAATGTGTAAAATTGTTAGATGAATGAGGATTGATCATTATAAAATAATATGATTCAAATGACTATGTTACACGTAGAACAGATGTGTATTGCCTGATATATCTTGACCAAATGATGTATGTATGAGAAACGGCCCAACTTTCTACATTCTCAGATTGTATTGTATTGCAAACGGAGAGGACGTATTAAGGTTCAGCTGGAAACTAACATTTTGGTAAAAAATTGCTATACCTGCACATTTTATTTTCTGGTACATAATTAAGTATGAAGGCATGTGTGTATTTCCTTGCTTTTTTCAGGAAAGTATCATTACACCATCTACTTTTAGTAAACCTGGAAACAGGTCAATGGTAGCTCCTGTGTTGTCTGGAAACTTTGAAAGAAAATTTGGAAAAACAGGAAGTGTGAAATATCAGAATTCCCTGGAGTTCCCTTTGAACGCCTACCAGATATTCTAAAAGTAGACAATGTAATGATACTTTCCTGAAAAAAGCAAGGAAATTGATACATGCCTTCATACTTTATTTTGTACCAGAAAATAACATGTGCAGGTATAGCAATTTTTTACCAAAATGTTACTTTCCAGCTGTACCTTAATGACTGTGTGAGAACTACACGGACGTTCTTAGAATTTTATGAGGACCTACTGTGAACCTTTATAAACGGGAAGGACGTTATTGGTCGAGTTGGGTCTGTCTACGAACAGAATGAACGAGCTACAAACGGACTAGAGTGGGGTACTCACATCCTCCTAAGCAGGTGTCCAGAATCCGTACCTCCTTCTTCCCCCTGCTATAAGCAGTTAGCATTTCCCCGATTAAGAACTCGCAATTTGATTGGCTGTCGCAACACTGCGACAGCAATCATGTATACGTCATCGGCGCATTATTAGATCACGTGATTCAGTTTAATCGGGCGCGTCCAACTTGGTTATAGCAGGGGGTAAAAAGAAAGAAGATATTCTGGATTTTGAAGCCCTGTGATCGGAGGATGGGTACTCACGGCTGCAATTAACGCCTGACTACACAACGTCGTAATACGTCCCTAGTAGGATTGAAGTACGACACTTCCGTCCGTAGTGTGACCAAGTGTGCCAGGTCGTCTTAAGTACGTTGTCACTCGTTCTGATTGCAGAACATGACGATCACCAGAAAATTTTAAGCACGCTCTAAGTTCTGGAGGACCTATACTCGTTGAGTAGTTTCATGAAGTTTGTAAACGGATCCCAAACGGTTCTTAGTGGGTTCTTAGTACGTCAAATCCGTTCGTGCACAGTTTAAGCCCGTTTTCGAGAACGTAGTGAGAACTAGTTTGGTGTGATAGTAGGGTTATATCGATATTAAGTAAATAGTATCGTGGGTAAGGAAACATGGGGCAAAATGGCCCTAAAATTAAATTTCAAGTTGTGTATTTTCTTATCTGTCAATCATCGCGCACTTTGATGTTCCACTTTATTAATGGGTCGAGTCTTTTATACTTGCCAAAGACTATCTTCTGTGATTTTTCAATGGTCAAAAATAATGTCGGGAGTGGGGCAAAACGGCCCATGAGTGGAGCAAAACGGTCAACCATCTGTTACGTGGGTTTTAAAACCAAGATTAATCAATTACACAAGACTCGTCCGCACACATCTTATCTCAGACGTTCAAACCGTTGACAGATAAAAGTATTTTCAACCCCTATCATAATTCTAGTCATTTGATATGTTTTGGAAGGAAATAAGGTACAAATCAATTATTCTTGTACAATAAGATTTTTGTATGTTATAACCTGTGTGGGCCGTTTTGCCCCAGAGACATGTGAATTTTCAAATAGACGACATTTTGATTTACCCAATATTTGAAGGCAGCTCAAAATTTTCACGAATAAAGAATAAATATGCATAATCTATGTAAAATGTTAATTCAAAACGTTATTCTATATATTGTTGCCGGATTTTTTAGTGATTCTCGTGGGAGGGGTAATTTGCAAAAAATAATGGCTAAAATGGAAGAAAATAAAACTGATATAATTTTTTCCCGATTTTTTGTTACAAAATTGTTTCATCATTTCATACAACTACTCTTTACAGTGACATGGCTTTTTACAATGCATGACACCTAAAATTATTTGTAAAGCTAGGAAATGGGCCAAAAGTGAATTTCGCGAGACAAAAATGGCGACCATTTTGAAAAAAGGCGAGCTTTTGAACCAGATGTCATCGGTGATGTTGAACAAAAATAACTTACAAGAACACAAATGTGTACAAAATGTCCCCACCAAGTGGTGATCCCGTGAAATGGTTATCCTGAAAATGAGTAGACAAGACTTTACCAACACAATTTGAGGACGGAAAATCCAAAGTGGCCACCTTAAAATTTACCCAGAATGCCAAAAATTTATTCAGTTCTAGATTTTCATACTAAGAACCACCCCTGAAAATTTGAAATTGATCCGTCACACAGTTAACCAGAAAACATGTAAACAAGACTTTACAGACAAGATTTCAGGATGGAAAATCCAAAATGGCTGCCTTGACATTTACCAAGAATGTCAAAAAACTAATCTGTTTGTAGATTTTCATACTAAGAATCATCCCTGAAAATATGAAATTGATCTACCAAACGGTTCACCTGAAAACAGGTAGACAAGACTTTACAGACAAGATTTTAGGACAGAAAATCCAAAATGGCTGCCTTAACATTTACGCAGAATGCAAAAAAGTAATCAGATGTAGATTTTCATACAAAGAATCATCCCTGAAAATTTGAAATTGATCTATCAAACCGTTCAACTAAAAACGCGTAGACAAGACTTTACAGGCAAGATTTTAAGACGGAAAATCCAAAATGGCTGCCTTGACATTTACCCAGAATGCAAAAAACTAATCAGTTCTAGATTTTCATAATAAGAATCATTCCTGAAAATTTGAAATTGATCTACCAAACAGTTCACCTGAAAACGAGTAGACAAGACTTTACAGACAAGATTTTAGGACGGAAAATCCAAAATGGCTGCCTTGACATTTACCCAGAATGCCAAAAAACTAATGAGATCTAGATTTTTATACTAAGAATCATCCCTGAAAATTTGAAATTGATCCACCAAACGGTTCACCTGAAAACGCGCAGACAAGACTTCACAGACAAGATTTTAGGACCGAAAAATCCAAAATGGCCGACAATAAAAAAGTCCTTATGAGTTTTTACTGATTTCTTTTTACAAAATTATCACATATAACTACTGTTAACAATAAAGTAGGCTTTTACAGCAAAGTACATCTGAAATTATTTATAAAGCTACTAAATAGTTAAAGTATGAAAACTCAAAAACACCATTCAATATGATACAAAGTATTATCGCGCGCTAACTTTTCTTAAGACATTCAAAATGGCTGACATGACTGAGCTAGCAGGTCCAAAACCTAATCAGATCTAGAATGAAGTGAGCTGAACAAGATGTTAAAGTTTTAAAAGCAACTGTGAAGCAGTTTTTCTTAAAGTTTGCAGACAAGGATTTTAGCATTTGACTTCTAAATGGCCGACAGGAAGTAGGTTTCGAGTTAAATTTTTTTCATCCACATCTATAGGCACTCATAAGTTATTCCTGAAAATTAGAAGGTGATACCTGTAGCGGTTTTGGAGAAAACTGCCGGACGTACGGACGGACAGACAGACAGACAGACAGACAACCAGACAGACGGACGGACGGACGCGCCTAGGACGACAATATGGCCCCACACTATGTGGTGGGGACATAAAAACGGGAATCCTATCGACAAAGATTTTAAAGCAAATGGTCCAAAAGTGAATTTCAAGAGACAAAAATAGCGACCATTTTGAAAATAGGCGAGCTTTTAAACCTGGAGTCATAGGAGGGTTTTCTATATTAATAGAGAGATTTCGCACATAAGTGAAAGTACAACTTATACGTATACGTATAGTTTAAAGGGTCATGTCGAACTATTATATTTACTAAAATCAATTTTAAATTGTAGTTAATGGAACATAACGATTCCCGTTATAGAAAAGCTCCATCAACTAGAGACTATAAATGTACTGTCATCTGCACGTGTAGATTATGCACATTATACAGGGTGTCCCAAAAAAAGGAAACCAGCAATAGATTGCTTATTTCTCAAATATGAATAATGATAGGAAAATTTCACAGCTACCATCTGATAGATTATGATGTCCTCTTTCTTATGATACCAACGTTGTCTATTTTCCTTCACGGATGACTGCATCTGGGATTTAAGTGACCATGTCAGAAATGAGTTTGTACCACTTTCAGCCAAGTCAATTTCACCATCATAACAAAGTGATCAGGTGATAGGTAACAACAAACATCAGGATATCACTCTTTTACTCATAACCAATTAAAATTACACATATCATATTTAACTCCCCTTTTAAATCCCAATGTCCATTCAAAGTTGTTTTAAGACTGCTGATTACTATACCGGCGATTACTAGAGTGCTGCTAACTCGATAAAAGGCTGGAGTTGGCTAGAATTGTCTATGGTTCTAGCCAGGATAAAGATACCAGTTCTTCAACTCGACAATGGGAAGAACTGCTCTACCTTAGTGACTAATATGTCATGATATGACATCTAAAGAGTCAATAAAAGATATAATAATAACCCCAGTGTCCTTCAACATGACCCCCATTCCTTTCAATCCAAATGTCTGCCATTGATCTCATCGCACGTACTGCATCCCTGATGATGTCTCTCTGTCCCCTTAGATCCTCCACTGCTGCGACAATCCTGATGTTTTCATCAGACCGAGCTGTTCTTCTTCCAGAACGTCCAGATAGAATTTCTATCTGGGAAGCGTTCTCTAAACTGATCAGCAACCTGCTGAAGGCTCCCACTTCTGAGCCACTCACTTACTACGAATACTCTTTGATCTTGGGTCAGCTGCATGAACTTGCTATGTTGAATGCTTGTTCAGAAATGTGTATTTCGAATAGGACATGGTCTTGCATAGCCATTTTAATCCCTCATTGTTCAGCCATTCATGACAGAAAAAGTGGCACAAACCAATTTCTGACATGGTCACTTAAATCTCTTAGAACTCAGTCATCCGTGAAGAAAAATAAACACCTTTGGTATCATAAGAAAAAGGACATCATAACCTATCAGATGGTAGCTTTAAAATGTTCCTATTATTATTCATATTTGAGAAATAAGCAATCTATTGCTGGTTTCCTTTTTTTGGGACACACTAATTAAATGCTTGCTTCCGTGTCCTTGTAGTTGTAGTGTATTATAAACACGATCCTTTAAAGGGAGTCATGATTCTTTAAAGTGAGTCATTACATAAACAAGTTGATTATTTCAATATTTTCATGATCAGTATAAGTTCAATGAACTTACAAAACGGCATATTTACGTAGATGATAACGTATACAGTTGGATCTCCGTATAAAGATTTGCCTACATGTGTGTGGAACAATTGATCGCAAGCATTTTTTTTAATTAATTGGCTGAGTGGGAACAGTATCCAGTCAAATACTTTAACCATCAATTTGAAACACCAATCAAAACCAGTAGGTTCTAGCAATTCCTGGAAACGACCAATTCAGTAGCTCAACATATGACATACAAGGTGTTTCATAACGAGCATCTCCAAAAAGTCAATTTGAGAAGCGATGGGTCTATAACATATGTACTATACATGAGCCTATTTTATTCTACACAAACACATTTGGATCAACTAAACATGCTACAATTCAAGAAAGTACAAATGGCATCCCTTTGACCTGTATTCATTACAGTCCGAGAAGATCTTTCCTGACGAAAAGCTCACATTATGAAACACCTTGTACGTTTACCTATAAGTATAAGTATACGTTATAAGTTGTACTTTCACTAGGTGCGAAATCTCTCTGATGTTGAACAAAAATAACTTAAAACGGGAATCCTATTGACAGAGGTTTTAAAATGGGCCAATTGTTGACAGACGGACAAGTGAGTGATTGCAATAGCTCAACATGTGTGCGAAGAACATAATATTATTCGAAGAGTTTTTAGAAAATGTTGACACCGCCAGGTTAGTCTGTCGGTTTGACCAATCAGCGATGATCACGGGGGTAAAGCAGATCCGATGATGCAATGAGCTTGCTCGGCGGTATCATGACTGTGTAACGGGGCTTAATGTATAAGTGAGCTCGGCGGTAGATTCAAACAACGCGGATCCTCAAAGCATGTGCTCATGGTATCATTGTGGCTTAACACCCGTGGATGATGCCTTCTCAATACATATTTGTCTTAGAACCCTGGGGGTTTCCCCTCTTATATGTGGGTAGAACGTTCATTACTTCATTAATTATTTTAACTATAATACATGCAATAGCGTCGCATGCTGATGGGGAGCTACCCACGTCAAGAACAGTGAGGAATTTCGTAGCATATCATAGCTATGCGTATATTTAAGAGATTTGGATCTAGTTACTAGATATTTTTATATGTAAATGTCTATAACCACAGTGAAATTGACAGAATTTCATAGTTATACCTACGCTAATGCGGATTTGCGGTTAAGTACAACACAAGGAATCTAAAATGTCTAAAATATCTAGAAACTTGACCAGATCTTTCTGAAGCAATAAAAACATCAACCAGTTTGTTCAAATTTCACCACCCTGGTGTTGCATCTAACCCCGACATTAGAACTGTACAATTTTTGTCGAAAGGTATGTATAAACGGGATAAAAAGCAAGATGGATGCCATTTGGAATACTTTCATCAATTTCCTCAATAGGTTCATCCATATTGTTGTAAACACTGGTGATCCACTCGATTACGCTGGTTACCGAAACGGTTTGTCGAAGGTACGATTTTTTTCCCTTATTTCACACGTTGTAGGCAGAATTCCCACGACATTTTTATCGACAGAATCGTCGACTTAATTCCTCACTTAAGTTACATTAAATCGACAATTCTGTGGTCTTCTGAGCTATTTTTTCGCAAACATGTACATTTTCTAAAACATATGATGCTGATACACGTTTGTGAGAAAAAACGTCGTTGGGATTCTGCCTACAACTCGTGAAATAAGGAAAAAAGAAAAATTGTACCTTCGATGTTCCACAAAATCGTTTCGGTAACCAGCGTTATCGAGCGGATCACCAGTGGAAAAGACGTAACCAGGTGGGAACCAGTGAAAGTAGGTTAGAAACTGAATGACTATAGTCCCTTTATTAAAAAAATAAACATAATTTCCCTTATCAAAAGACAGCATGATTCTGTCAATATAGATTACCAATATCACTGTTCCACAACTGGATGACTCTAACTGCAGTTAGCTTCATTCAAGATGGTTGCCGAGATTCTTTCGTTTTCGATAAACCTCCGATTTCAGCTAAACTAAGTTGAATCTTGATTCCAAAAGTTTCGCCATGCAAATTAATAAAACTATGATTGTATTCAACCACAAATGAATGCTCTAACACCCATAATATTAGAGAATTTTAAAGAAAACGACTTCAATTAGAATAACTCTAACTGAAGTTGATGATCTACGCCATCATGACGTCATCATCAACTTCAGTTAGAGTCATTCTAAGTGAAGCCGTTTTCTTTAAAATTCTCCAATATCGCGGTTGTTTGAGCATTTATTTGTGGTTATTTACCATCGTAGCTTTATTAATTTGCATGGCGAAACATTTGGAATCCAGATTCAACTTATTTTAGCCGAAATCGGAGGTTTATCGAAAACGAAATGATCTCGGCAACCATCTTGAATGAAGCTAACTGCAGTTAGAGTCATCCAGTTGTGGAACAGTGAATATAAGATGGGTAGCTTGTTCCGAGAAGCAAAACTTCAACTATTGAACAATCCATTTGACATTATTGGACGATGAAAAGTAAGTAAGTCTATTCTGATTGGGCGTTTTGTCTCCCCAATATAAAAGTTGGGAAACTGCAGCCTTCTTGATAAATTAGGTCCTTAGCATTAAAGCTTTTCTAAGGGTTGCATCCGCTTTGAAGAACTCCTGCTTTATTAAAGGCCTTTTCAAGTCTGGGTGCTTCACTAGTAGTGACACAAGTAACCTAATGAGTAGGTCTTAGACAACAAATTAAACTCAACTAATTGAGTATTTTAAACATATTTCACCATTTTATTGTCTCTAAATTCATACACAGAACGTATCTGATACATGAATGCAGATAAATATGACAGACTTGCTGTTGTAGAGTCTATGCATCAGCAATGGTCACCTCAACTTCTACTCCTGGTTCAATGCTGATGGATGTCTGATCATTTAATTAAGGAGAGAAAATCAAAAGATGAGTAGGACTCGTCTGATCTAGAAAATCACCCTGGAATAGCCTGACAACGTTACGGTAAAGTCAGATAGAGCACCTGGACTAAATTCCTTTGGAACAACAAACAATCAAATAACAACAGTACATTTTCTGAAAAATTCAAAGATTCTGTACAGTGACCTTTCACGAGGGGCTACTTTTAGCTATTATTCAGTCACATTTTCAGAGGGCATGAAAGTTATTTCATCGTGTTTAGGGCCATTGTGACCATGTACATTGGGATCCTGGTCCTGTAAATGATATGTGGAACTATTTGAATTTACTGGAAGTCAAAATAAAACTCTGTTATCTTTGTTCAAAAAATGTCTAAAAATGCCACATGTTTTGTCACTTCCTGTTTTGTCATTTCCTGTTAAGTACCAAGGCACCTAAGAGGTACTTATTATTAACAAAAAAGTTAAACTTGATTATTTGTGAGAATGAGGTATAAGAAGTTAATAATATTTTTGGAAAGGATACAATCTGCTTCACAATCTCAGATGGTGAGTGAAGATCAATCAATCTCTTGTGAATGCGCATCTGGTAACGATCCCAAGTCTTTGAACCTTCACCACAGGGTGTCTTACGGGTAGTGATTCGAAGGGTCTTAGTTGGCATTCTTACTGGTCCTTTCACTTTCAAGTTCTTTTCTTTGGCTCCGTGGATCAAATCAGCACACACTGCAATATATAATGAATGTATGACTATAATGTATATGAATAGACAACTTAACAATTTGACAAGGCTAAATGCTTCTGAGACAGATATAGTGCTTTCATTAGAGATTTTACATTTTGGCATGCCAACCTAAGGTCCTTACCATGGCATGGGTGCACTAAGGTCCTATCACTTTTGGAAGAGTTTATTTTCATTCAAAAGGTAGTATAGGAGTCGATACATTTTATAAGCACAACATTTGAATACACACTCAGTGGAGTCAGTTACTTGAATAAAACCTTACCTTGCAAATCCATATAGTAATGTATTAGTATAGTACTATATAATTTATCAATTGTGCAAAAGACCCCATGCAGAACAGTTCTAGTGATAAAGACAATCTTCCCATTACAAACCAAATGCTTTACCAAAATGCCCAAAAAATCACTATTGATTTTTCTTACACCTTTTTCAAAATGAATTTCCCTGACAATTTCCTGACATTTCCAGGCAAAAAAGGAAATTTCCAGATCTAATTTTCCTCGCACGGCCTCTAAAAAGTCTCAAACAACTGTTATTCAAGACAAAAAGACTTATTATGAAACATTTTGGGTTTCTCCTTCAGTACCATTTCTCATGACTTAACTTTACTTGTACAGGCCATCTGATTCACCAATTTATTCCTGATACATTATATTTTTAATATTGCATATTTTAAATTGCATAAGGCCAAAGGTAAACATACATGTATAGGGGCGAAGCCAGCAAGTGTCAAGAGGGTGTAATTTTTTGGGGTTTGCATCACTGCGAGCAAAAGTAACCCAAAATGGGGGGTACGGAGGTTCAACCCCGGAAATTTTTTTAAATTGACATGTTTATTGTGCATTCTAAGCATTTCAAACTATAATTTGTTAATGTTTTGTAATGAATCCAAATAACAACTGAAACTTTAAAATTTTGATCCAAATCCTACTAGAAAAATAGCAACTCACTTGAGGGGCAATTCCCACCTAATGAAACATATTTTTTATTGAATACTATCATTGTGAACATTATACAAGGGGCGATCCATATATTCTGATAAAAATGCTCTCATTTTGTGATTTTTTCACATATCCCTCTTATTTTTTCAGAAAATGTAGATTATGTAATTACACATACAATGCTAAAATATTATAGCTATATCTTAAATTATCAATGAGATAAGGTTGCCATGGTAACCTGTATTAAGGGTAGGCAGGTCAATTAAACTATAACATATAAATATCATAATAACTTGATATTTTAATTATTTTAAAGCATGCGGAAATCATGCATTTTTCTACAAGAGTTTGGTATTGTTACTCTTTGTTTGTTGCTAAACAAATGTTTATATGTGCTCACTATAACATCACAACAAATCACAATAGCATTGTAGGACAGAATGGGCCAATTGACATTACATGTTATGAGACACACCAAAAATCAAATTGTCAGATGAGGTTAATGTGGCTGATGCAGAGTGTGACATTAACGGATACATTAGGGAATACAATTAGATTAAGAATAAGTTAGAGGACACTGTCAGAGACATGCATGGACTTATTAAGTGCATGGGCAAGGTGTTATATCTGCATAAAGCATCTATAGGTAGTATTGTAAAGAGGAAGGCATGGTCACTGTTGAAGATCATCCACAATCTGGTTGCAAGAAGAGCTTGCGGACAGAGAATAATACTACGATAAATTGAGATGTTACTAATGAAAAGATAGCTATCCCACTGTATAAATTATCAAACAAGGGCAACAGGGGTATGGAACAGATCAATGAATAGTTGGCAATGACTGGAAGATGCGTTTGGTCTGCTTAAAATAGGTACCGAGGAATGATTAAATTAACATATTTATCTATTTTTGACGTTATAATTTAACCGACCTGCCTACCCTAAATACAGGTTACCATGGCAACCTTATTTCAAAATTAATTTAAGCTATAGCTAAAATAGTTTAGCATCGTATGTGTAATTACATAATCTACATGTTCTGAAAAAATGAAAGGGATATGTGAAAAAATCACAAAATGAGAGCATTTTTATCAGAATATATGGATCGCCCCTTGTATAATAGCAATAACCTGGCATTACTATTGTCTTCTCCCTTTTGGGAAAAATTACACCAAAACAATTGACACCATATTAGAAATTCCTTCTCAAGTAGCATCACGATAAGGCTCAGGCCTATGACACCAAATCAAATAATCGGTATTTGTGTTATCAGGAATCAATTTCTTTAAACTATCAAAAATTTCATAAAAAATGTTGGCAATTTTGAATTCAGAGACCATCTTGAATATTTCTTCTTTATAAAATGCTGGGTTTTCAAAATTGGCAAAGCCGCTGAAAGTTGAAGACTGACGTATGACCGGACTGTCTAACAGACAGCTTCTTAATATGAATACAATTTTACACTGTAAAGAGCTCCAAGAATTTTTTTTGTTTTTCACCTCCCGCCCCCCTCAGATTAACCCCTCAGCAAACCATGAAACATATACCAGTAATTAACTTTGAATGGCCTAAGACTAAGCTTACTACACGGAAAAGCATAATTGTATTAAATCATCTATACATTATTTTTATTGTTCGGTTTCAGTTTAATGTTCACACTGTTCTTACAAATAGACCATACCAGATCTAATGTCATTCAATCAACCCTAATGAAAAGATTTGCAATTAGTGGAAACAACTAAATGATTTTGGATTTCACTGATATCCTGTCATAGCCCTAAAATGTATTTTGCTGGAACATTAGTTTTTCAACAATGATACAAAATTCCCTGACATTTCCCTGACATATCTACTGTTTCAAAATTCCCTGACATTTTTGGCCCTTTTTGACCCAATTTTTAAATTCCCTGACATTTCCAGCACCTGGAAAAATAAATCAATTTCCCTGACATTTCTAGGTGTGTACGAACCCTGTATTATTGCAGACATTTATGGTTAGTTTATTGACTAAATTTCACAAACAGGCACAATTCTAAAAAATCTTACTTGGAAATACAAATTAAGGTGCTATGGAAGTTACAGGAAATGACAAAACAAAAAATGTCAAAACTATGCTGGATTTTGAAATTTTTTTGAATCAAGATAACAGCTGAGTTCTGTTTGGACCTCCGGTCAGTTTAACTAGTTCAACATATTTACATGACCGGGAACACAAGGAAAATGGTCAGAATGACCATAAACATGATGAAATGACCTTTTCAGCCCTCTGAAAATGTGATTGAAAAATAGCTAAGAGTAGGTGCTCTGGAAAGGTCACTGAACAGAATCTTTTGACTTTTTCAGAAAATGTGCCCAATATATTACCAATATATATATTCTAAATGATACAATTTAAAAAAATTTCATATCATTCTCAGAAAAAGAAAAAAAAAGAAAAAACTGAATTTAAAATCGATCTATTTTCCTTTTAACTACAGACATCATTGTTTCAGACAATTTCTTAAAATTTCGAAGATTGTAACATTTAGAGCAATATATTAGACACATTTTCTGAAAAATCAAGACATTCTGTTCATTGACCTTCAGTCACATTTTCAGAGGGCTGAAAAGGTTATTTCATCATGTTTATGGACATTCTGACCATTTTCCTTGTGTTCCTGGTCATGTAAATATGTTGAACTAAACTGACTGGAGGTCCAAACAGAACTCTGTTATCTTGGTTCAAAAAAATTCAGAATCCAGCATGGTTTTGACATTTTTTGTTTTGTCATTTCTGTTAACTTCCATAGCACCTTAAATTACAAATTAAAATGTGTTGCATGAAATACATTGATGAATTTGTTCATACAAACTGGAGAAAGTATATAATCTGGGTTCTCCACTTTCAATGAACATATTTTTGTACTTTCTCCTGCATGTATGAACAAATATTTTGTGTCCATTCTCCAACATGCATAGGCCTAAGCAAATGATTTGTACTTTCTCCATTGTGCATGAACCAAAACGTTGTTCATTCTCTTCCGTGTTTTCAATATTTTGTTAATTAATCAATGTGTCAGAACGAATAAAATGTACCTAAACCAGTGAGTATGAACGAATTTAATGTACTACAATATCTATAATGTGTATGAATTGCTCATACACACTGGAGAAAGTACATGATATTTGTCAATACACACAGTTAAAATTCATTGTTTCATATATACACTGGAAAATTATAAATAGTAGTCCATACACACATACACAGAAAGTAAATAAAACAAAAAGATATTGGTTTAGGCACATGGAAAATTAACCTAGTTTCGATTCATACATACTGGAGAAAGTATACACGGAGGAGTGTGACTCAGAAAATGTGACACAAAAAAAGTTTAAAAGTTGGACTTTTAGAAAGGTCACCAGACAGGAGAATCTATTGCATTTTTCAGAAAGTATGCCAAATATATTATTCGAAATTATAGAAGCTTTTGAAAATTTGAATTCATTCCTTAAAATAGAAAAAATGAGAAAACTGCTTTAGAAAGCAATCCAATTTTTGTTTCAGACAACTTTTCAAAATTTCAAAGCTCCTATGACATGTATGATTTAGAGTAATATATTGGGCACATTTTCTGAGAAGCCTTTCACACGATGTTTAGGGTCATTCATTCATACAAACAAGAGAGAGTATGAGAATATTGATTAATCCAATCTGAGTAATATGATAGATAGTTGGTTCTTCAAAAAGAAAGGTTTACTTAGATTTTGAATATCAAATAGATTTGGATCAAAGTGTTATAAAGAATCTGATCTTCTTAACTTACTTAACTTCGAGCATGCAGATAAATATTCAATGGATTTACATAAAATGCAGAGTTCCTGTGACAATGGCATTTATTTTTAATGATCAAGAAAGTACTTTGCACCCTCCCGCCAAGTTAGGAAGAAGCCAGAGCTTTCATTCTGGTACACATCGCATCTAGAAACATGTCTGTGTCTATCATGTAAGAAGAGAGGGTCAAGGTATTCCATGATGGAGCATTTTGGAAACCCTTCTTAGAAATTGCTATGCTGAAAATGGGCTATTGGTATACACTGTGTACAAGTAATGCAGATTGCTCCGATTTTCACTACGGCGCCATGCCGATTGAGTATTTTGTTCAAAATTGAATACAATATTGAACAAACGGAGCAAATGTGACCAAGGCATCAGTGTAGTATGAATTTATTTTGTTAGGATGCCAGTCAGAGCTCTTGATGCCAGTACTAAGTTTGCAAACATGCATGTCAACCATGGCCAATTAGAAAAGTGCACCCCTTCTATATGATAATATAAACCCTTCCTACACCTTGGTTTAGCTTTGGATCACTATGTGGCAGAAATGCATTCTGATTGGATATAAATGATCACATGACTTAGTTCACCACGGTATCAGGAGATGGCATGCCAAAATGTAAAATCTCTATTAACACATCCGAACCATTGGAAGGACCCAAATTTTAAGAGGCACTCAAAAATTAATAAATGACCCATCCCAGGGAGGCACTCTCTGTAACATAAACATTGAGGGTATCTGAATTTTAGCCTGAGGTTTTAGAAAGGATTTTTGCAATCATAAGGAAATACAATACATAAAAGAGGATTGGCTACCAGGATTCATTCCCCATCCTTGGGTGATAGTTTGTTCAGTGCATTTAAGGTGACTAACTATGAATGGTTGATATAATTGCCTGGCAAAAATAACTGGATAAAAAATTGAAGGCATCCAATACATGAATGAAATAATGCTTCAGAACTAATGCTTTAATCACCTCTTGGTTGTTTTAGTGACAAATTTGGGGAGTGTGTCAAAACTGATCAATCAGTTAGGTTCGTTAAAGGATCTGTGAGAATCACTTGGAGCTGATCCACCTCGATAATCACTGCCCCCAGGATTCCGTGTTTGCAGAGCGCAGACGGAATTTTCCTCTGCCCGCGGAATTGCAGAATCAACTATTTTGGTCAATTTCCGCGGCATTTTCCGCAGAATCCATATATTTTCCAAAAGTTTAAAAAGTCAGTCTTACCTGTAACAATTTGACACGTTTTCAGTCAAATCCCTTGCAGAAATAACCCAAATTATGCGAAGTGAAAATTCTAAACGCCATCGTTTGATTTCTGCCGTTAGATGGCAGCATGTATGTAGTGACTGACTACCTGACTATCACGATATTTTCCCGTTTACTGGTTCGAAAACCATTAATATCCGCGGAATTTCTGCAGAATTAGCCCTTTCTTCTTGCAGAATTCACTAATTTCACTTGCAGAATTGAGCATTTTAACTTGCAGAAAACTGGGGGAGTGGATAATACAGGTACTTTTTATTTACCCTTTTCCAAGCTCTTTACATTGCGGCTGGTGAGTGTGATTCGAATACGATGGATAGTAGCCTCCTCTGCAGGGGCCTTGCCAGTTTCCTTGTAGTGGGACTGAAAACAATTATAAAAGACAAAATTAGACAAAACCTATGTAATTTTCAGATTCATTTTAATAATGAAAATATGAGGGGTCTCCATACCAACTACATACATGTAAGCTCATTTTGACTTATCCACACTATGTATTTAGGGGGAGCTCATATCAGATTAACATTTCCCAATTTTTATAAAATCACAATACTTAAAAATAAACAAGTTGAAAGATGTGATGTATGGGTGGTCTGACAGACTAACTGGCCTTCCTATTTCGCTAATCCTTGGGATTAAAATCTTTTCTTCATAAGTATTACATCTTAAGAGTCCATTTCACTGCTTCAGTTCGTCAGTAGAACGGCAAAAATAAGAAATTGGGAGACCATTGTGCAATAATATATGGAAAAGTATATTCATAATGTACATGAATGACATTTGTATATCTTGGATTGCTTCTAGTTTGGCTTATAAAGTGTGTGGCCTCTTATATTTGGATGTTTCTCTGCCATGTTATTTTCAATAAGATTAACATGGCTGAAATTCTTCAAATTACAAGACGACACAGGCTTATTGCACAAAAAACTAAAAAATCTGAAATATACAAATGTCATTCATGTACATTATGAATATACTTTTCCATATATTATTGCACAATGGTCTCCCAATTTCTTATTTTTGCCGTTCTACTGACGAACTGAAGCAGTGAAATGGACTTTAATTAGTGGCCATTTTGATTCTGGATTTTGTCAAAGGCATCAAATTGTTTTAGGTCCCACTGATGCATATTTTCCTGTTATATCTAAAAGTGGATTTTCAATGTGCCTCATAGAAATTAAATGTGTGACTCCCTTACATTTACATTTAAAAAATTTATAGTTCAATTCTAATCAGAAAAATGCATATGGATAAGTATGCCCTTCAAACTAAATGGTGTGTAATTTTAAATGTACACCTATTACAAAGTTTCTGGACTGAGCAAAGAGGTATATTATCTTACTACTATCCCAAGGGAACATTCCATCTCAAAACCAAAGTCATGTCTCAAAAGAGTGTTGGCCAGGTGATTTGCCCAAAAACAGAAAATCTTTTAATTTACCCAACATTCAAAAGACTTATCAGTTGCTGGAATTACACCACAAAATCCGCTAAAACGTTTTAGTGGAAGGCGCTTTACAAAATCGCCATTCTGATTACACCAACATTTCTAAAGCGTCTTAGGAATTATATTTTGGAATTACACCTGTTTTTTCTAAAACACATTTCGTGCACTTTTAACGATGTAGTTATGGATAATATCCAGCATACATGTATGTGTACATCTCCTGTAAATTATTCTTTTTGCATCTAAGACAAAACTGATCTTCCATAATTTGATTAAAAATGCATGACATTGCATAATTTTTATCTATCTTTTATTAATTATGAGAAAACATTATAAAAAGGTAAAAGAAAAATATGTACATATTCTCTGAAGATAACACTTGATTTTGATGTGACCTGGCGACCATCATCCATTTTCCAATTTAGATATGAGGTCTTATTTCGTTATTTCGGCAAATGTTAAAAACTGGGTAAGGCGTCTTACAAAAACCGATCGGTATTACACTGCACACTTAGAGCGCCTAACGACTTATGCCGTTTACTAGTGACAAGGGTTCTTGGAGTTTTAGAAAAGCGCTTTTGTAAAACTGCAATCGTGATTACACCTAATTCTTAAACCTGGTTAAAACAGACGAAGCTTTTGTAAAACGCCATGTGTAATTCCAGCAAGTTATTGCTTCTGATGAAGATCTCAGGTGAATATCCTAGGCTTTAGAAACAAGAAATAAACATTTGTTTGAACTTGTGTAAAATGTTTGATTCTTTAGAAAATAGGAAAGATCAGCAAAGTAATGTAAAATTGTGACAATATCTCAACAAGTGAATCTGGAACTCTGTACTCAGCTAGCTGCACAGCTGGTTGGATTACAAAGATAGTGATGTCTAATTAATTCTTTGATACTAATTAAAATTGTCTGTTTGATAACTCCATGAGACATACATTGTACATTGGTATCCAGGCCCGTAGCCAGGGGGGGGTTCGCAGGGTTCGAGCGAACCCCCCCTGGCCAAAAATTCTTTCAAAATCATGCAGTTTTTCACCATTTTGAGCACTTTTCAAGTGATTTTAGCCATATTTGGGCCAAAATTGTCAAATGTGAACCCCCTAATGGAAATTTTTGAAAACTGAACCCCCCCCTTGGCAAATCCTGGCTACGGGCCTGGGTATCACATTGTTATTGAAAATCCTTCCTACTCAAGACATAGTAATGTGTCACTCTCTGGTCATTTATGTCTAGGAGATTACTGTATTTGTCTTTAGGTCCATGTGAAGTGATTTTACATGGTCATATCTTTCACCATGAGTACTTACTTAGCATAAATATCACGCCCGGTGATCGTACATAATTTATTTGTTGTAGTAAATCAATGTTCTATTAGACAACAAAACTTTTGAATTTAGATTGCAGCCATTTTAGGTCTCGCGAGATCTCTTGACTTTCGAAAGTAAAGATTTGCTACAAAATAACTCTCGCTAGCTAAATATGAACATGATCTTTTAAGGTCTCATGGAAGTTAACAGGAAGTGACAAAACAAAAAATGACAAAGCCATGCTGGATTTTGAAAATTTTTTGAACCAAGATAACAGAGTTCTGTTTGGACCTCCAGTCAGTTCCACATATCATTTACATGACCAGGAACACAGTTGAAATGGTCAGAATGACCATAAACATGATAGAATAACCTTTTCAGCCCTCTGAAAATGTGACTAAAAAATAGCTAAGAGTAGGTGCTCAGGAAAGGTCACTGAACAGAATCTTTTGACTTTTTCAGAAAATGTGCCCAATATATTGTTCTAAATGATACAATTCAAAAAAATTTGATATCATTCTTAGAAAAAGAAAAAATTGAAAAAAACAGAATTGAAAATCGATCTATTTTCCTTTTTACTACAGCCATTATTGTTTCAGACGATTTTTTAAAATTTCAAAGATTGTGTCATTTAGAGCAATATATTGGACACATATTCTGAAAAAATCAAAAGATTCTGTTCATTGACCTTTCCTGAGCACCTACTTTTAGCTATTTTTCAGTCACATTTTCAGAGGGCTAAAAAGGTTATTTTATCATGTTTTTTGGTCATTCTGACCCTTTCAATTGTGTTCCTGGTCATGTAAATGATATTTGGAACTAGTTAAACTGACTGGAGGTCCAAACAGAACTCTGTTATCTTGGTTCAAAAAATTTTCAAAATCCAGCATGGCTTTGTCATTTTTTGTTTTGTCATTTCCTGTTAACTTCCATGAGACCTTAACGGCAATGCTCATGCGCATGTAAAGTACAACGTGCATGTGCATGCATGCTCAAAAGTTAAAAAAATGGTGCGCACCAGGTCTGGAATTTCTCCACTTAAATTGCAAATTACACAACAAGTAAGACTTATTGTCACCACGTGTCATGAAAAGGGCAAGTAACATTCAATTATCTTCTTACATACCGTTAAGGACAGGGTGCATGTTGGGAAATTTTCTGCATTCCTCAATTGAGTCACATGTTATTTTTCAAACAAGAATAACTCCTTCCCCACATTGTCTACATCTTCCAAGTTTGCACAAAGAGTGCACTTATGTGCCTAGAAAAGCCTTGTGAGAAGGTTTGTTTTGTAAAATGTATAAAAAATGAGAAAATTCAGTGAAAAAAAATTCTGAAAATTTTCTAATTTTTTTCACTGAATTTTCTTGTTTTTTATACACTTTATCAAAACATTCTTCTCACATGTCTTTTCTAGGCACATAAGTGCACTCTTTGTGCAAAACTGGAAGATATAGACAATGTGGGGAAGGAGTGATTCTTGTTTGAAAAATAACATGTGACTCAATTGAGGAATGCAGAAAATTTCCCATCATGCACCCTGACCTTAACTTATTCCAGCGCGCCTGCTGGGAATTGGAAAACTACTTCACAAGACGGTATGTTTCAACGTTCCCTCAGCTGGCTTTTGAGCCAGCTGTGTCCAGTAAGGATTACCCCCCATCACTGATTGATCGATCGTTCATTACATTGGAAAAAAGAATCTTCAAGAAGAGAAGAAAAAAGGTAAGGAAACTGCCGATATTGTCAGAACTTGAATCTTCAAATCATGTGAAAAATCGCAAAGAATCAAAGCCTAAATTTGTGGGGTTATTTTGAGAAACAAATGTCCTAAATATCAAAACACCTCAAAATCTGAAATAAACCCACATTTGGCGGACGGAGGGCTTCACTTTGACCCAACCGGACTTCGTTCGTTATCTTAAACTAAGGAAAAATATTCACATTACCATGTTTGTTTATTATCTGGCCGACTTATTCTTTAGTTTGGAGAAGAACAGCGGTGAGCCAGGAGCTTGATAAAATCTTCCTGAATATTATGGAGGCAGAATCTGAAAGACCCATGCTGATTTTCAAAACGAGGTTCAAAGTAAACTCATCGATGTCGGGTGTGAAAGGTTCAATAATTATATGTCAGTTTTTATCTTATAGAAATATTATAAGATCATTCCGTATATAATTGATAGATACAACAAATCATATTCGAAATGTACATAGATATAATTGCCTCGAAATAAGACGTGTATATTACAATTTGATTTCTTCCTGACACTCCTTATTACTAAACTTGGGATCATCCAAATCGGTTTTTATCATTGTTGCCTAGAAAATGAGTTTAATTTTCCAATAATCGAGAACCTGCTTAATTTGTTATTGTTTAAGTGTACTTTGATGTTTTTATTAGCTCATTAGTGTATAATTTGGAATATTCATATAAACATTTTATCGTGACGTCATTCTTCCACGTACAATCCAAGATGGCGAATGAGGTTTGTAAAAAAATTTCGGAGCTTTTTCAAATTCTTCTGCAAATTGTGTTGTCTAAAGGCAATATACACACGATTTTAATTTCAGGATTTAAGGATGATTGTCAGATTATCTTTTTAAGAATTATTATCGAATGTTACAAGTATTTTTGTTACAGAAATGTCTTCGTGGCAAATCGAAAAAATGGAAAAATCAAAAAATCTAGGCATAGACAGGCTAGTGATAGTCTAGCCTAGATCAGCACGATAGCAGAGCTTAATAAATTGAGTAATTATAAGTCTATCATTTCTCTGATTTGAACAATTTGAATGAACTTATCAAGTTATCAGATCATCGTCAGGTCCAAAGCCTCCAAAGAAGGCTTTGAGTGAAAGTTACAGCAGCCGTGGTATTCAATATTCAGGGGCGTCTGATCATATTTGAAAAGGGGGTGCATTTTCCCTGGTCATCATATATTAATAACCTGTGTTTGTCAATGGATGTGATGGATTCATTTTTAAAATTTTAGTCCGATACATCTACCACTAACATGTTCTTTCGCGAAAATACATTACAATTTAAAAAGTAGATTTCTCGGAACATATTTCTTTCGAATGATTTCTGGAAAAAATGGATGGATGTCGACTGTCAATTTATTTTAATTGAATGCTCCTCCGATGTTAGTTCAACAAGTTAAATCTAGTCTGGGCCTTATTTCTTATCTGACATATCTTGTGACTCGCCCTAGTTTTACCGTCCATGCCTATTTGGCCCTTGATGCAAAAGATTTAATGGTGGCCTATTGCAGCGCATAGAATTTTATGCGCGTTTAAGTAATAACTGATTGTGAGGATTTGCTACCAATGAAAGCATAGCACGGAAGTTAAACCCAATCACGGCAACAAGAACATTCAGATTAATAAATGAAAGCCGTGGTATTGGGTTTAACTTGTTGAACTACTCCGATGTGCTGGGAATATGATGAGCATATTGCCAGATAAAGTAAAACGAAAAACGTTCACAGAGAGACTACCAATTCAAATAACACCTCCCTATTTCCAAACGAAAATACTCGTTTACAAAATTACAAAAAACACGTTCACGAATTGATTATTTTATCGTTCATTGTTGATGGATACCAACAGCCTTTTTTCAACTTCAGTGGAGTGGAATATTTACGTCTTGAGCTTCCGGAAGTATCTCACATTCGTTAAGTAAGCCTATATTCACGAAATAATTAAAACATTATCCCTCTATGGTTGTAAAAATGAACAGGGTGAATGACAAACATTGCCAGACATTGAAAAAATTAGTGAAAACATTTCAAGTGCTATAAAGACGTCAATCCTTTCAAAAAAAGAATTTGAGCTATCTTGTACAATCTCTTTTAATATACCAATTCCCTATGATTAGAAAAAAAGAATGGAGGGGGTAGCCAATTTCTGCTTGAAAATTCAACAAAATTGCAATATTTATTTTTTTCACGAGGAGGTTTACAAATAAATTGCTAGGTGCACGGTGTGGTGAAATCTGTATAGGTGAAATCTAGGCATTTTATGATTTTTTCTTAAACGAATACACGACTAAAGTGGAATTTTAAATGTTTGGAATCTAAAAAATAAGCATTCAAGTACCATATTGAAACAGAATATGTAAAAATAGAAACATTTATACATGTCCTAACTTTTGTATATTTTAGTTTGTTTTGTAGTTTAGCTATCATATCTGTTAACATGGCTGAAACTCCCTAAATTACAAAAGGCCACAGCTTTACTGCACATTATAAATAACTATCTGAAATATACAAAAGTTAGGACTTGTACGAATGTTTCCATTTTTCATATGCTGTTGCAATATAGTCATTTGATTGCTTTTTTAAATTCAAAGTAGTTCCAAACATTTAAACTTTTACTGTAAGGTGTGTGATCTAGTGTTGTCGCGATGTGCCATAATCGTACATCGATGCACTGGCAATTTTCAGCACATCGCGATGTACATCGAGAAAAAGTCTGAGAAAAGTGCACTGAAATTCCGAATGCTAATGCACTAAAATACCGAACAGAACAAATTGATAAGAGTACGCTGGTACATCCGGGAACTTCTAGTAACAGTGAAATGAAAGCAAAGTAATTTTTTTAGATTTATGGTTCATTTCAACTAGCTAAAACAGTTTTAAAGCGAAAGAATATCAGAAAACATTGGAAAATGAAATAAGACACAAGAAAGGTAAGCGATTTGCGTCAAAAAAAGATAAGAAAAGATGATTTTTGGCAAATTAATTTTTTTTAAAACATCAATGTTTTGTTTCAGACATCGATGCATTGCCAGAATTAGCTTTGGCGATGTATATCGCGATGTATCGATTAATCGCGACAACACTAAAAAACATGGTCCTTTATGTAATGTTGACTGATTGGCTACAATTTCATAAAAAAAATATTTATATATATTGTTTTTTGTTCCTTTCTACCAATTCTTGAGAATGAAATAAAATGTCTTTCCGAACCTTGTTGGAACAAAATAGCATATACAACATTTTTATAGACCTCTCAATATTATAGTTTTACAAAGGAAATTTTGGTTGATTTAACAAAAAGTAAGCAAAAACTAAAAACAAAACCCCCAAAATAGATAAAAATTAGATAAATCTTTTATTTCATTAAAAAGATACTTTTTTAAAATCAACCAAACTTTCCTTTGTACAATTGCAATATTGAGAGACCTAAACATGTTGTGTTTATGTCGTTTTGTTCCAATGATGTTCAGATAGATGTTTCATTTTATTCCGAACATATGATACCAAGAACGAAAAGAGTGTCTGATGTGTTTTCTAAAACAATATAGAGAAAAGAATATATGTAAAATTCAAATTATAATGCTACCATCCAAAAGATGACCATTAAATTGACGATGTGTAAAATTTTCAGAATGTTTTGATGACTGGTCTAAGAGGAACGTGTGTTCAAAAAGTTCACCATATCGATACCACTCCTTTCTTAAATTAGAGAATTTTTTATCTTTGATTCCTAGGTACCCTCTATATCTGATTAGCTACTTTAGATTCAAATTTTCATCAATCAGAGCTAGTATCTGAGTTATAAAAAAGAATACTCTAAAAACAGACCACCTTTATAAATAATCTGAGGATCATGCTATGAAATATGAGTGAAGAGAAATCAAAGTGATTGAATGATTATTAGATATATTACATAGAAATACACAATGGCGATATATTCACTTCAAATTGTAAATGTTTCTTGCAGTTTTCTCCTGATTCTCATTTATAGCACAGAACATCACATAATTTGGTACACCAATACAGACAATATTTTGATTAGAATGTTATTGTTTATTTCCAGATGTTTCTGTTGACAGTGCTTAGCTGTATCCTATTTCAACAAGTCACGTTTGGATTCTATGTACCAGGAGTCGCCCCTGTGGAATTTAAGCAAGATGATCCTGTAGAAGTCAAGGTCTGAGATCAAGTTGCTCAATCTCCATCTAATAATTCCTAATTGTTTATATAGATGCTAATTAATCTGTTAATGAATTATGATTGATAAATACGATAGGTCAATTGGGTTTATTAATTATAATTGAGAGGAAATGAAAAATATTCTGCAGGTGTTTTACTATCCCAACAAATGAAATTCAGGAGGATATGAAAATGGCTCCATCCATACATCTGTCCATCTGCACGTACCTCTGTCTGAGCAAATATTATTTATGTATATGCCCCATGTGAGCACAAGTTCTGCTTGAAAAATTATTTTAAAAATGGCCACCAGTTTCAAAATAGCCATCATTTTAGTGTCAATTTTACAGTATTTTAATTACAAAATATAAAAGTGTAATATTTATATGTTCTAAATGTATAAAATTATGAAGGATATTGATTAAGTTAAAAAACAACACCTGAAAAATGTTGGCTGTTAAATCCTATTTTACAATTTTTGCTCAAACTGGAAAAGTAGCGGAATGGTTTTGTTTATATTTGATATGTGGATACTCATAATCATAGAGAATTGCGGCCATTTTAATATGTGTCATTTTATGTATTGCTATAACTGGAAAACTAGTACTAGCCATTTTGGAAATATGTCATAATGTGAATACTAAGAAGCATATTATATGTACACTGTCTAATGACAATTTGGCTAATAGACAGCCATTTTCAAAAATGGCAGCCATGGCTCTTCAATGGAAATTGCTATGTCTTGGCATTGTTGTTACCTAGTTTAATTACAATGTTAGTTATGATCTTACTTTAATTTCAGGCTGTGAAACTGACAAGCATAAAGACACAATTACCTTATGAATACTATGACTTGCCATTTTGTAAACCAAAGGGTGGAGTGGTCTACAAGGCTGAAAATCTAGGTAGAGACAAATGTCCTAGATGCTTATTCTTGAATTTAGCAGACATAGAAATAAATTTTAAATTGCTAATCATTTCAAGTTAATTAGAATCTTGAAAGTATCTACACCAATTTTTGTATAAATTGTATAAAACAAAGTCGTGAGATCAAAAATATTTTTAAAAACACTTGATTGTGAACTAGCAGATAGTTTTCTTCTATACATGCATAAAATGTTTACTTGTACACTGTATATCAGAATTATATTCAAAATTAGTTTTTGATTTCCTTTGTTTCAGTGGGGAGGAGAACTTCCCAAAATAAATTCTCAGTTTTAGAATTGTTTTGTTGACACATATCCATCCATCTCCTTTCCTGTAATAATATAGAAAATGCATCCTATTTAATTGAATTTTCAACATTTACATGTTCATTTTTGCAGGAGAGGTGCTACGTGGAGATAGAATAGTTAACACTCCATATGAGGTAAAAATAGTTATTGATTTGATGAGCATGACTCGCTGAATGACTGAAGTAACACATTTCAGAAGTTTCTGATTTCAAAAATCAATATGTTATAAAATTGAATGAACTAAGTCATTATCAAAACAATTTTTGAATTTTTCTCCATTTGAACAATGAGAACTATTTATTGTTAAATCCATTATTTTGCAGCAGGATTTGATAGATTGAGTTATTTCAAACACTCAGTGTCATATATATATAGTTTATGCATAATCAATTTATCAACTAGGTATTGCTTTATCTGTTCATAATACATATTTATTCACTAATGTCCGTCCAAAGTTTCTAATTCACTTGTCATAGCCATTTCCCAAGCTCTTTGTTTTTGAGAAATTGGTGATTTTGTTCATATATCAGATACCATGCTATGTAGATGTCTGACAGCTTTTTATTGGAATTTCTCAATTCATTTAAAAAGCTGCATCTTCATGAAGAATGTAAAAAACCACAGCCTCATGAATAACACATTTTGACATAACTCATGAAATTTAGACAAAAAGTAGGATTTCTTTCTGTACTAAGTTAATCAGTAACAATTATTTATGTGAGCAGATTACCTCCGGGTCAATTTTATATGTCAATAGAAGTTTTTTCACAAAAGTGTTATTTTTATATGCTTCAGGTTAAAATGGCTACCAACACAGGATGTACTGTTCTCTGCAATCAGCCTAATACTCCTGTTGAGTTGGATGAGAAACAGTCCAAGGTTTTGAGTGAACGCATCAGTCAGGGATACTATGTCCATCTGTAAGTTTTGAGTTAGTTTATGTGTGTTTGTGTCTCTTTTGATTTTTCTGACTAGTCTGCCAAGTACATTTTTAGTATTATTGGTTACATATATTGGTTCTTTAAATCTTTTAAAACTTTCCCACCTCAATTATTCGCTTTAAAAAAATAAGAGAATATGTCTTCTCCATGTGACTCTTTTAAGTACAGGAGAGATCAGTTATATTATACAATGGATAGATTCTGAATATTCATCCTCCAGGAAAAAACATTACCCAATACCTAACTCTCCCATTCCCTTGTTTGATTTGCAAACTCGCAATCTCCCAGCTTAATGTACATGTTTATATCTCAGGATTGTTGATAATCTGCCATGTGCCACTAAGTTTGAGATGTTGGATACAAAGGAGACACAGTATGAGCATGGCTATAAGATTGGCTTCCAGAGGGAGGGCAAGACTTACCTGAATAATCACTTAAAGATCATCTTGATGTACCATACAGAGGATGAAGGGTAAGTTCAATGACTCTTATCTTCAACTACAGGATTCAACTCAACCCAAAGGCCTCAACCAAGTTGGCTCGTTGGGTCCCTTAATTAATCCTTAATTAAGAACAAGAAATACATAACAAAAGTTTTATAAAGATCAAAATATTGAGCACGTGAATTGTTCAAATAATTAAACAAATAAGACAACGAAAATGAAGTGTACTAACTATATTTAGACTTAAAATAAGACAAACATAGATTTCAAATTGGGTCATTGTTAAGTTATTTCACTTATATGTGGTGATGTATTGTTACATCGACCATTTTTTGTGACAGGTGTTCGGCATCATTAACAAATGGCTACTCAACCGGGTCTCATAAACATTATTTAATTTTTTATCAGGTATTTCAATGTTCCCTCTTCTAGCAAAACATACAGAGTAGTGGGATTTGAGGTTGAGCCCCGCAGTATCAGTACAGCGTCTCTGGGGGCCAAGGAAGATGGCAAATGTAACATTGACCCCGCCAAAAATGAGCCACAGGAAATTGTGGCAACAGGTAGGTGTCCAAGCATGTAGATAAAAATGTACACCATAGAGTTGCTGGTAGAGATAGTTATTGAATACAAACATTGACATTAGAGTTGCTGGTAGGGATAGGTATTGAATACAAACATTGACATTAGAGTTGCTGGTAGGGGTAGGTATTGAATACAAACATTGACATTAGAGTTACTGGTAGTAGAAAGTATTGAATACGAAACATTGACAGTAGAGTTACTGGTAGTAGGTATTGAATACAAACATTGACATTAGAGTTGCTGGTAGGGGTAGGTATTGAATACAAACATTGACATTAGAGTTGCTGGTAGTGATAGTTATTGAATACAAACATTGACATTAGAGTTGCTGGTAGTAGAAAGTATTGAATACGAAACATTGACATTAGAGTTACTGGTAGGGGTAGGTATTGAATACAAACATTGACATTAGAGTTGCTGGTAGTGATAGTTATTAAATACAAACATTGACATTAGAGTTGCTGGTAGTAGAAAGTATTGAATACGAAACATTGACATTAGAGTTGCTGGCAAGGGTAGGTATTGAATACAAACATTGACATTAGAGTTGCTGGCAGGGGTAGGTATTGAATACAAACATTGACATTAGAGTTGCTGTCAGTAGAAAGTATTGAATACAAACATTGACATTAGAGTTACTGGTAGTAGGTAGTGGTGTCAATAAACCGCCTGAGCATTAACCGGTTAACCGGGGGTTTTTACCGGTTAAAGTCGGTTAACCGGCGGGAAATTTGAACTGATAATTTCAAATGAAATCTTCATCTTCGATCTTGAAAGTTGAAAAAAATTGGAAAAAAGATATATCGGCGTTTATTTTTACGTTCGTCAAGCTTTACTCTATTCTATGTAAGTAAGCGCGGGAAAGCAATGTGGCAGGGATTAAAGTTGCTGATTGGATATTTGTAAGGAATTATCGGACCTATCACATGTATGAGTAGCTCACATGAAACTGACGCTTGAAAAACAAACAGATTAAAATGCGAAGTAAGCGCGGGAAAGCAATGTGGCAGGGATTAAAGTTGCTGATTGGATGTTTGTAAGGATGAGACTAATGACATGTATGAGTAGCTTACGTGAAACTGACACCATAAAACCAAACGCATTAGCATGCAAAATAAGCGCGGGAAATAAGAGAATTATACACGGTCAACTAACTGCCCATAAAAACACAGACCGGTCAAGGCATTATCGGCGGTTAACCGGTTAACCGGTTAATACTTGACACCTCTAGTAGTAGGTATTGAATACAAACATTGACATTAGAGTTGCTTGTAGTGATAGGTATTGAATACAAACATTTACATTAGAGTTGCTTGTAGTGGTAGATATTGAATACAAATGTGTATATCATTACCTATTATTAATTCCCAGGCAAGAACTCTTTGCTGTTTACATATGAGGTGCAATGGAGGGCCAGTGATATAGTATGGGCTTCAAGATGGGACACATACCTTGCCATGAGTGATGTGCAGATACATTGGTTCAGCATTGTCAACTCTGTTGTAGTTGTCTTCTTCCTGGCTGGTGAGTAGTAGGAGTCGTGTTAAGAGGGAGGATAAGTTGTCTGATCAGACAAAGGGGGATATGTTGTCTGATCAAATAATCAGAGGGAGATAAGTTGTCTGATCAAATAATCAAAGAAAGATCAGACAATTGGAGGAAGTGATAGGCCTACTCCTTGAAACATTTTTTGAGAGATGTGTGTTATGAATACGATACTATAAACCAAGAAGTATATTAGATATTTCATTGACTGATCATTTCACTTTACAAGTCAAGATTTATTTCTGAGCTTTATCATATTATAGTATGAATTTGTTTAAGTCCTCCATGTTTTTTTTTAATTTTTTAGATTTTTGTTTTATTCATTCAAATAATTATTATCAATATGTTGTAGGTATTCTGACAATGATCATTGTACGTACATTGAGAAGAGACATTGCCAAGTACAACAGAGATGATGACCTTGTAAGTGTTAAACATGTATCTAAGGTATCAAATCAACATCTACACTCAAAGTTATTGAGCCTTAAAAATAGTTGTCCTATTCTAAACACCTTTCATACTTTTCTTTTCTGCAGATTTTCCTCGAGTCCAAAGTTTGTCAAAATGTGCCATTTAAACATGATTTTTCTCATTTCCAATTTGTGCAAGCATATTTTTAAAATCTCTAGTTGCTGCAATGCCCATTTCTTTAGGCTTAGATTCCTGATTTACCTTAACTTGTAATACTGAGTGACTTGTGAACATCATGTACCACTTAACTACATTTATTCAATTTTCTTGTTGGAGGATGAAACCATTGAAGAATCTGGCTGGAAGCTGGTACATGGAGATGTCTTCAGGCCCCCAAAGAACAACAGAATTTTTGCAGCCCTCACTGGCGCAGGTCTTCAGGTGTTCTGTATGTGCTTTATAACTGTAGGTAAGATCACTGGCACACTTTTGTACAGTTGCCTTTTTTATTCTTTATATGGCAAACACCATAACTTTTTCTGAAGTTAATCGTATGAAGATTTTATTTATTGTTACATGCATTAGCCATATAATGGTAGTTGAAGACCTTTCTTTTTCACAGCAATTTAGAATTTTGCTTTGCATGATTTTGACTTTTGACTCCAAAAGAGGGCTTCATCCACAATGTTTCAATAAGAATGATTCTTTAATCTAGTCTTTGTGATCAAAATTAGTAGTTTAAAATAGTATACTTGAAGTTTAACAGTATAATGTCTATTCCAGTGCTTGCCATGCTTGGTATGCTGTCCCCTGCATCCAGAGGAGCTCTAATCACAGCTGGATGCTTTCTCTACATGTTCATGGGGTATGTTAATCAGTGATATATATTCAGTGACTATCTTCATCCAAAAAAAACGTTCATCATAGTAAAAAAAATGAATGAAGGTGTTGAGTACAATATTTCACAGTGCTGAAACCAAGAATTTATTTAGAGATCCTGAATTCATTTTTATTTAAAAATATTAAATTCAAAAATTTTAAAAATTAAATAAAAATATTCATTTCTATTTTTAAACATGTAAACTTTGTTCCTGATACATTTGGATCTAAAATGGTAGCAATGCTTCAGTAATTTCATGATTTTCCCAAATAAGCGAACAATGATAATATACAAAGTAGATATGTTTTTTGCCTGTTTTCAGCCGATGGTCTCGTATTTTCATATTCATTTACATTTACGCATTTTGTGTCTTGTAATACAGGCTTGTTGCTGGTTATTATTCTGCTAGACTTTATAAAACAATGAAAGGACACCAGTGGAAGAGTGCTGCTGTCACTGTAAGTCAATATTGCAAATTTCATTAAATAAATAATCAAATAAATTTTGGAAATGAGAGACAGGTTGAATAAAGAAAATACAAAATGGTTTGCTTCAAACCATAACATGTCGGTTTTCTCAGAGTTTCATTTTCCCCACTTAGACTATTAAAAGAACATCAAGCATTATAATTCTATAACCATACCACACTACATATATCACATTCTGTCTCATGATACAATATTTCAAGGGAAAATAACTGAACAATTTAAACCATATAACTTCAGTAGAGATACAAGGAAAGCTTCAATTCAGTTGTATGACTACATTTGCATTAAGAACCATAATCTTTTTTATTTATTTTCAGACCACTGTGTTGTTCCCGTCTGTTGTATTTGGTATTGCACTTTTCCTCAACTTCTTCATATGGGGCAAAAGGTCATCTGGAGCTGTAAGTACATAATAATATATTTTAATTTTTTGAAATTTATTCAAGAATTTTTGAAATGTTGCTTAATCTGTTAATGATTTTGACTTAACCATGAACTGTACTTTGTGACAAATGTAATTTACTTATTTCCACTATGCCAAAATTGTAACATTTCATAATTTGTGATTTTATGAATTTGTTTCCAGGTTCCATTTACAACGATGATAGCTCTATTAGCTATGTGGTTTGGTATCTCTCTGCCACTTATGTTCTTAGGTTACTACTTTGGCTACAGGAAACAGGTGAGTTTTGTGCTTCTAGAAGAAGTCTTGTTAAATGTGTCTCGTCCCAGCTATTTCTAGTCCCTATTTAGTATTTACTTTCTTATTTCCCCTTGAGTTAAAGTAGGGAAAGAAGATATTTTTCTTGCATGTTTACTTAGACCTTTCCCACTATCCTAAGGGGTAGAGAGAGAAAGTGATATTGGTATGTAAGACTACAAGAGTAAAATCTAAATATTCAATCCAATTAGACTAATTTCATTAGTTAAGCAGATAGTTGAATTCCTTAAATTTCAGTCTGCATAAATCAGTATAGCTTTATAAGTACTTTTGTATTGCATATTTGAATATCTTGTTCCAGCCTTATGAACATCCAGTGCGTACTAACCAAATTCCAAGGCAGGTACCTGAGCAGCCCTGGTATATGAACCCTATCTTAGCGTAAGTTATATTCAAATTACTTGAATTCAGGTCCACATAGATGTGTTTCATGCCTATTTACTAGGGGTGAGACGAGTGGAAAAATCCGATTCGAGTCGAATCCGATTCGAGTCAGAAAATGACGATTCGAGTTTCGAATCCGTTTCGAGTCAGATAAAGTGCGAACAACATCGCTTTTGACCGTTCATATTTTTAATGCGTCAATGGTGGAAAGCCAGAAATATAAACAAACAGAATTCGTCGTAAGTTTATTCTGATTTTATTACATTTATTCTTTCATTTATGTGTACATACAATATAATAATTTAATACAAGCATATCCAAGTCATTGAAACTTATATATTCAACGCAATATCGAGTAAAAACATGCATATTGACAGTATTTTTCTGAATTTTTTTATTTTTTCGAATTTTTTTCTCAACTCGAAATTGATTCGATTCATCAACTTCGACTCGATTCGACTCGACTCGAAGCCCCAAACCCGCGAGTCCTCGACTCATCGGGTTGTCGTCTCACCCCTACTATTTACTGATGGCCTTACTAAGTGCTATATTGCAAATTTAATTTAGCCTCGGCTTATTTTAGTTCCTAGCCATACCCCTGAATAACTAAATTATATTCAAATTATGCACAATTTTTGTTTTTCTCATTTCAGAACTCTGATGGCTGGTATCCTTCCATTCGGAGCTATGTTTATAGAGTTGTTCTTCATCTTCACTGCAATGTGGGAAAACCAGTTCTACTACATGTTCGGCTTCCTATTCCTTGTCTTTATCATTCTCATCATCTCATGTTCTCAAATCTCGATCGTCATGGTATATTTCCAGCTGTGTGGTGAGGTAAGTCTCCATTAGGGGTCATCCCAAAAGTTTCACATTTAATTTTACTGTTAAAAAAAACATCGCTTTGTGAACAACCAATTTGAAGTTGGTCAATTTGTGTCATACAAAATGTCAAGTTTGATTTATACATAGCAATACATGTTTAAAGGATATTGCAATGTAAGTAATACTTATTAAACACCCTGTGTTTATGTAATGCATTTGTTCTACTTTATATTACATGTTTGTTTTTCCATGTTGCAGGACTATCACTGGTGGTGGAGGTCATTCATTGTATCTGGTGGATCTGCAGTATATGTCTTTGCTTACTCTATTTTTTACTTCATCACAAAGGTAAGCTATAAAAATATTGTAAAACTAATTCAAAGCATGGTTGAAATTAGATTTTGATTGATGTTCTAAATTTCCCCAGTATTTTATCCAAAATTCTTTACTGGAATTGAAAATTGTTTATAAAAATATTTTACTTGTATAGATGGCATAACCATTGAGATTCCTCAGGAACTGCATAATATTATATGTGATACATGTCATACTTCCAAATGTCAATTCTTCGTTTGTTTAAGTTGGAGATTACAGAATTCATTCCCATTAAATATTTTGCTTGTATAGATGACATAACCATGCATATTCCTCAAGAAAATGTATAATATTATATGTGAAACATGTCCTTCTATTTCCAAATGTGAATTCTTCTTTGTTTGTTTCAGTTGGAGATTACAGAATTTATTCCCACCCTTCTCTACTTTGGTTATACAATAATTATGGTGTTAACATTCTGGATCCTGACAGGAACCATAGGATTCTATGCCTCATATTTCTTCATAAGGAAAATATATGGAGCTATTAAAATAGATTAATACCAGTGGGGAAGCGATCAAGCATTTAGTATATTTGACTGTACATACTATATAGTAGTTGGAGGGAACATTGTATATAAGACTTGGGTTTATAGAAACTGGAGAGATGTGATATTTTCAGGCTGGACAATGAAAATTGAGAACATTTTAAAAAAGGAAACAGTAAAGTACCAAAAGAAGAATGGTATAGAAGTATCAAAGAAACTATGTTAGTACATGAAATTAATTTGAAAAGTGACATTGGATATTGCACATGATCATTTCACTTTTTGCTGATAACCATTTGCAATGAGCTGCTAGTATTTGTTAAAATGTAATTTACAAAATGTCAGGATACTCAGTTTTAGTTTGAGCTTGATGAAATATATGAACCTTAACATTCCTTTGTTAAAGTGGCATTCTGTTTAAGTCTATTGCTGCCTTGATGTTGCTTAACCAATCTTTTTTCCACATTGTTAAAAACTGTCAGTAGTTTCTGTATTGTGAAAATTTTAAAACAATTGGTCATTTCAAGTGCTGCCATCTTTAAATATCTTGGCCACTGAAGGATGTCATCACTTCAAACTTCAATCAGCTTACAATTTGAATGCCCCTTTAACATGTAGTAATAATATAAATATTTTATAGCTGACACTCTGTGATGGCACAATAGTTATGGTGATCAAGTGAGCATTATATTCTCCACTGATGCTTATAGGTATTTCTTGAAACATTTCTGAAGTTATAAATTGTTGTCAAGTGATGCTATTTTAATTTCCATGATTGCAACAATGGATATCACAATTTTGGAATGATTCAAGAAGTCCCCCTTTTGTACATGTGTATATTAATATGACAAGTTGAATTATGATGACAAGTTGAATTGTGGTACAATGTAACATGAATGATATATCTTTTGTATGTTTATCTTAATACAAGCACCTATTTACTCTTACCAGATAGAGGTCAATGAAGGTGTATATTCTAGACAAGTCTCCAAATTAAAACAAAATGCAATATTTATACAAGTTCAGGAGAAAAGTATTGATTAAGATCAGTTATCAGCCAACATTATCAACTGTAAATGTTTTATGAATTAGATTTGACATTGAAACGTTAAAATAGAAGAGTTATCAAATACAAAATGCTTTGTTAACTACACTTGATTTTGTATTTTTTTTGGACATTCAGCTAGGAAGAAACATTGAGATTTCTTGAGTAAGGAACATTCTAACAACAACATCACATAATTATAATATTTTATAGAACAAATAATATAGAACTCATCATTTTAATTAACCTAACTTGCAAGTTGCAATAAAAACGTTGAATCTGCCTTATACCTTAATTTTGACTGTATTTGGCATTGGTTTTCAATTGTATATGGTATCTTGTATGGCTGTTCTATGAATTTATAATGAAAGGAATCTAACTAACACAAGAATGAGTTAACATGTTGCCACTGTGAAATATGAACCTAACTAACACTAGACCAAATTTTCTTTTGTTTATGGACATTTGGCATGTCCAACTTGTTTCATTTTGTGATAAATGATATTTATTTGTGTAAATATGGGTCATGCACATTGTATCGTTCTCATTTGGGAATAAATAAATTATGCTCAAAAATGTTCTTATTTTTGGTAGTCCCATGTCTCACTCATAACTTCCAGATAAATACAAAAATGTCTGATGTAATATTCACTGAACACAGCCCACTGGTTTGTGGCAAAAACCTTGAAAATAAGGATGGTCATAAAGCCCTGGATTTAGAGATACAAATATTCCTGCAACCAAAATAGTAATAGACAAAAGTTTTGCAAACCTGAATTTGTTTTTGTCATAGAAAATTATTCAGAACCTTTCTGTCAAGTGCCTATTAACTCGAAGCTTTTGGTATAGATGTCCCTACTAGTTTTCAAACGTGATTTGTTACCTTTTGGATACAAGATTATATAGATGTCTCATTCATAAAAAAACTCAATGTACTGATGTTTTCTATTATCTCACTTGTGTAGGGCTTTATGATCAGTGGTATTTTTTTTTTATTCAAATCACTTGACAAACCACTGACACAGAACTAACTCCCAGATTTTCATTATAGGGTATGAATATATAAATGTTTTTTCAATTATCTTTTAAAAATTCTTATTTCAGCATTCTTATTTTGCATATGACAAATCACTTTATCATTTGCAAAATATTTTGATCACTAATGTCAAAAAGGTATTTTTCAAAATTCGGCAATTTCTATTGTTCACCGTGGTATAAAACGCGTTGAGATTATAGCGATCATGCAAATCTATGAGCAAGATTTGATTTTGGTTTCCAAAACTATTTTAGCGTCTTTTGCAATCAATCAACAGCTCATTGGCAGTTCTTTAACTGTTCAATGTTTCATGAAAAGCGAATAGGAGAAACCTTTCATTCTAACAGTTTCAACAACACATTAGTCTACGCGAGGTGGCTAATTAAGCCTTAATCCGCCCAGTAGCACTTTAACGCAACGGGAATGGTTTCTGAGATGAGACTAAGATTAAAGGTAACACCCTGGTCCTGTTAGTGATGATTTAAACCCCTATTGTCTATGGCAAGACCCATCAATAGTCATCATCATCCACCGCTCTTGTCATGCCCTAATCAGTACACCCGTAAATAACAATCAATGGTGTAGCATCTAGCGGCTTAAAATACACTTTCGCTGCTTTTAATTAAGCATTTAAGCCTCTGATTACTCAATGACGTTTTCATTAACACGCACTCATTTGATCACTGATGGGGCTTGACAACGTGTTAATCCAATAACCTTTTTCTGAAAATCATGAACGCCTTTCTATTTCCATTGTGGGATTCACAGTCTGTACAATCTCTTGGAGCCCTCTCAAGCAGTAGCAATAAAGAAGGACTCTTATACTTGTGAATCAGAATGTTTGATTTCAAGTGCAACATTTTATTGAGTCAAAATGACTTTAACTAGTGCGCCAAAGACGAACTCACTGAAATATTTTACCTATATCTTAAACGTTACAAATATTATAATAGAACATGGGCCATGGAAAGAAAGAATCAAAACTGATTTTATCCCTAGGAGGAAACTTCCATTCTGTCCCTAAACGCAGAGACAACTATATACCGGAGCCCGGGAACTGGAGACGATGCAACAGCAGTCCAAATATGTAAACTCCAACTTAGGTAAAACTGACACAACATAGGATTGTTTCAACCATGGAAAAAGAGGTCCATATTTCAACCAAACATTTAGTAAGCCGATGGCGCTGAAAGATAACTATATGCCCATTACGTTCATATTATGTAAGATGTGTGTTTTGCCAGAGGCCAGACATTTGTAGCATAATTGATAACATCGTTAATTAAGAGAGGATAATTTATAATTATTCTTTTGTTTGATGTAAGGTGGCTAGAATACTCCAAGGCATATAGAAAAGAGGGTTAACATGTAATTTGTTTTACTTTTAATCATCGGAAATAATTACAATATTATTATTTAGAGCCCCAGTCATTGCGTGTCCTGCCTTCACATAGTTCTAGGCATACCTGCTAATTGCTTTCAAAAAGAAATAACTTCATAACAACAATTTATAATATATGTCAAATTTTGTAACATTCCAAGTTAGTAAAAATCGGACGTGAATAAATGCATATTTGTGTCTAAAAAAATCTAGAGCTTTTTGCGTTTGCGTTTGAGTACTAGGAAAGGGTGGTCAACATACTTTACCGAAAAAGAATCTTGAATTGCAAGATGCGAAACAACTTAAATGAATGGGGGGTATCTTTGTGATGTGAGTAAGACTGACATGATGCCTGATCAGATTTAATAACCATTCCATCTACTGATGAAAGCTTCTATTACGATGCTTTTTGGAGTTTCATGGATCACAAATGGGGCCTATCATTCTACAAGCATGACGAATGCATGGTTCAACTTGGGGAGTCCGACAAAAACATGTTTAATTGACCCCATATCATCTTGAGACCCAGATCTATTAGTGTTTTGATAGGTAGAGAATACATGCTTAGAGCATTGTCAAACTTTAGATGACATTGCGTAACAGCTGTCAGTGGGCGATATATCGACCATAGAAAGCAACATTTCAGGTATTTAGGGGTAGTTTAGACCCTGGTAGTACCCGTTTACCTGACAAAGCGGAAGGATCAAAGACGATTTTTGAAATTTAATTACTACCTGAACCATTATTGATTAGAATATAGCTTTTATATATCAGAGTTTTATTTCCTAATAGGTAAAATAAGAACAGAAACTTGGGAATTGGGCCTGAGATATGAGTGGGATCAATAAGTACAACAAACATCATAGGATGAACATAGGATGGAGAAATTCTGAATGTTCATGGTTGTCAATTATATTCTTGTTCTCACTTTATTTTTTACTATGCCTGTATGCTTTGTGACGGTGTAAAAGGGTAGGAGGTCCTATCAAATTATGGTCCTACTCTCCATTGATTTATATGGTGACCTAAATACAACTCTTTCCCTCATTATCTTATAATACGCAACCAGGGCCAGTAAGGGCCGTTAAGAAAGGGGACCAAAATCCCTGAGGGACCATCATTTCTTTCTTTACCCTGTATGCAATGTAATTGTTATAATTATGACGAGGAAAGTAACTTGAGTTGAGTTCCTCGCTTCAAAACTAGTGGTATCCAACCACTATTCGTCAAACCAGAGTGAAATCTGTGAAAAATATACCCTTTACATTTTTTCGACTTCACTTCTTAAAAGAGAGCTTCGTCTTATAACTAGACTTTACGTGCAGGGTAAGTTTGAAAGCCCATCGGCTAGTCCGAGACACTAGTACTGGGCCGAACTCTGATGTGAATCTTGTTGTGATGAGTCAAGGGGTCTGGAGAACAGATGGCTCGAGAGAGGAAACAGTAGTACAAGTCGAACTAATATTCTAGATAGTATCAAAATCCATGAAATTGCATTGTTTATAGCACCTCTGTATACCAAGTTAGTTAAAGACTAAGATCCAGAAAATGAACATCATCAAACTCTGAAGTCAACGCTATGAGGTCTTCTTGTCATAATGCTGATATTTGTCATTTTTATCATTATTAACTCTCGAACTAATTTCCTAAATTTTTTCCAAAATTCATCAATTATATTAATGCTAATCAAAAATCTCTACATTTTCAGTAAAATTCGTAAACATAGGGCAAATTTTCTTAATTGTCCGCAAAAAATAGCAATTTCATGACCCTTCCTTCTTCTAAATGACTAATGCTTAAATTCATGTAAGTTGGCTTAACTTATCTACATCCAAAGCATCTCTGTATATGATACAAAGAAAAACAGACCACATAAAACACAAGCAGCAGAAACGGAAAGTGACATAAAAATAGTAATCACCCCAGATGATCTGTTTCTTGGAAGATGAAAGAAAGCTTTCAATTACCACGTGATTATGATCATTAACCGTGGCATCAATTTCCATTCGCATTTCCCGCCGAATTGACTTTATTTCCAAGCGGATCTGAAACTCGTAAACAAGAGTCGATTTGCTGATTTTGACAGTCCTGTAAAAGAGTTCAGTATTTAATGTATTTCTGATTGAACTGAAACAAAGGATTCAAATGCCATTCAAGAGACAAAATTGTGGAAAAACAAAGAAAGAACAAACGTTTGACCATGTGGACAAACCTACGTGATGAAGAAAACGATTATTTTTTCTAAAAAATAAACATTTTTCTAAATAATTCTAAACGGTAGGATGACTTAACGGAATAGCTTATTGTTAGCTTATGTCCATGGTTAACTTTAGCGATAGTCGTCCAAATTATAACAACATAATACAATAACAGGTCAGATCGATCGTGTACCAATCGCATCTCATTTTTTAGCCATATCTAATTGAGAATTAAGAAACGCCATGGAATACCATGTACGTATCACATTGTTTACTTCAGATCTTCAAATCAAACAATACTTCCTCCCATCATATCATTATGAAGCCATTATTATCCAATTATAGAATCTACTGTCAAATACAGTCAACACAACGATCCTTTGTCAGAGCTTGTAAACTCACTTTATTTCATTGAAGAACAAAGCCCCAAAATGTTAATCTGCAGAAAATGATTGTTTTATGCTCGTGTACTGCATTAAGATGGTGATTTTGGGGGAACATTGGGGCATTAAAAGGCATGAAAGCCGAATTTGGGACTAGCGTATAGGCAGATTGTCCCCCAGAAGGCAGAGGCGTCCATTAGCACTCTAATAATGTCTTTTATTACGGTATTAACATAAACGTTGGATTGTGGGCTTTGATTACAGAACTTGGCGGTGGATATGAAAGTCGGGGTCCACCAAATAATGATGAGGGCGATAATAGAGGACGATGTGTCATACGAGGGATAGATTAATACAATAATATCTCTATCAGGGACCCTACATGGGGTGAGACATTACTCCCACCTTAGGGGGGCTCCGACCCATCTGGTGGAAGCATGGCAAACAGTGATGATATTGAGTTGACCAAATTGAAAGAAACACAAAAAGAGCCATTTCCTCAGCCATAAACAAAAACATAATATTGATCAATTTTAGATACTTTCAGATCATTGCATGTGTGCTCATCTTCTTATCATATATGAACTAAATGGTAAAGTTAAGCTTCAGTTTTGATTGTGAATTTGAAAGTATACACGAAGGCTTTGTGAGTCAAACTCGGAATGAGGAAGGACCACTTCGAATGGAATAAGAGATTAGTCAATGGATAGGTCCATTGTACACATCACAACTATAAAACAGTCGTTTAAAATATTTCTGGTTTTATTTTTGTTTCGTTCAAAGGATTTGTGTATTTGTGGTGATTATTATGACCCCATCAAGGTTAAATAAAATCGGCCAGATTTCCCAAGAAATTATTACCATTTACTACTATCTGTTTTCCTGATCATAAAAAATGAACCAAATGACTGGTATTTTACTATAATCGTAGTACAACAAATATAAACATTGGTTAAAAGTGAAAGCATTTTGTTTGATTTGCATGATGGAACTTTGATCGGATATTTATGTACATTTTAAAACGCCGAGTTAGGGCACCCTAAACCAGAATGCACGTAGTGCGAGTCTGAATCATAGTCTGAAAAATAGGGCGTATATAATTCAGATTGACCCAAATGTCTTATTTGGTGCCCATGTCTTTTAATTTAGGCTATAACGTTTAATCCTGGTTATGCAATCATCGAGAATTTAAAAACCAAAGACAATGAAGAGCATCACATTGTTAATTATCCCGATGAATGTCCCACTTGGAATATTGAAGTACCATTAGCTCCGACAGCTTATCTGCTTAAATGGGAACATTATGGACCAAAACTCATTTTTAACGAATATGTTTTTTATTGAGTCAGAATTCATTTGTCAAGATGGGAAATGATTTGGGTAAATTCCCATTGGATCTACAGACACATTTAAAACAACTTATATAAAATCATGACGCTAAATGAAATAGCAAGTGCCAAATAACCCACCATCCATCAAAAATGATATCCAATTTGAGACGTTTTCTTAAATTAATGATATTAGATTCGATTGCACGGTTTAAAGATTAATACAAACCAAATTGATAGGTTCAGGTTTAAAAACTCTCCAAATACAGCGATTATTCAGGTTAGTGAGATAAATCCTTTTCAAGATAAACTGAAATTAGTTTTAAGTTATCGAAATCAGAACAATTCTCAAAGCTTGTTCCTGGAACTAAAGATCAGGGACACGATTATCTAAATATTTAGTGAAAATCCCCGAGGATTGAGAATTTCAGGATTCTTAGAAGATTGAAGAAGATTGGGGTTCTTTGAAGAGATCAGGGATTGTTGGATAAACCAGAGCAATCAGAAATGATCAATATTCTCTGTTTGGCAAGACCTCCTTTATAAAAAAATCCGGAGATAAATCTGAGCTTTGCGACGTCTTTGACGCTCTGCCCTCCTATTTATTAAAGTTGTAATAACATCTAAGTGAAGCAATCCCTCATGTATAAAATATCATGTTAGTTGGAAAGATAGATATATCTTTTTACATTTCTTCTACCAATTGACTAAGCTTATCATGACAGATCAAAATTGTTTCTTCTTTCTTCTTGATTACGATGGCCGGTATAAATGAGCCGATAAGGATCTCAATTTGCGCTTAGCGAGATATTGTACGTGAACTATTGGCTGAGACTGTCTAAAATATATAGGGTTGATGGCGACATCATTTGTTCAATAATAGCTTCGCTTGGTGAACACATAAATCCTTTTGCCCATATCAAAATTGCCCATATAAAATAAGTAACTAAGGAATGTAAAAGTTCGTTGACATTAATAGGATAACGCAAAATATACTCCATAAAGTTCAAAACGATGTTTGAGTTTGCATCATATGTTTTTCAAGGACAAGTTCATCATAGTAGATTTAGACAGGTCAAAATCTACGTAAGATTGTACTCTTTGCATTCGTTCGACTTCGCTTCTCAAAAGAGAGCTTCGTCTTCATAGCTTATAACTAGACTCCGCGCATAGGGTAGTGGGGTTGCTGCCTTTTAACAAATATTAAACGACGATCTCAGAAATCTCATCTAACACCTCTTTTAATCATGTTACTAGCCCTTTTAGAGTAGAAATTAAAGCTTATCTACTATTCTCAAAATTTTCAGTGAACATTTTTCATGGATAACATTCACCCATAAATGTAATCATAAACCGTGTGGTGTCCATGTATAGTCTAGCTACAAGCCCTTGTAACCCCCCCCCCCCCCCCCCAACTTCACAGATCCCCAAAGGTTGTGTTGGTGAAGTAGATAAGGGGGAGGTCCGCAGTCTTGAAGCAAGACTATGATGTCCAATGAGATAAAATCCTCGTGCATTTTGAAAAAAATGAGATTGGAAATATCTAATTTTCTTTAAACCTAGTGATGACCGTAAGGTCATTATGGCTTGGGATATTGGAGATTATTTTTCTTCATGTTGTGCTCTTTAATCTTTTCGCATACTTTGTTTGGTATTTTGTCTTTATCATTTTTAGGTATTTTTGTGCATTATTTATTTTTGTTGTCGCGAACAACTTTCCATTTAACTATATCAACGTGATACTCAAAAATAAAATGAACGTACAATGTCGTGTTTATTGTATTCTGTTCATAATTATATATTGTATTTATCTCTCAAATCAACACATATTTACATCAATTGCACATATTATGCTAACAGTCAACTTTATACATCTACTAATATTTGTTACAATCATTTATCTCTATATACATTTGTAAGAACCAAAAGAAGTTCACGTCTATATAATATTGTAAGGCAAAATATCCACATAAATTAAATGTCTGTTTTGTAGTCTTGCTTCAAGACCCTGTAGTCTATCTACATTCTTTATCGGGTATGTTGATATATTATACTATTGTATATCTATGGTTTGATAATAATCTGTTTTTATTTATATCGGAGGGCGTCCATCGTGAATACAAATTCACTGTCTAAAATTACTATAACATCATTAACAAGGTATTAACATGCAGAATGTCACCACCTTCCATTTGATACAGACGCCGAACGCGGAACACTAACATCCACCATTAAAAGTTGGAGACTCTGTAACAATATGTCACCACTAGTGGTGGTGACATAAAAGCTATTTTTTGTTTGTTTATCATTGTTGTCGCATATTCATTGTCATTTTGGCATGTACAATATCATTTACATAATAAGTGTTTGATTTTTGTCACTATACTTGGTAGAAAGATGGATTTTACCTTTAAGACCAAACAACAGAATTAGAGTATCAAAACTGCAGATCCTCAGAAATAATGCTTCGTGACAAATTTCACTGTGAACATATTTAAGTTAGACTGGGCTGGGTCTGCAGATTTAATATTACTACAACTTTAAATCTAAATGGAATGTATTTCTTCCACCATGTTTTTGATGTCTCTTAAAAGAATTTCATCTTGTTGGTAGATAGGGGGACGTTGCGCTCTAATTATATTTTGCATCTGATTTGAGTTCCAAGAGCGTATAATCATCCATTGTCTATAATGGTCATTAACAATGACCGAGTGTTCTCTCTCACTACCTGATGCTTATTACAGCTAGTGTCATACCTTGGTATTGAGCTGTCATGGCTACACAGAATACCAGCCCCTGTGCATGATAGTAACGTCACGTCTTTGTAATGTCACATTTTAAATAAGACTAGTTGTAAGTATAGGATACAAGGCTATCACGCTCTCTCTATATCAGTTTTATATGGCTGGAATAAACTTGGAACTGTTGGTGCACTATGTGATATTGGGATTGGTGCTGGGAGTGACGTTGAGATCAAAGGAAGTGACGTTGATGGAAGAGTGGTCGAAATTGACGCGGCCGCTATGCTTCCATAGTATAGATGACACGTACAGGGCTCACCAGGACCAGATGAGCACGACCCACCCGTCTGGCCAAGGAGCGTATGGTGCCCCAGAGCACTAGGTGGGGTAGGGTGGTCACGTGTCGTGCTAAGTGGTGACGTAGATAGAGTATTTAATGACGTGGGAGGAGTAGTTGGAGCTGCAACATCTGGCACGGATGGCCTCAATATCGGGTTTGCTAAAATGTCTGCTCGGGGCCGAAGTGGGTTAGGGATGGGGTATGGACTGTACGAATGTGCTGCTCTCTGGTTGAGGCTTTGTAGTCCTAAACTTGCGTAGTAGTTCAATGGCGATGCAGCAGAGTTTGGTAGGGTGTAGGGATAACCAGCTGCAGCCGCAGCGTTCATTAGATAGGCGTATAGGTTTGGGTCTGGAATGCCGTATGGCCAGGCCATAGCCATCCTTTGGCGTTTGTCCTTCATTCGACGGTTTTGAAACCAAACCTGAAAAGATAAAATAATATACATTAGGACAAGGTACAGTGATCATACTGTCTATTAATTGTATATCTATAATATTTAATAAGTTATTTATTTCAAAGATGAGATTATAATTTTTAATAGTTTTTGACTCGTTTAATACCTATGACTGACATTCCCGTACCTTGATAGTTGATTCAGGTAAGTTGAGTGATGCGGCTAATTCACATCTTCTTGGGCGAGAAACATAGTTTTCCCTGTAGAATTCCTTTTCCAGTCGCGCAATCTGTTCTCTGGTGAATGCTGTTCTATACCTACGGATGTTAGGGTCGTCAATGTTACCTGAATAAATCACGAAAATAATTTCATAAGTGAGAGTACACACATATTGAGTGAACCTGTTAATTTGTTAATTGTACCATGTAGGCAGCGTTTGTTGTTCCATTGTATTGTATCATCAAATTATACCTAACTACTAAACGCTGGTATATGATCACATCCATCAACTGATTATGTTATCATTGTGACATAATGTATAAGTGTTACTCAACAAATACAAGCAGGTTTTGCGTGACGCGATAACAATTATGTCATAAATATTTAATTAACCAAATATTTTCTATCTTGAGCCTATCAATCAGTTATATGATTACATTTGTTTTAAATGTATGTGTTCATTAATAATCGTTCCATTAATACTATTATTAATATAGGAGCAGCAAAAACTATAGGAACGAGCTGCGAGCCCGGGGCTACGAGTGAGTGCAATAGGCTATTTTTCATTGTCATCATTCCATCATCATGATAAACCATGACATCTCAATTCATCATTAGCCCTGAGATGTTTCAGGTGAAACAGAAAGATGTTATGAGTATCAGAATGTCATTCCATGACTTGCCTAAAATGTCGGACAGTTCTGATCTTCGTAGTAATTGTCATAGTTTTGGGTTGTATTTCTTTCTCCTTCGTAATATCTATTTCGTCATTTATATTTTAATTTCACCAGTTACATATACTAGTTCCCTATAGTCATTCTCCTTTCCTAAATTGTCTGGTGTATCAGAATGTTTTTCTGCTGTCATTTATCATACTTTGTGGTTATACTATATTATGCCAATCATTGTCCCATTAGCTTTTAATAATACAGGCGTTTGTTTTAGATCACCCAATGAACGACAATGCAATTTACCATAAAGCAATAATGAACGTTTTATAACAAATACCAATCAAATTACCACTGATCAAATTATGATGTCAGAGCAAGAATATTAGGATTTTATCGTTCTTTATGATCTATTATTTATGTTCGGCAAATACACCAGTATAATTCAGCTAAATATGTTATGAATATAATGCAGCTTTTGAAATGATCTGAAAGAGCATTCGGGATATGATGGGCCCCCTATAATAGACTGATGGCTGGTCGCACGTGGACTTTTGACGTTTGTTGCCAAAGAATGGCCATTAACTTATGTTGAACATCATAATAACTGTCTTACTAGCGATATAAAACTAAAAAGGCTCATTTAAAAAGCATATAGACTAGTAAAACTTTGTTTATTTGGAAATTAATAATGATGGGGCTTGTTGAACAAGCTTTGAACACTGGAGAGATCAAAGGCATTTTTAGTTGGGAATTGAAATCTATCCCATTTGACTGGTGTGTCACGGAAAATGCCTACTAATGGGGGTGATCATCATCATAAACATTACAAACAACTAAAATTTACATTTCAAAGTCATCTTAAAGGGGTTATTCGGTGCATTCCCATAAATTGTATCCCAATCGTTTTCTTGGCGTTGACATTGGACTGCTTGTAGTAAGTGACGCGGTAGTTTTTTCTAAATGGAAGGGATGGGGACGTGTGTCCAAGGATTGAGGAAATTAAAACATATAACCACTGATCGTAATCAGTTATGATTCAGCCAATTTGACAAAAGTCCACTATTTCCACAAGTGACGTATTCTGTTGATCAAATGGAGTTGTTTTCACTATCTCTGTTTTATTACCAAAACATGTTAATTAAAGTAATCCTGAATGGTATGGTTGCTTGTTGATGCATCATTGTAACAGGAACCTCCAATGTTGCACATCAAATTAGCAGATCACTAACAATTTAATGGTCGATCTACAATTTGTTATTACACAAAAGCCATGTGTGTCCATCATTATGACGTTACTCCTGTTTACACGTTCTTACCCCATTTCTTTTCCACCCCTCATCATCAGTAATTGGAAATCGAGCTTATCACGCCAGGAAGTAAACAATGTTGACGACTTGGGACGTAACACATCATTAGAAATCATCCCAATTTTGCCCACCCTGTTTTAATAGATATTTGATTTGTCAAGACGGTGTACCAAATTTCATATAAATCGTAACATATCCATATCAACCAATAAGAACACAGAAATCTAATTCAAAAATCAAACTAAATTAAACTGAAATCTATGACGAGCGTAGCGAATTTTTGTAAGCAGGGATTATTGATTTTATACGATCAACCATTGTTACTCCTAAAATAACACCCTTTATTTGATAATCTATCAATTCTTTGGAAGACAAACCAGAAGATTGAATGAAAGGTATGAATGAATAGGTTCTGGATGTGAGTCAGTAAAATATATATTTGCAAAATTCTGTTACTATTATTCAAAATGAGTACATCTGTCTTAATGATAGTGAATGATAACTCTTTATGCAGTTTTGATGTATCCCGGGATACGAGGGTTGGGATTAATCAAAAACATATCTAAATTATCAAAATCCAATAATGACAATAATAGAGAAAATAATGGAGAGATACTTAGAGCAGATAATCGCAATTTTATAAATCGTTCATTGACTAGGGAATTTTTGATGCTTCGTTCTCATAATAATAGTTTGTTTTGTTACTTTGTGCTCATGTACGTGTTCATTTGTTCGCTTGGTTGAATAAGTCAGGGTTTCAATGATTGCATCGATTTGAGTGGCAATCGAGATTTCGTCCCTTATTAATGTAGATATTGTGCATCTGATGATTTTTGCTTTCGAACAATACAATAACATACTCAGCTTAGTCATATGATTAAATGCTACTACATGGGTCTATGTTTAAAATTTTCATTTTCAACCAGTAAGTATAGTCACATCATGATAAATCATGGTCGTTTATTAGTTCCTTCTAGTTGAAAAACAGAAAGAAGCGATGAGTCAGAATGAATGAAGTGGTCATGTCTAGTACCCTAATGATGACACTGATCTTGAAACTCTTAAAATAATTTAACATAAAGTTGTGTAAGATATGGGAATATTCAAAGGCCTTTCCAGGGACCTGTCATATTTTGAATAATCGTCGCTGATTGAAACGTTGAAATGTACAATGCGTTCAAATGTTACTATTCATTCGTCAGTCAACAATAATTATTCGTGAATTAATTTCACAATGATACACATAATGAATGTGCTTTGAAATATTTAATTTCAATTCTCAATTTTGCTACTGTATTTGGTTTAGTATTTGCGGTACTTGACGCCACTTGCAGTTCAAATGCAAATCGTATTTGTAAACACAAATAATTAATTGTAATTCACACTAATGAAACGCCATAATCTGTCTAATCGCTTGATTATTGTTAACAATATATGTCTAATGCGTTAATCTTCTCACATAAGAATCGCAATCTGAACTTCAAATGTTACATCAAAGTAGAGAAGTGTGTCCCTTATACAAGTAGTCGTTTATTTAAGGTAAATATTTAAGAAGAAAATATTCTGAGAGAAAAATAGGATTTCGAAAATCGTATACCTAAACCTTATACTTCGAATTATTTACTATCATAACTGAAAAGAACTTAAAACATTCCATTCGGAAATAAAATATCAGAATGTGAAACTAACAATTTTAATCTACATCTTAATTACTATTTTTTACTTTCAATTGTATTATAAAAATTGGGATTAAGCAAGTGGCATCTGTGATCATACCGACTGTTCCAGAACCAAGATTAAATAGAATTAAATAAAACTTGAAAAACATAAAAATGGCAAACAGGTAGCTCTAATTAGACGTTGCCGATGGCAAAATGTTAACACTAATCATAACTTGAACAATCTCTTATAATATGTATATCATACATCTACACAATAATCATGTTACGTCACTAATTAACAAACTTTTCCACTTGTTACAATCCTAAAAATGGCTCGAAGTTATTGTTTAAATTTAATTGAATGATCATAACAAATATTACTATGCCTTGCTACAACATGCAACTCAAATGTTCTTTTTTAACTATTCGTATCGTTGTGTTTTTAAATCTCATAACATTTATTATATAAAAATTATATTTACCCATAAGTTGATTGGTTTTTCCCTTCACATCATTGTCACTTAATGCATCATCGTCCGAGAAAGTTGGGGACACTTTTCCGTCATGAAATCTCTCAGCCATGTCGTTGTGGACATGTGGGTAGGGTCCCATAGGGCTGTGGGGCGTGGGTGCGGTCATTATGTCGATCTCTTGGTCGTGGTCTGTCTCTACCATCTTGCCGTTGGTCTTCTCCTGGAGTGTGTCGGTGTTGATGTGTTCGCGTTCAGTTTTAAATGACTGCATTCTTTCGCTCGGTGCGCTTTTTACGGCCACGGGTTAACCACAAGCAAGAGCGGATATCCAAAAGTCCACAAATTGATGTCACTCTCTCGTTGTAGTGAACTCAAATAATTACACAAAGTTTGTTGCAAAATTGCAGCTCTTTCAAATTTATAAAGTCCAATTTTGGTCCACTAGGTTGTTTGCTATATCGCAATAGAATGTGTCAGTATGAATGGCCCAGTAGCCTTATGTATGCCAGTGCCATCATTACTCTGACGACGTTACAGTAAATATTCATGAGATGCTGATCATAAGCCCTGCCTCTCTATATCTGTCCAATAAGGGAGCACACTCTTTTCCATTGATTTGGGATTATCCCCGAAGGGAATGTTCTTAGATAGCAACCATGACAGTATGATTAATTGGAGGCGGTACTTATTACGGAACACTACAGATGATCGCAAACCATTGGTGGTCAAATGTCGCCCCCAGACTTTCACCAATCATCGTTACATCATGCTATAAAACCATTAGCTATATCATTACATTGCCATCATGAATGAACAATTTACTTTGATCCTGGACAATGTTTTCACAATTTAGACAAGATGTTGAAAAGATTGCGCATAACAAAAAATATAAAATGATGTCCCATTGACGCCTGGGGTTAGGATTACAGCATCCACAAATGTCTTCCCACACACTGTGACACAAAGAAAAACACATGTATGTATGTATACAATGCAAAACAATGTCATCTGAATATTCCAAGTTTCGCATACAGTATAATTCATTTGCAATTTAGTAATCAATTGCGCTTGATGGATAGTCCAAAGTTGACAATAAACTTGGAAAAGAGCGATAAACTTGGTGCTAAGCGATCTTTAGAGTTTACAAACATCCAACTCTAATGCAATAATCGTTGATAAATTAGACTTTGATTTCCACCGACAGTAGTGAAAAATTGAACTACATGAATAGTTCACCTGATATTCAGCGCTTTTTTCTACAAATCCGAAAAACTAAGGAACCACTTATAGGCTTACTAAAATGTTTTGTAATGTTCTAACATAGTCTGAACCTAGCATCAAGCGCGGCATTCAAAGTTGACATTATTTTATAGTTAAGAGGGGTAATCTAAAGAAATAGAGCAGTTTTACATGTCAATTTATATGCGGAAGACCTGTAAGCAGTCCGTGTGTCCAACACTTCTACTTTGATCTTGTTCATCTTATTGTTGGTTTAATCATCTTTATAATGGCTGGTTTAATTGCTGAAGAATAGGCAAAGTATTACGCCTTTGTATTTTTATGCTTTTTCTATGTTCACCCCTCAATATACTGATATATGACTAGATACGGATGAAATAGACTGATAGAGGACTAAGCTTATAAAAAAGGCAAAGGGACATATTACAGTTACAGACAAGTCATGATTCTGGCTATCAAAAATTATTATAACAATTAAAATCCACATTTACTTCTTAAAGTTTCTGCTTCGGAATGGTTTCTTTGATTCTTGATTTCTAATGTAGATATCATGGAAATTTATACCCTACCATCTGTTATTTAAAAGCCACTTCGTGAGTTATGATGGGATATTCATAGACGGCAAATCTCGCTCACTTATCGCAATCATCATTACAGACTTATTGGTCCTTTTATACCATTCTAACATCACAATCTGGAGTAACACACAAGAGAACTTCCGTTTCCTTTGATCCGTTAATACTTTACAAAATAAGTGATAAGAATATAAAATCTAGTGCAGATTTTAGATAGCTTCTTAGGATGTTATCTGCATCAGTCCGCGAATTCATTCTGGGTTGCATAAAATGTGAATTTAATTGACATAAGTTGATTTGATGATTTAATGAAAGGTGATCAATGGCTAGTGACGGCGAATTCTTACTAAAACAAACATTATGAACATATGCCAGAATAATTATTATCTTTTTATGGTTTCCTAATTGGCACATTGACTCAACGATGAAAGACATCGTCCCCTGTTTCAGTTGTAACCATGATTCAAAGATGGCGCTGAGCTCAAATAATGGGGAATAAACACGGTTACAATAGTCGTCACCATGTTATCAGTATTTCATACTAAGAACTCATTACCGTTATACTTATCAATATTCTGATTTCAGAGATTGCTTAAAATCAATGTTTATCTTATTATTTTAACACCGTGTGATCAACAGTCTAAAAAACTAAAGATTTCATAGAAAATACTTTATACCACATGAACTTGTAACCAATGAAATAAATACTTCAAGGGGGAGTAGGCTAGTACATCCTGGGTAGGCACGCCCTCCTTTGTCAGATCCAATTTGCCTATTATTGCCAAATCAAAGTGGTAATTGGTAAGAACAAAAGTCTTTATTTGTAGATTTAAAGGAGGGACTTTCTCTCACTTGTACTTCAATAATAACATGATCGTACAAATCTCTGAGGAGTTCAACTGATTCTTAAGTCACTCAAAGCTTTTAATTTTCTCTGCCACTTATGTGGTGCTTCGGAACCTATTCGTTAGGCATCATAACTCAATCAACTTGTATTACGGGAATTAAAACTATAGGGGTTAATAAATTTATATGTAATTAAATTATAGTTGTGTTCTTAAAGTGGCTAATCCCGGCAATCCAATAGTTTGAGAGTTAATTGGGTGGAGATGCCGATCGTTGTTTTGATTCCCTCGGGAGAATCGCGTCACCCTCGGGAACCGTTTAGTTGCATATAAATTGCTACTAGGCCGCATTAGTACATGGAAACTGGCAATAATTAGCATGGTATCTCATCTCTATCTTAATCATTACTATTGTTTGCAAGATGATGAGACATTAACATTACATTCTACTCGTCCATAAAGGCCCATGGAATGCGCATTATATGTATTATGCCCGATCATCACACCTCTAAAAATCTCCTTATAGAAAACTTGAAATGATCAAAATGAGACCCTTGACATAGAATGTAATGTAACTCATTATGCCGGATTCTCGTTACCCTGATGTTTACGATCTCCAATTAGACTTGCTTTAATTACGTTTTCACAAAAAGGCTATGCTATATACCACCATGGTTTGGTTCAGTGAGTTCGTCTCTATTATATTATTGCAATGTATCTTCATCAAAATGGTTCCTTTTGGGTGATAGTTTCTTTGATTAAATTATTTTCATGTGATTTAATTTTTAATATAACTTTCCAGCCTATACATTCAGATTCCAAATATAAGTAAATACAAGAAAATAATTTAATCCAGAGAATGCACATTTTCAGTTATATTAATAACTTGGAAATATTATTGAACCTTTTCAAACTTATTCCGTGATTTTTCACACAACAATTGATTGTGAATTTTTCAATTAATTCTGAATATAATAAATATAAATAAATACGAGTGTTGTTCCGGAAAGTCATAAAACAGCTTATAACTACGAGTCTTCGATTTCACCTTTTAGCCTTGAATAATAAAATCTCGTAGAAATCAGTTCAAAACTTCTGGAACAACACTCGAAAAACGATAAAACAATGTATGGATTGATACCAGAATATTGTATTTTCTAATGTTGCCCTTTATGGTTATTATTGGTCATAGAATAAATAGTTTTACAAAAATAAAATTCAAATTATTCCTCAGTTGAGACTGACACTCAAAGCACTATTTGTGTACCACCACTCAAAGGTTTCTTACGCCATACTTAAGACAAAAAGATCAACCAAGGCTTCTGCTGATCACAATCAATTTCAAATTACAGAATTACAATTTTCTTTTGGAATGAAAAATCTCTTGTCTTGTAGCTAATCTAAAAGCTATTGATCACACAGCATTGCCAAATAATGTGGCTTTCCAATCAGTTTATTTGCACATTAGTTCCGTTTATGTTTCATTAAAGCCCAGTCTCAGAAGTCACTCCAAAAACACTGATAAAACATATGATAAAGATACTCATTAATATAATAAAGGCATATTAAAATTTGATTCATTTTCAGATAAGGCGACTGAGACATTCAAATTAAGTGGGCATTGATTAGAAAAGTGTCATAATTATAGGCCTGTCTCAGCTTTTCTGATAAAGTAATATTTTTAGGGAGCCTGACCAAATGTTGGCTTAAAGCTTAAGTATTCTTGCCATTTCTGACATGAGCATCTCACTAATACAGAAGAACCATCTCCAATCACTTAAATTATTTTGAAATGGCCACACTAACTCGATTTGGACAATTACTGGATAGTTAGGTCTTCAAGTTTGAGAGCTGGACTACATTTGATGTATCATTCATTCTTCTGAAATATTCCAGATTTACTGTTATTCCATATTTCAGTATTTTGCCACGTATTGGATCGCCAATCGTTTTAAGCAATTAAACTATGAAAAAAGAAGAAAGAAAAACTTCAAATATAACAATATTATATTCCCACATATTAAGCCTTAGTTAAAATAACATTTCTGTGCATTTTCGAAAGTGCAGATATGATCAATGAACAGAATAGCAAGAAATGAATATGACGATACGTTTTTCTTGAAATAAATTGAACATATAAGACTAAATCTAATTATTGGTATCCTAGGTTACTTGAGCACCACCAAGAAATAATGGCCAAGAATAAAGTGGAAATATTTTATTTTATTTTGATGACTCCAATGCAATTTTACAAACACATAAATTTTGATACAACTTGGCCAGTACTTATGAGTTCATTTTTAGCAATTTGCTGTCTAATGCAGGGCTGCGATAAGATGCCAACTGGTTAAGTGGTTCTGGTGGCAGAAAACAGTAGCCTTGCAAATCTTCTGTTTGACAAATACTTAAGCATAAGTCAAAGAACCAAAAACACAAACAATTTTTATATTGACAAATTGATGATTAAAATAGGATGATATAAAACCTTGTTTTCAGAAAATTTGGATAATTTTAAACAATGAGACATAGGATGAAGAAACTATTCTCGGAAAAGAGTTCACAACAGTAAGGGATGGTAGAAGGAATATACGGAACACGTCATGTCTAAAACAATGGTTCTTGATTAAAAGCCGACAGGTTAATTCATGGCAGTAATTGGAACTAATGCTTATAATGTATCAAATCAACATTACATCAATTTTAACGCACATTGTTGAAGGTTAACATTGCGATTATCAGCCTAAGTAGCTATTTTAGTCAATACTCATAATGTCCTACCAAATCACAATGTTCATAATTTAGCCATTTAAAGTATAATATCCAGCACAATTTTTCAAAGCTTTCAAAGTAAGATTTCACTGATGTTTGGAAATGCATTAGTGCTAACTGAAAAAGATTAATTGAAACTCACTTTTGACAAACATTATCAAATAAACTACGTCATACATTATATGTGACTTTGTTCAGGAAGTAAAATGCTGGATTTTACACCTTAAACTGTTATATAGTGTTTAAATCTTAAAATATACACTTATCTCAGAATACTTTTGGGCCTTACAGCTCAATTTATTACATACTAGTATTTTTCAACAAATTTTCTTAAAAACAATTCATTGGGATGTATGCTATGCAATATTGTTAAACGGTATAAGGGTGGTCCTCTCATTGCCATTTTCATGGATATACATAACAAGTTAATAACAAAAACTCTTCTAATTTGAAAAGTTTCACATATATTTTAATGAAAGAGTAGTACCCAAAACATCATCAAATTCAATCCACTTGATAAATTTTGGCAGCAATTTTCATGTCTTGGGAAATGATCTTGGATTTTCCAACCTTTTCCTTTGTACTCATCTTTTTTATTTTAAAAGATAAAAAGTTTGATTTTGATTCTGATAAGACAAATGTGTAATTTTTTTGAATAAAAAAGAATGATCAGTAGCAAAGTGTCATTTAAAGGTTCTATTCCATTTCATTGTAAATTAAAATCTGATTTTTGAAAAATTTCTTTTCGCATTTGCAAGAAAATAGCATTTTAAGATTCACACCATCTATAACAGTGTATAATAACACAGCATACTTTATCTCTAAAGCTATTTTGTATTGAACCAGCAGTCTGAAACAGCCATAAGAAATAATATTTGAATGATGGTAGCCATTTTTGTTGTTTTGTGATATGCTTTATTCAATAATGCTGAATTCAGCCTAGGCCCTGTCATATGTATATCAATTTTGAAAATTAAAATAAAGAAACCATCAAAACTAAAAACTAAATTTGAATGAGAATAAAAATATTTCAAACAACCTAGCATTGGGTCTTTAAGAATATACATCAGGACAAATCTTGATATTATCATGAACTAGCATGAACATATACTACAACATGTTTCACCATAAATCATGTATTTTAAAAAATGTGTACAAACAAAAATATATACAATACAGTACATAATATTCTAAAGCATATGAACTTGAATATAACCTCAATAGCCAACTAGTTTTTAACTGTAATTGTAACTGTTATCATAATATGAAATTTACATGGCAACAGCTTGCACCATGTCCCCACCTGCAATCATCCACCACAGCCAAGGTGGAAGACACATACAATGGTCTTGAAGATTGTCAAAAGATGGCATAAACTGTCCAATACTAACATAATTAAAATCTCATTAATAAATTGCTGAAAAACAGATTTCTTGTAATTTACCCAATGAAACAGGTTTATATTTTTATATTCCACAAAGAATAATCTTATGACGCATTAAGACAATGAGTCTAAAACAAGTTCAATGGTCCCTCAAAAACTGTTTTATCCTGAATCAGGCTATATTGTCCTATATTTTTTATCCTTCCAATCGATCATCCACACAATTGAAAAGGTCACTTTTGAAGATTTTTTCTTAAAACGCAGTCAATGATTTGATTTCAAGATGGTTGACAAGAAGTGTAGAAGTGGCAATTTTTAAATCTGCATAAGAACTTACTATCACCAAGAGGTCTGTAGCAGTATTTTAGAAACTGAGGGAAGAATTTTGACCGTATGAACATTCCTTGTTCCACAATATGTCCTCCACCTTAGAGTGGTGGGGACATAACAAATGCCATCTTAGTTCCTATCATCCTCTGGTAGATTAGGTTGGTATTCGTCGTGCTCTTATAGAGGCTAACAGTGCATCTCTTGGCTCTGTGGCCCTTCGCTCATGCTCTCTCTGAGGCTTTGGTTGTCTTATGCCTTGTAAGCGTCCTGGTGTTACATGGCTTCGTTGTTCAGATGTAATTGGGCCTTCTCGTACAGCTGTAACAACGTCTTTCTCAACAGATGAAACAATCCCTTGTTGCTCAAACAGAATAGGTTTTAGCACAGATGAAATATGCCCTTGCTGTACAGATGAAATATGCCCTTGCTGTACAGATGAAATAGGTCCGTGATGTACAGATGAAATAGGTCCTTGATGTACAGATGAAATAGGCCCTTGTTGTACAGATGAATTAATATGCCCTTGCTGTCTGGATGAAATAGGTACTGGTTGAGCACATGAAATGAGCTCTGTCTGTTGCTGGTAATTATTATTAAAATTCATTCCTTGTTGACCGTAGTACTGTCCTGTATACTGTCCTGTATATCTCTGGGGTAGGGGAGGTGGTTCTTGTCTCTTGGGTGACGCCTGCTGCGTGTAGGGCTGCATACCATTGCTGTTTATAGTGCTATAATAGTTACCCTCATCCTGCAACATATATATTCTTTTATTGACAGACACATAGCAGTATAGTGCAGTACTCATGGAAATGAACAGGTATCTCTCAGTAGGCAGCTGACTATAATTTATTTATTCATTTTTCAATTAATTTACTGAATTTTACTTGTAAACCGAGACACACACATGTATGTGACACAGCTGAGGAAAATTATTTGTGTACAAAATCTTACAGTGGATAGTCCCTATATTTAATTTCAGCCACAAAATATATTGCAAATAAAGTTAATAATCTAATTTTATTGATGATTCAATAAGTTTTTTGATTACCTGATATGGTGGAGCTGGGGGTGAAGCTTTTGATGGCCTAGATGATTTTGTTTTAGTGGTTTTAGAGGTTGTCAAAGGCTTAGGGCTAGGTTTGGCTTTGGACTTTGTTCCACAACTGCAATAAAATACGTTTTATATGAAATGACTGAATGTACCCAACATTAACATATCATAACCAACCGCCATAAACATATCATAATCAACCGACATAAACATATCAAAACCAACCAACATAAACACATCACAATCAACAGACAATAACATATCACAATCAACCGACATTAGCATATCATAATTAACCGACATAAACATATCAAAACCAACCAACATAAACACATCACAATCAACAGACAATAACATATCACAATCAACCGACATTAGCATATCATAATCAACCGACATAAACATATCAAAACCAACCAACATAAACACATCACAATCAACAGACAATAACATATCACAATCAACCGACATTAGCATATCATAATCAACCGACATAAACATATCAAAACCAACCAACATAAACACATCACAATCAACAGACAATAAAATATCACAATCAACCAACATTAGCATATCATAATCAACCGACATAAACATATCAAAACCAACCAACATAAACACATCACAACAAACTGACAAAAACCCATCACAACCATCCAACATAAAAATATCACAACTGACTGACTTAAACAGATCACAACCAACCGACTTAAACATATCAAAACTAACCGACATAATCATGTCACAACCTACCAACGTTAACATATCACAACCAACTGACATAACTACATCACAAACAACAAGCATAAAAGCATAACAACCAGACAACATAAACACATCACAACCAACCAACACAAACTAATCACAATATTATACACATCATGAACCTACCGACATAAACTGATCACAACTTACTGACATAAGCATTTTACAACCAACCGACATAAACACATCATAACAAATCAACATAAACACATCACAACCAACCAACATAAACACATCACAACCAACCAACATAAACACATCACAACCAATCAACATAAACACATCACAACCAACCAACATAAACACATCACAACCAATCAACATAAACACATCACAACCAATCAACATAAAGACATCACAACCATTATCAACCAACAGCATAAACACATCACAACCAATCAACATAAAGACATCACAACCATTATCAACCAACAGCATAAACACATCACAATAAACAATCCTTAACCATCACAACCAAACAAAATACATCATTACAATCAACTGACAAACACATCACAAGCAACCAACATACACATATCATAACCAATAGACATAAACACATCACAGTACAACAAACAAGACACACAGGGATAAATATTACAAGAGCAAATAGCAAATGCACACACGCCAATCAGCACAAGACTACAAACAAACAAATCACAAGCAAAGACAAACACATCACAAGCAAACAACATAAACAAATCACAAGCAACCAATGTAACATAACCCACAAAGATCTGTTACTCCGAGTAAAAATGAAGACAGAAACATTGAATTCTCTTTATAGCCATTAAATTCCATAAAATGACATAAATACAGTTGAAGTTTTAGATTGCAGTAAGAAATAAAACAAGGCATTAACATGACAGAATGTCACCACCTAGTTGCTCACAATATTATGAGTTCAATCTTAAGTCAGATTTGAATTTCAGAGAACTAAGAACTTGTAGATGATTTTGAGAAAATAAATTGGTCAATTTGAAACAAGTTGAAAAAATACCTTTTTGACCTTTTTTGACCTTGAGAAGGTAATTGAAGGCCAAATCTCAAATCTAAAGTCAGATTTGAACTGTTGAGAACTTGTAGCTGATTTTGAAAAAAATGGTCAATTTGAAGCAAGTTGAAAAAATACCTTTTTGACCTTTTTTGACCTTGAGAAGGTAATTGAAGGCCAAATCTAAAGTCAGATTTGAACTTATGATAACTTGTAGATGATTTTGAAACATTTGGTCAATTTGAAGCAAGTTGAAGAAAGACCTTTTTGACCTTTTATTGACCTTGAAAAGGTCAATAAAACAGTAAACATAAAACCGCCAAACACCAACCACCAACCCCCATCCGCCGTCAAAAAAACGGAGACCATAACTTTTTGGTGGTGACATAATGATAAGAAATGAGGTGAGACAAAAAGATACAGAATTATTGGAAAATTTTGGAAAAGTTGCTCTTTATCTTTGATTAGAATGACACTTCCTAGTGAAGCCACATGCCTCAGATTCAGGAGGAAACTGATGTACTGTGTGTCACTTACCACCAACATAATCCGCAGCCAAACAAAATGATTGCAACTACAGCACAAATAGAGATAGGCACTGCGGTTTCAATATCTTTCATGCCTCCCCTCGCAAGTATTTTAGTTACCATGTTCTTCATGTCTGAAAATAGTAAATTAAATACATCATATCAGTCTACACTTTTTCTCACATAATACTAATAATTAGATTTTTAAAATAGTTACTACAATGAAACGTGTAAAGTGGAACAACTCTAGAGGTGAAGCACCTCTGTGAGTGAACTTACAGAGGTTTCCCAAGATCAACTGACTTAATGATAAATGAATCTCTACAGGCACATTGCCAGCTTTTGCCAAGGGGGTTCACTTTTTAAAAGAATTCCAAACAATGGCTAAAATCACTTAAAAAAGTGCTCAGAATGGTGAAAACTGCATGATTTTGAAAGAATTTTTGGCTAAAGGGAGAGAGTTCTTTCAAACCCTCCAAGACACCATCCTGTCTACAGGCCTGCTCTTTAAGTGGTACACCTCCCAAATGGTACAATTTTTAGAGGTACCAAAGGTGTTCCACTAAGACAGGTTTTACTGTTTTTTATGTCCAAGGAAACTGTTTTAGTTGAGTAGCAGTGATGCATGCCCTCAGGTGGTGGATCTGGAAAGCTGATCTTAATGTTCTTTTGGCAGAAATATTATAATATTGTGGTAAAAGAACAATGGTTTATTCTTGCCTTTAAACTGAATGGAATATGTCAGCAATATACAAGATAGGAATTTTCGCTATAAAACTTAATTGGTACTGATAGTTTTTTAGAATTTTTTCCAATTCTTTCATCGAGGTACAAGACTGGATTGATATTTCTGTATGTCTCCCAAGCAAACCAAATAACCAAAAGTTTATACAAATCTGCATTATTCATCACATAATGATTGTACATTATACTATATAATATTTTTGGATATGTCGGTCTCTGTTATTCATCAAAAGCCTCCCTGCAGTGTTAAACCATTATCTAAATCATGGTACTAGGTGTATGAGTCCTGATTTAATTGTTATAAAACTAGGTTTTTTTATTATTCAAGGCCAAAATTTCATCTATTGAGGACAATGAGCCAAACCTATTGTTTTAATAGAACCATTATACTTGTGGTAAAAAATGATTGTCTAAAATCAAATGCCATACTGTGTATGGTTCTTTTAATATTATGGACATGTTTTTGTCAAAAAAAACTAAAGACCACACTGAAAAGTTAGATCCCTCTTAATGAAATGTGGCTACAGGCATGTACTTGCACATCATTATAAACTACTACTCGATACATAATAAATAGCTTCACAACCATATACAGCAAAACATGAATGTTAATGGGTGGTGGTCTTAGAACACCTACATATGTCTATGAGACAGGAGATGAACATGTTTGGGTTGTTCAACAGATGTTGTAAGGTTTGTGGTCTTTACCTGCACAGTTAGGAAGCCACTTTATCCCTATCCATCATTCCAGCACACTTTACCACTAAGCTCACTCTCATTTAGAATAATTGTTTCTTAATGAAATATTAATCCAAGAGATCATAAAAGTTGCTATTAATTCAATTTATGATTATACCTGATGATCTATAGCTGGAATATTCTAATTGTGGTATACTATAAACTATGGGGATATAAACCTAGGGGACCTATAGATATGGGATAAATGGAAACATCATTATTTATTTAACAACGATCCATTATTGATTGACAAATACAAGAGAAAATCTAAACTGGATTGGCAAAAAATTCATTAACTGATGAATATCCTGCTAATTCTTCTACAAAAAATCATAAATGAGAGAATAAATAATAGCCAAGTCAATCTATAAGTGTGTCACAATGTCCTGTTTATTATTAAGGTCAATTGCCTTCTGATCTAGCAAGTTAAACACATTAGCCATCAAACAGATTGTTTAACCGGAGAGGATATCAAAACTGTGATTTTATATGGAGCCTTTTTATTTAAAAAATCCATTCATTGCAATTTTTAAAATCATGAAATGTTACTACATATGCAATAATTCAAATCAATGCTCAGAACATGATGACATTAATAATTGGTTAAATCAGAATCCCAGACCAAAACCAAAAAGAATAATGATAATGATTCATTCATCATCACCATAGGAACAGTTTTTGAACAATCAATTTTATTTTCATAATCGAGTGAAACAATAGTCATCACATAAAGAAGATATCATAATAGTGATATCATATTATGTAGTCCAATTTAACTTCTATAAAAAATTAATAGCACCCGCAAGTAGAACAGCTTGATATCACCCATTGAATTATACATCATATGGTTGCTATTCAACAATTAATTTGCTTCTTTTTTTCAAGCTCATTCTAGGGATTGTTCAAATTAAGGTCAATAAGTAAATGATTGATTTAGCGCTTGGCGCTCAAAATGCCACATGGGAATGTTTTAACAATAGCGTCTACCAATAATACAATAAAGTAAACAAACGATTAGAATAATATCATAAAATATTAATAATGATGATAAAACATTAGAATACTAATTGTTTCCTAAGCATAGTATAAATAAATTAGTGTTTAAAACAATGGGTTGCATAAGCATTAACCAAGTCTATGCACAAAGGGGTTTGCCTCTAACAAAGAGAGCAGCCTGGTGAGACGCTATAAAGTTGAATCAAAGAGACCCTCAGTACATTATCTAATTAAATATATTACAGGTTTATAGGCATTTATTGCTACCTTATACAGTTCTACCATATGACATTCGCAATCATAAGTTTGAATAGCGTAAAGCAATAATCATTTTGATTTCACTTGAATACAACTTTTAATTTCATGAAACCTGATTGAAAACCATGGGGGTTCATAAAATTCCGTATGATTAAGCGCCCCTGAATTGGGGATCATGATGCAACCACCACATCAGAGAGCAGAGGTCCCACAAGTCGTCAAGCCACAAAGCAAGGGGCGTACATAAATACTCAATTACAATTGACCATCAAAATGACCTACTTAATCATAGAAAATTGCGGATTTCAGTTTCTACTTTGTTAGATCTTGACAGCTAATGTAATTGCATAACTGGTCCATTTGATCTAAATGATAATATTCACATATGAAGATTCCATAACTGAACACACCTGTCAGTTAGAACAAGTTAATTGAAAATTAAAACTATTCAAAATATGATTAAAATTATTTTCAAATGACAAGTTTTCTTGAGAAAGTATGAGATATATCTTGTAACAAAAAATAATTAAATCAAACACAATTGATTATAAATTGTGATTCTGAACACTTGAAACCTCTCGAAATTAAATGAAAAAAAAAGAATGGAAAATTTCAAAATATATTTTGATCGATCAGTTCTACCTGCTAACATGGAGCGAAGGATGCAGAAAATACAGGAGACATAAGTGGCTGCAGAGCTTTCCTTATTGGCGCACCTCAGACATGTCTTCAACAGAGTCATCAAAGCGCTCACATCCAGCTAGCATATCACAGATGCCGCAACTAATAACAATCCATTGGCTTTTGAAACGGTGGCATAACCCATTGCACAACCATATGATAAAGTACCGAGTTGTTTGGCTAAACTGTCAAAGATGCGGCACACTCCAGTGCAATTGGGCCATTAAACCACATCTGTTGTCAAAGAATCACTGTGATTATAATGAATAAAAGTGAATTATGGCCACTGAATTACTGTGTTCGGCTATTATTAAGATATCACTGTTAAAGCTGACGAGGTGGTTGTGTTGTAAAGACTGGGCGGGGCAGGGTACATATTAACTGATAGCCCGCACGTGGTAACAGTAATTACAAAGCTCCGCTAGTGAGACCTCAATTAAATGCTCTTTTACAGTTGACAATATCTAGCCTAAGTAATTGATAATTCATACAGACTTGCTACAATGCCATTTTAATAAGTAATGTTGAAACTCATTAGCAATTCTATGTAATAGTTAAGCCAGCAAATTGAATATTTGCTCCTTTATGTTTGTGAATGGTATATGATAAGTGTTGTGATTATGTTTCATTAGGAATTTCATTACAGGCTACTCCCCAGTCTATTGACTGGGAGGTACGCTACTTTTAATGCTGTAAAGCTTTGATGAAAGTAGTTTCATTTTCACCTTTTTAGTTCTACTCTTTCAAACCTAACTATGAAACCATGCTCTTCATAAGCAAAACTCAGTAACAAGGCATTACCATGCAAAATCTCACTACCTGCCATTTGTTACAGACACTGACTGCTGAATACCAACTGCCAATCACCAAACACAGTCCACAAAAAAGTTGGAGACTATTACAGTATGTCACTACGTCTTGTGGCGACATAATAATAGTGTCATATACCCTGATGCATTTCACCACTCGATCAGTTCAGAGTAACCCAAACCACCTTATAAAAATCAATACTATCATTTTTTGTATAGGAATTCTGATTTTACATTCACCATTCTGTTCAAATGGCAGCGTCACTTACAAAGGATTAAAAAATTTGGGGAGATTTTATGGATCTGTTTCTCCTTATCAAGAATATCAAATTAAAGGGAAAAGTTCCAAGCAATTTCAATGATCTTCTGGTATTAAAACTATTCTAAAAATTATATTTTTGAATAATCACTCTTTGAAAAAAATGAGGTTGGACATTTTCCATTTTGTACATTAAAAATGTCTGAATAAAGAAATAAAAGAGGCTCAAACAGAAAAAAATCATTTTCTATATAATAATAATCTTTGAGAAGCAGCACTAAAGGTGGTTGTTAAAAACAATTTTAAACAAGACATTAACATGCAAAACGTCACAACCTGCCATTTGTTACAGACAATGAATCTCAACCGCCGAATACTGAACACCAACTGCCTAACACCAACCATATCCACAAAAAAGTTGGAGACAATAACAACATGTCGCCATTTGTGTTGGTGACATAATAAAACCAATATACTTACTGCCCTTAATGAATGCAACCTTTGTGCAATCTCCCTTAGTTCTAGAGCCAGATTTGGTTGTGTTAGTCTTGGGAGGACAGTCAAAACATTTGGTCATGGAATGACTGGGCTGGTAGGTTCCTGGATTACATTTAATACAACCCTTGTCTTTTGCTCCACTGTACTCTCCTGGCACACAGGTTTCTGTAAAATAATTGCATCTGAAGCTTGGTTGTCAACTTACAACAACAATCATCTACATGTTTCAAATATATTTTAATTCATAACTTATATGTATTTAATAGACCTGGACATAAACTTTCTTTTCTGCAATTTTTGAAGCCTGAAAAAATCATGCAGAAAGTGAAATTATTGCCTTTTAATTTAAATTCGAAAAAAGGTTTGAGTAGTTTTTCAATCTTGGAACTTGATCATATTGATAAGGAATCAAGCCTTTAAGAAGAAAAGGTATGTGTCCAAGTCTATTGATTATTTTAGACCTATGCATGAGAATAACAGCTATAATGTATGTATAAACTGTGAAAAGTTTCATTTAAATCACTTGACAGATAAAATACTCTAGCTGAAAAATGAGACCTTTTGAAAAAGATCTTGTTGATTATAAAAGATAATATTTAAAATATAAGTAATAATTGATTCATCCCTCAAAAGCATGTTATCCATTGTGGGATTCATAGGCTGTACTACCCCTTGGAATCCAGGAATTTCCCTCTCAAGCAATAGGTAAAGAGGGGCATTGATAAATCAGAATGGTATTAGCTATTATCCTTACCACAAAGTATTCCCTGTGTTCCAAATCCTGGTGGGCATTCAAAAGACACTTCTTTGGTGGTATGTTTTGGTTCTGGGGTTATTTCACCAGTTGCTGTCTCCGCATTGATGAAATCTTGAACTTTCTTGTAGCCCTGCGTATTTTGAATTGAAGCATGACATCAAAACATCATAAAATACTATGTTTACAAATGATATGAATATCTACCCGAGTGCCCAGCATTCTGCGTGAATTCAATTTTACATGATTACACAGAACTACATATTGATATTTGATTTAATTGTTCTAAGTACATGTATACATTATGTAAGTTGTCTTGCCTCCTTTTCAAATAAACAAATATGTAAACAAATATGTGTATTCATGGTACAGGGATTGCCCCCCGAAAACGAAACCTTCAATTTTTGCAACAACTTTGATCTAAGATTATGGGCATTTGTATTTATAGGTTGCATTTTTAGACCACCTTGCACTCTAGAAAGTATTTAATGTAAAAAACCTCACCAGCTCAAGATTCTCTATGACCTTAGTCTCAATGCAGGCTGGTTCACACTTGGGTGGAGAGAAGTCAGTGGAAGTATGGGCAAAGAATGATACCCATAGTTCATATTTCAATGCTTGTGGATCCCCCTTAAAAATACAAAAACAAGTATACTTAAAAAACAATATTCATAATAAACGAAGCACCCCCAATACAACATATTATGCCGAAATATGAAAACAAAATCAACTGTAGAGTGTATAAGCAGCAAATAAAGGAGGCAATTTGCCTCTTCAAGGGAGGCAATTTGCCTCTTTGATCATAATGTTGAGAGTTTTGTCTAAAATATATAAGATTTTCAATGATACATCAGATCCTAAAATACTCCTTCCTTTATTTTGTATCATAATGAAGGCATATTTTTGAAATCAAATGGTTAGAAATGGAAATCAATTTGGTGACTCAGATTTGAATTTCCAGATTTGCAAAATTACACAAAAAAGTCTAAAATGCTACTATCATAAAATGGAAGTAGCTTACATTACTTACAGGACTTTTGGTGAAGTGGCACTCATTTGTAAAATCTTGAAAAATACATGAAGTAGAATTGGGGCACAATGCTTCTTTGACTGCCACCATCTTTACTGTATTGATTGCGTCCTGGCACTCGTTGGCACTATATTTCAGTGATATCTTGTAGCTAAACTTTGGTATATGATAAACTGAAAGCAAATCCAAGACATATCATAAAGAAACATGTAGAATACATTCAGAGAGTATAGAATACATATTTGGCAAATATAGCATATCTATTTTGAGAATATAGAACACCTATTTGGAGAATATTGATTATTTTCTTATATTTCCCACAATTAACTTTTTCATCTGTTTTTATGTTGTTTTAGAAAAACATTGAATAACTCAACACAAAGTTATAAATAATTGCCAGAGCAACATATTTGTGTTGAGTATTTTTTGAAATTTTTAGGAGTGTCACGAACTAAAGCTTACTCCAAAAACCTTTTCAGGTAAACAATATAATATGTACATATGTATTATAATGAACTAATGACAATTATAAAATTGATTTGAGGTATAGGGATCATACATAAATATTTTTATGACTTAATATACCTCACAGCACAAAATTGATGAAATCAAAAAGAGCAATTTACAGGTTGTTTCCTTTATGTCTCTTTAAAAATTTCAAATCATTTCATTTTATCAAATATGATCATAAATGGAAAATTTCAATGGCACAGGAGAAAATTGAAAAGTAAATTACATTTCAACTGGATAAATCTCAACTTGGAATGATAAGACACTATAGTTTAAAAGTTTAAAAAATTAATGTGAAATGCATACATAGTTTAATTGACTACAATACCAAAGTGAAAATGCAAAGTAAAATTTGGAAGACACTTTTAATAGCAAGTTTAACATATGGAACATTCCAGATTGCCATGATGGTGTTTTATACTCAAAGTGATTTCCACACAATATCATCATTACAAGGAAAACACTATGAAAATGACCAAAACATTGAGGATGAAATGGAATCAACTAGATATATTTCCACTATGCAAATAGCACCACCTTGGCACCACCAGAACATGGCAGAGGGGTTTGATAATCTGAGAGAGGCGAAACATGCATCAGAAGAGTTGAATGTTAGAAGACAACACTATCAAATTGGAAATGTTACTGTTACAGAAGGGACAAAATTGATTATACCCAAATCAAATGTACTGTTTTTAAAAACACACAAAACAGCTAGTTCTACTTTACAAAATATATTGATGAGATATGGTGATAATAATAACCTCACATTTGCCATCCATCAGAAATCTCACGTCATTAAACCAGCTCAACCTTTCAAGAGAGAGTATGTGATGCCAGCAAAGGGAGACTATAACATTCTCTGTCACCATGCAAGATATAGCACAGAAATGTCCAAAATTCTGCCAAAGAATACTCCATTTGTAACAATTCTTAGAAATCCTGTTGATGTGTTTGAGTCCACATATACATATTTCAATATAACAGCAAGGTGCTTTGGAATTATGCAGCAAAATGGAGTTGAGTTACTTGCCCAAAATACAATGGACTTGGATGTTAGGAAATTTCACTGTTTCAAGCGCAACATGATGCTATCTGATCTTGGTCACAAGAAAGAAGATGATGATGATATAGCGAACATTACAAAGAAAATCAAGGAAATAGATGATAACTTTGATTTAGTCCTCATTGCAGAATACTTTGAAGAGAGTTTAATTTTGCTGAAGCAATTATTAGGTTGGCCTTTGGAAAACCTTGTATATTTTAGACAAAACTCTAGGCAGAATTTTCAAAGAGGCAAACTGTCTCCCTCTACAAGAGAGTGGGTGCGAAAATGGAATAAAGGTGACGAGATGCTTTATAATCATTTTAACCAATCATTTTGGAAAAGACTTCACTCATATGGCTATGATCAAATGCAAGACGAAGTTTTTCAGCTCAGACGACTATGCAATACATGGCATACATACTGTGTAAAAGAAGTGACATCAGCTATAAAAATGACTGATTTAAAATTCAAACCAATAAGTGCCCCACTAAGCATCTTGGGATACACACTTTCTGACGATGGGATGAGAAATAAAACTTGTAGACAACTGGCAACCCCAGAAATTCCATATACCAATTATATCCGACAGAAATTGCTATACAAAGGCATTTTGCATCAATCTGGCATAGATCAAAAAGATATGGAAATTCCTTTCATTCGACGTAAGTGACATCTTTAAGATTAAGTGAAAGCTTATAAACTAATTGTTACCAATTATAAGTGATGAACAGCTATACATTTTATGAAGATGTAATGAGAAAAAGTTTTAGCGATCTGGCAATTATCTGTCACTGATTGCAATGATATATTTTATTCAGCAAAGAGAACATATAAATAAACAAACTTTCATCACTGCTGCCATCTTTTTGTTAACATTATGCCAATAGAGTTTATATAAAATGGGAGGTCACTGAAAATCTTTTTATTATAATTTGTTGGAAGTGACATCAGTGACATCTTTACAATTTGATGAAAGCTAGTGTATAGGTGGATCATAACTTTTTTTGCATTCAATTTCAGCATGTTTCCATAAGTGGTGCTTTTAATAATAGCTTTTTTGGGTAGCAGAACTTGACGTTACTTAAAAAATGAATAGCAAATAATAATAATTTATATTGTGTGATAAAATTATCAAAATAGCAATTATGTATAATGGAACCAATTAATACAACTGACTTCAAAAATAAAACACTTCAATGAAAATAAATACCCAAATAAAATAATAATGTATTTTTCACATGAAAACAAAAAAAATTCTTTCAAAATTCAAAGCAACAAATAAAGACAATGCAATCAAGGACACACAAAAATGTTAAAGTAAGTGGAATCACCATGAAATCAATGACCCCTGACTGTATCAATTATGACACCATTAGGTCAAAGCTAGGACTCTGATTTTTAATTCTCTGAATAATGAACTGTTAAAAATGCCTATTTTAGCCAAATTTTTATCGCTTGCATTTTGCAGCTTATAGCCTCAATGATGAAAATCACAAACCTAAAAGAGGATGAAAATTAATGCTTACCAACTACCATGTACCGATGAGTTTCAGTCAGATCTTGTCCCTCTCTACTTTTGCCCTTAGCTATGCATGTATAAAGGCCAGAGTCTTTAGCTTGAGCATCTGATATTTTAAGATCACCTGCAGGAGTACTTAAAAGTCTGGCATCAGCGACAGGTTTCATTTCTGAATCTTCCCATGTTACTGTTGGATCAATTATGGTCTTCTTACCCATGCAACTAAGCAGTTTCTCTTGCCCTTGCTCCACAAAGGCATCTGCAAGTTAAGGAAGAATGACATTGCCTTCAAAAAGCATGTTGGACAATCAATGAACAGTAAGAAATATTTTCAAGCATGTGTACATTTGTAAGTAGTATACCGCAAGATCATAATTTTACAATGGACACATGTTATAAGTAAAATTCATATCACAATATACTGTATGTCCACTTTTTTAAATAATACTCAAACTGAACAATTCAATTCTGATATAATATTAAAGGACTACTGTATACCTTTGAGATGCGGTCGCTGAGAATCCCCTACATCAGCTTCCCTACGTAAAATATGTGACTCTAATGACTCCGAAGATATCCCCTCTAGATTTGTATTCGTTGAACGCTTTCTACGCTTCCTTGTTTTTGCATTGTCATTCGCTTTTGCTCTCAGGTCAGCCATGACCTTTGATAAAGGTAAAGTAAAGTGGGCCTGTGGAAATGAGGGCAATATGTGCAGGTTAAAGTCATATGCTGACCTCAGTTTACTCTTTACCGCAGGATCACAATCCAAAAGTGATAAGTCTTTTTTCGTTACTGAAAAGACACAATTACTTTCTGTAAAAATTAGAAGCATATCATTGTAGCTACATGTATTTCAAAATTATAATTGAAAAACTGTTTAACAATAGAGACAATGTTTTAAAAAATGACTTGCTATGGATCGTTTTAATGTACCGTGTTCAAACATTACTTGTAATTAACATCAAATTGGAATGTAATGATGCTACACTGGGGTGAAACAGAGAATCTAATTGAATTCTAGCTCTATGATTTCCAGGTAATCATGTCAAAATATCTCCACTTGAATCAAGTTTCACCTTAATGTCCAATTCAATCAAGGAGTCATCATGGCCTTATCTTAATAGATCTCACTACATAGTCTCAGGGTAACTGAAAGCTTGCAGCACAGGAAATTGTAACAATGTCAACACACAAATGTGTAACACTTTGTTACATTTCCTGATAAAATGATAGCTATATTAAAGTCACCACTCCTTGGTGGTGCTTATAATGAGGGCAATATGTGCAAATAAGTTCCAAATAGAAAAGATGAACTTACATTCTTTTACTGCCACCGCATGTATTATTCCATTTTTAGAATGCTCCATCGTGAAACACATTACGAGTCTGTAAGGATTACTGAAATTAAAAGAAAAAGTTAACTAACATATTTTAAAATATTTCTTTGGAAATTTCCAAGTTTCATTGATTTTACTGTTTTTTTTGATTGGCAAAATTAGAAAATTAAACATGTCAGAAAGGATGCAAAAATTAAATGTACATATATTTTTATGAACATTTTGTGAAACATTTACAGCATTTAACATCAGTAACCTACATGAAACATGAAAAACACATTTTGAACCAGGACCTTAACTCTTTATAGCTCACTATCTGACCATAAGTACAATTAGATGTACTACACTTACTGGTGAGTGCGGCGGGTCAGGACGAGCTTGAATTGAAGATGTGTCCTGTCACAATGGATGCTCTTGTAAGATCTCTGGTGATTGTTTCTCCCCCACCCTGAAACCAGAAACTACATATAATTGCTCATATTTCTATCAAACTGTCTACTTTTACTAAGATCAACAAGTCATTGATTGAACATATGTACCTTTACAGCAATATGTTCTGTACCTGGGAAGTTGAAACTTACATTGATACTTCTCAACTTTAATTGCAACATGAATTACCATATTTGGGAATTACACGAGACCACTTAGCAGCCAGGACTAAATACTAATGAAGGACCCACGGTCCTGTGCTCATACAGTTTGGAACCTTCAGAGGAATTTATATCCTGACTTTCAAACAAAAATATTGATTTGGATTTGTAGTCTCGACCTTAGATAGAAACTTAGATAGCATAGTTGTGTGACCTAGTTTGATGACCTTTGACCTTGAAAATTTTACTTATTCAGAGCTCAGTAAGGTATTTTGTGATTAAGCTGACCAAAATTTACATCCAAAAATCAATTTGAAAAATCAACTTTTTTGACCTTTCGAAGGTCACTGAAGGTCAAGTAAAGGTCAAATCCTAAAACTAATGATTTGAACTTCTGGCAACTTGTAGATGATTTTCAAAAAAAATTTGGTCAAATTGAAGCAAGTTGAAAAATAACTTGTTTTACTGTTTTTTTTACGTCAAATATCTCAAAAACGGTAAAAATTTGATGCTGACGTATATTGAGAAATATGTAGGGAATGCTTAAGTCTATCAATGATGTAATTTATTGCAGGAAATGATCAAGTATAAGGCAAACTTTAAGAATCTTGTCAATCACAAAACCTGCCATTGACTTTATACATGAGAAAGTTTCCTGAAAATGATTTAAGTCCTACTTTTTTTCAAATTTTATAGAGTAAACACCAAAAACCGTTATTCCAAGAGCTTTGAAATCTTCAGAGGACATAAGTTGCATATACACCAACTACTTAAAGTTATTTGAAAGTTCTACTTCAACAAAGTGTCTAGTATTTACAGAAAATTTGACTTTTTGACGTCAAAATCCTCAATTTCTCAGAAACTGGGCAAACTTGGGAAATGGCGATGATAGGTCAAATAGACATTATCGATATGCATAAAATGAATGTGGATATGACTCAATCCGAATAGCAGTTTTAATTTGTGTGGCCAATGTTGACGGACGGACGGACGCCGAACCAACGGACGGACGGACGAACCAACGGACGGACGCCTGGTCGATCCCATAGGCTCACTGTGTGAGCCAAAAATGATACAGACTTATAATTTATATTGTCAAAATTGAGATAATTTGTGAAAAATGAGACAAAAAATGATTTCTGAAATTGAGGTTAATATAGGAGTAAATTACCAGCATAAAATGATGAGTATTACAGTAGTTCAGATGAATAGCTGTTCTGTTTTTGTCAAAAAATGTTCACAGACAGATGGAAAGTGGGAAGGAAGAATGGACAGATGGATGAGTAAGTGGTTCCATTGTGAACAAAACAATAAAGATATACTCACAAGAAAATGGATCACCAGGAACAGATCCCCTTCTTATTCCAGTATATTCTATATGTGTCATCCCCAAAATTATTTGCTTCATACGTGGTTTCTTTATAAGCACTTGCTTCCTCTTTGATTCCTTTTTGATAACCTTCTTCTTAATTGCTCTCCTGTGCTTTGTTCGTTTAACCCCATGTCCCTTATCACTGTCTAATGGTTTGAGGGTGTAAATACCAAGATATTCCTGAAGGTCACATCTCTCTTCTCTTTGTTGTTCAGATATTGTTGGTGTCACAGCTATTATAGGTACCACATCTGAAATGTGTACATACATCAAGCATAACTCTAGCTATTCTAGAAAAATGAATGAGATAAAAATTGGAAATAGAGTTACCGGGAGCAAATTGCAGTCAAAAATTAAAGTAGAAATTAATAGGCCAAGTTCATTTTTACCAGTTTTACTGATTTCCATTTCATTCCATAATATCAATCTCTGCATTAAAACCATTTCCTATTAATAAGTTAAACAGGCACTCTACATATAAGAGAAATTTCTAAATTTGATACAGTGAATAATATTTCCATTTGTGGGGAATGCCTGTGTCACTTTCAAAAATAGTATAAACCCCTTATTTATCTTGTGTACAAGAAACACAGGTATGCCCGTCAATAGATTAAAATATTTGTATAATACTAACCGCGTCTATTGCGACTCCCTTTGTTTTCTTTATTCTGTCTGTATTTTTTGTAAATATATGTAATGTGTTTTTTCTTTATCTTTTGAGCTACTAGGGATTCTTTTTGTTGGTTTTTCGGGTTTTTATTTTCTTGTGCATTTGATGGTTTTGTTAAATCTTTTTTTATGGATTGATGTCTTTTGTATTTTTTGGTACGGATATGGAGGCCTAAATGATCTGAATTTATGACTGTTTCTTCCCATTTCTGAGATTTTGCTTTCAGTACATCATAAGTCATGCGTAACTCATCTAAGACAGCTTTGACCACATTGTCCTTGTGCATTGGGGTCAATATTATGGAATTTGACATATCTATGATGCAGGACTTCAGAGTTTTTAACACATGTTTTGTATGAGTTTTTTTGAATATGTCAATAAAGCTTTCAATTGTTTTGCTTAATATGCTATGTGGGTTTTCTTTAATTGTGTGAAGGTAGGTTTGAAGTCGATGCAATAAATCATTAACATGCAATTTGGAATTATATTCTAGACTATCATAATCCTCAAAAGGTAGTGTTGGCATCATTGTAGTTGTGACCTCAGCTTGTTTGTAGGCTGTACCTTGTGCCAATTTTGTTTTCTGCTTTTTATTTGGCTTGACAGTTTTCTTATCATGTGCAGACTTTGCCTTAATGTTTGGTGAAGATGGGTTTTTATGCTTGACCATTTTCTTATCTTGAGCAGGTTTTTTGGGCTTGACCATTTTCTTATCTTGAGCAGGTTTTTTGGGCTTGACCATTTTCTTATCATGTGCAGACTTTGCCTTAATGTTTGGTGAAGATGGGTTTTTTGGTTCAACTTTTTTCTGTTTGTGCAAACCTTTTGCTTTTATGTTTGATTCTTTCTTATTTGCTGGTGATGATTTTCTTGGCTTGGCAATTTTCTTATCGTGTCCTACTTTTGTCTTAATGCTTGCTGATAATTTTCTTGGCTTGACTGTGATCTTACGCTGCACTATCTTTAAGTTTGCTGATGATTTTCTTGGCTTGGCAGTTTTCTTACTATGCCCTACTTTTGTTTTAATGTTTGCTGTTGATTTTATTGGCTTGGCAGTTTTCTTTTGATGCCCTTCTTTTGGCTTCATGCTTGCTGATGATTTTCTTGGCTTGTCAGTTTTCTTATGATGCCCTACTTTTGGCTTCATGCTTGCTAATGGTTTTCTTGGCTTGGCAGTTTTCTTATGATGCCCTACTTTTGGCTTCATGCTTGCTAATGATTTTCTTGGCTTGGCAGTTTTCTTATGATGCCCTACTTTTGGCTTCATGCTTACTGATGATTTTCTTGGCTTGGCAGTTTTCTTATGATGCCCTACTTTTGGCTTCATGCTTGCTGATGATTTTCTTGGCTTGGCAGTTTTCTTATGATGCCCTACTTTTGGCTTCACGCTTGCTGATAAATTTCTTGGCTTGGCAGTTTTCTTATGATGCCCTACTTTTGGCTTCATGCTTGCTGATAAATTTCTTGGCTTGGCAGTTTTCTTATGATGCCCTACTTTTGGCTTCATGCTTGCTGATGCTTTTCTTGGCTTGGCAGTTTTTTTATGATGCCCTACTTTTGGCTTCATGCTTACTGATGATTTTCTTAGTTTGCCTGTTTTCTTATGATGCAGTATCTTTATCTTAGATGCTTTTCTTGGCTTGACTGTTTTATGATTACCTATTTTTGGCTTAACTATTTTCTTATGATGCCCAATTTTTTTGCTTTTATTCGCTGATGGTAATCTTCTACGCTTTGCAATTTTCTTATGATGCCCTATCTTTGTTCTCATGCTTGGTGATGATTGTCTTGTTTTAAACTTTTTCTTAAGATGCTTGATATTTGTTTGAATATTTGCTGATAATTTTCTTGGCTTTGCAGTTTTTTTACGATGCCCTACTCTTGCCTTGAAGTTTACTGAAGATTTTCTTGAATTAACCTTTTTCATCTTAGGATGTCCTATTTTTGTCCTAATGTTTGCTGGCCATTTCATTGGCTTAACTTTTTTCTCAGGATGCCTGATTTTTGTCTTAATCCTTGCTGATGATTTTCTTGGCTTGGGAATTTTCTTATGATGCCCTGCTCTTGTCTTAATGCTTTTTGATGATTTTTTTGTATTGGTAGTTTTCTTATGATGCCCTTCTCTTGTTTTAATGCTTGCTGATGATTTTCTTGGTTTGGAATTTTTCTTATGTCCTACTCTTGTTCTAATGTCTGCTATTGATTTTCTTGGCTTGCCATTTTTCTTATGATGTCCTACTCTTGTTTTAATGTGTGCTGATGATTTTCTTGGCTTGGCATTTTTCTTACGATGTCCTAATCTTGTCATAATGCTTGCTGATGACTTTCTTGGCTTAACTCTTCTGTTATGATGCACAATTTCTGTGTTAATGTTTGCTGATGATTTCCGAGACACGGCCATGTTTTTATCATACATGGGCTTAAGATTTTCCTTGTTATGAATTTTTCTAGGTTCTGGTTTTCCATTGTTTCTTCCTTGATAAGATTCTTTTTTACTCGATGTAGTCTCATGACTTTTGATCCTAGATGAAGCATGATTTGAAATGGGTTTATCTTCCTTATTTCTAGATGAAACATGACTCAAAGAGGGTCTTTCTTCTTTATTTCGAGATGTGGCATGACTCAGAGAGGGTCTTTTTTCTTTATTTCTAGATGTGGCATGACTCACAGGGGGTTTGTCTTCTTTATTTCTAGATGTGGCATGACTCACAGGGGGTTTGTCTTCTTTATTTCTAGATGTGGCATAACTCAGAGAGGGTCTTTTTTCTTTATTTCTAGATGTGGCATGACTCACAGGGGGTTTGTCTTCTTTATTTCTAGATGTGGCATGACTCACAGGGGGTTTGTCTTCTTTATTTCTAGATGTGGCATGACTCAGAGAGGGTCTTTTTTCTTTATTTCTAGATGTGGCATGACTCACAGGGGGTTTGTCTTCTTTATTTCGAGATGTGGCATGACTCAGAGAGGGTGTACCTTCTTTGTTTTTTGAAGTGGCATGACTCACAGGTCTATTTTCTTTTTTTCCTGATGTGGCATGAGTTGAGAAGGGCCTGTCCTCTTTGTTTCTAGTTGTGGCATGACTCAAAGAGGGTCTAAGATCTTCACTCCTCGGTGAGGCAAGGCTTGAAGAAGGATTACTCAAGGTGAGAAGCAGAAGAACAACAAGTACACCTGCAAATACAAAATTAACAATATTTACCAAGATGCCAGTAGGAAGTTACCAGTTTCACCACCAGGGGCTCTTTTTTGTACCGTAAGAAGTTACAAAGGTTTATTAGCCTATTGTTTAATTCGCGAATTTCATAAAGTTGCATTTTTGTCAGATTCGTAAAGTTACAAACAAAATTACGAAACTACTGTAGTGACATTATGCTTGCTTTCGTTTGCAGATTTAACAGCACCTCTGACCCTTTCGTAACTTTGCTAATGGCTTCTTATTTATTCATTTATATTATGATTTGTGATGTTTTGTCATTCTAAATCAGAAAACACAAAGGGCAACACCGTGGTCAACTTATTATCAACCTATTTCTATATTTTTTTAGTATGTTTCATGAAACGGTGGAATATGACGTCAACCCATTCATAAATCTAGCTCTAAACAATTGAAAAATTATGAATAACTTATGGAAGCGTACAAAAAATGATCCATTCACAACTTTACGAATTTGTAACTATTTAAATATTTACCAAGTGCCAACATTTGTTATTACGAACGGTGCAAAAACGGACTCTAGGCTGTAGGTGGCTAATTTGGGTCAGATAACATGGCAGAGTATTAGAAAGTTCCCTTAAACTTGAATATGTTCATCAGCTAGTGAATAATTTTTCATTTTACCCTTATCTTACCCTTATCCCATTAGGGAGCCCAAAAATACTTTTGAAATCTATTTTCACTGGGAAAAATCTTGTGCTCTTTTTGGAACCTCTGTATATGGGTAGGTTCAACTGTTTATAATAAAGCCTCTGGCAGTAATGAGTAACCAGGGAGATGTATGTAAAAGGCCGACGAGTCAATCTCTACACTTGGGTCCAAAATCCAAAGTCGGTGCTTGGAGGTCAGTGGTCTGATGGTCTATGGACCGAAGTTCGACCTGTCTCTTGACCAAAAGTCTGCCATTATTACTTTATATGGCAAATCATCAAGGCAACGATCACGATGTCATATATTGTGATGAAGATATGACGTAATATCACATAAACTACATGTATGACATCAGTCACATATTGCCCTATCAACTAAACAAACAACAGAGCGAAACGTCACATATCACTGTTGAATATATTTTAATTTGTGACATCATTAACATTTTACCTCACCAACAGTAGTTTGTTCATGTCTTTCTCTGGTATTGGACATGGATCAGTTTTGACAAAATAGCATTATGGCCTTCGTATTTTTCTAGTGTCATTTTTCACTGGATTATCTTGTTCTTGCACCCCATTTCATTAATTTAGCATATGGTGTTGACTGTTTTGAGCCACTCAGGCCCGTCAGATGGGGGGGGGTGCGATGGGGGTGCGATGGGTGCATCATCTCATACACTTTTAAAGTGCCCAGAAAGCATCAAATAGCATCTTAAAATTGTAAAATTTTCTAGAGGGAGTGGGCCACCCCTCACAGCCCCCTCAATACAATGGAAAAGTTCTGAATTTATTTTATGTATTGTCTCAGACACTTTTAAGTGCCCAAGTGCCCGCACATCATCACATGGCTCCTTGACATAGTCAATGTTTCTGGGGGACTAACACTTGCTCCTCTTCGGGATCCTCACCCACCCCCTCTGGCACTCTCAAATTTTTAACTGACTCGTACACTTTGAAAGTGCCCAGAAAGCACTAAATAGCGTTTTAAAATTGTAAAAATTTTCTAGGGGGAGTGAGCCACCCCTCACATCCCAAAAAAACAATTGAAAAGTTCTGAATTTATTTTATGTATCATCTCAGACACATGTAAAGTGCCCAGACATCATCAAATAGCTCCTTGATATAGTCAATGATTCTGGGAGACTAACACTTACTCGCCCTCTTGCATCCCCACCCCACCTCCCCTTCTGGCACCCCCTTACCCCCTTAAATCCCCCAAAATATTTTTTATCGAGTCATACACTTCGAAAGTGCCCAGAAAGCTCCAAATAGCATCTTAAAGTTGTAAAATTTTCCAGGGAAGTAGGCCACCCCTCACATCCCCCATAAAACAATTGACAAAAATTCTGAATTTATTTCATGCATTGTCTCAGACACTTCTGAAGTGTCAAGACTTCATCAAATACATGTAGCACCTTGATATGGTCAATGTTTCTGGGGGCAGATATGGGGAACAAACACTTGCTCCCCCTCTGGCATCCTAATCCCACCTCCCCCTCTGGCATCCCCCTTTGACACCCCCAAAAATTGAAAAATATGAAATTTTTTTCAATTTTTTTCGATTGACTCATACACTTTAAAAGTGCCCAGAAGCACCAAATATCATCTTAAAATTGCAAAATTTTCTGGAAGAGTTGTCCACCCCTCACATCCCCCACAAAACAATTGGGAAAATTCTGAATTTCATGATTTGTCTCAGACATTTTTAAAGTGCCCAGACATCATCAAATGGCACCTTGATATGGTCATTGTTTCCACCCCACTTCACCCTCACATTCTATTTGACATCCCCAAAAAGAATTTGAAAAAAATTCACTTTTTACTGACTCATTCACTTTAAAAGTGCCCAGAAAGCAGCAAATGGCATCTCAAAAGTATAAAATGTTCTAGGGGGATTGGGTCACTCCTCACAAGTTTGGAAGTTGCATTTGTTAATTTTAAACACTTTAAAAGTGCCTAGAAGTCACCAAGTGACATAATGAAATCATAAAAACATAAAAATTTCTGGCAGCCCACCCCAAAAACTAAAGCATTCATTTACTCAAACACATTAAAAGTGCTCAGAATTAACCAGACAGCATCTTGAATTAGTAAAATTTTCCTTGCTGCCCCCCTAAGAAGAAAATGATTGAAAAAATCTGAATTTCTTATAAATAGATTCTATTTCAATTAAAACACCGTGAAAGGGTCCAGAAATCACTAAATGTGATCTTGAACTGGTAAAAGTTCTCGGGCTCTAGTACACCCATCCCCTATTTCAGTGTTTCTCCAAATTTCTCATACAATATTGAGTCTAAAAACAATACGAAAACAATAAAAAACTACAAAATATAGGGAGTAACTGACCCCCCCCCCTCCCCTTTGACTTACGCAATTTGATTTACGCGGCAAAAAATTGACAATTTCTCCAAATTTCTCATACAATATTTAGTCTAAAGACAATACGAAAACAATAAAATACTACAAAATATAGGAAGTAACCGACCCCCCCCCCCCTTTGACTTATGCAATTTGATTTACGCGGCAAAAAACTGACAATTTTATTTTCTCTTTAGTTAAAACCGCACCCCCTTGGAGAAAAGGCCACTGCCCTAGTAATATAATAATATCATCTACATCTTTCATTCTTGCACAAAAGATGCCAATGTACCTAGAGTTGAGGTTACTTAGTTTGCACAAAGCTATCTCTCTCTCTAAAAGATGGCTATGCAAATACAGTATAGTAAAGTCCCGGGGGGTTCACTATATATAAACCTTGACGGGGATCCTCGGCGCATGTGGGGTACCTTTTTCAACGTTTGGTATGGTACGTTTGGTATGGCAATGGACCCATATTTTAGGATTTGGTATGGGAATGCCCAGAAATTTCTGATTTCTGAGGTATGGCAATGGTTTGACTTTTGCTCTTCTGGTATGTGAATGGTCGTTGTAGATACGTTACCTAACATTCGTGATATGGCATTGGTCCTGTATTTGCACATTTGTATGACATTGATCCTATATTTCATTTACTTTGAATTAAGGTATGGCATTGGTCCCATATTTGGACATTTGGTATGGCATTGGTCCTACATTTTGACATTTGGTATGACATTGGTCCCATAATTGGACATTTGGTATGGCATTGGTCCTATATTTGGACATTTGGTATGGAATTGGTCCTATATTTGGACATTTGGTATGGCCTTTGGGCGTTATTTTGGTTGGTATGGGAACATATTGAAATTTGACAGATTGGTATGGGAACATATTGATATTTGAGGCTTCAGCCTAGGACCCCCGTCGAGTTTTATATACAGTGAACCCCCCGGGAGTAAAGTTGAGGGTTGATACAGTAATTCTTCAGAATGAACATGGGCTATAACTCTGGCCTTAACTTAGTCTATAGTTTTCAGAAAGTTTTGGCCTACATTTTGACTTCGTTTGATCTAGACACCCGGGGCTCTCCATCTACATCGGCCATCTCCTCAGTTTTCAAAAATGCAGGCCCAGTTGCCAAATGCAAAATGGAAAGATTTCAATGCAGTGGGTGGCTGCCGATGATGCAGTACTGTACTGTCTGTACTAAAGATTTTCTCCCGGGACAGATTTTTTAGACCCAGTGCCAAAAATTCGCGGGATTTTGCGGGACATCTACTAAATTCGCGGGATTTCGCGGGACATTAAAGGGATTTGCATGATTGCGCTAATAGGCCAAATTCAGGTCAAATTCCTAATCGCGGGACAGTTAACAGGTTTACCACCAAAAACTTCATAGAGGGACAGATTTTTTAGACAAAGTGCCCTAAATTTGCAGGATGTCCCGGGACATTCAAGGGATTTGCGTGATTGGGACTAATGTAAAAGCGTGTAAAAGCTAATCAAACTTCTAGATACTGATTAATCAAATAAAATGCACCGTTGCATTGTAACTTAAATAAACGTCAACACAATTTCACAAAATACGCATAGGAATATTATTAAACTTTATTGTAATTTATCAAAAACAAAAACGCCATGCTTCAGGTGTGAGTACCGTAATCTAACACGAAATTCAAAACTTCGGAACAATACTTTGCACTTAGGCTATGGCGTTCGTGACCAACTATGAAACGCTTACCCCCATAATGTTATATATTAAAATGTACCTATTCAATAGACCTATACTGTAGGCATGGGCTTTCAATTGAAAGCCCATGATATAGGGGTTCGATTAATCTACATCAAATTATAGGAAATGAGGTTACTTTTCTAGATAGGGTTTGTAGAAAAAACCGGGTACCGGGTAGTAAATCCTCCATGCTGGGTTCAAACTTGGTACCCGGTCGAAAAAAACGAGTACCCAAAAAACGAAATATACGAATATACAACATAATTAGATCATTAGAAAACGTGTAAGATTTGTTTTGAATTTACAAAAATGTATGTAACTTCCTTCAAAATTGAGCTAGAAGCTTCAAATAAAAAGCATTTTAAGGCTGGCTCTTTTCTTCCTCTATCATCATGGTCATATTTCCATTGGTAATGAAGGGAGGGGGATGCGATCGCACCCCCTCCTGGCTACGGCAATGACATTGTAAGACGATTTGAAAAACAAGATAAATCTTACTCTATTTTCAATAGTTCGTATGTTGGTACGTGAATTGTTTTGATTATGATTTAAATCTGTAAAAAGCTATCGTTGCTTTAGCAGAGAGGTGACGTGTGTTAATTTACATGATGCATCGTGTAAGAATTTGATTATTAATCATAATTTAAGTTATTCCAAAAAATGTCCACTGAATTGTAAATTGTTATGTCTTACAATGTCATAGGCGTAGCCAGGAGAGGGTGCGTTTTCTCATAATCTAATTATGTTATATACAGTAAAACCTGTCTAATCCGAACACCCACGGGACCAGCCAAAAGCGTTCAAATTGGCAGGTGTTCAAATTTCGAGGATTTTGTTGGTCGGGGGGGGGGGGGATTTTCATTGTTCAGTCCACTATATTGAACACTTAATACTAAGTCAGAAAACAATAAATGTTGTTGATGAGTTAATTCTACAATAGTCATATAGCCTATATGCTATGTTTTATTTATATTTTGAACATTATCATCGTTTTAGTAAAAATAACTCTTATGTTTTGGCAAAAACTTTGTAATACACTGTAAAAGTATATGATAGTCTCTTATGAAATCTTATGCTTATCAAATGACTTATCCAATATTATGGTAATATAGCAGTGCTTTACTTTTGCTTGGAAAAGTCCTTCATTGTTGTTTGTTTCTTGGCACTTTTAGCATTAGCAATATTTGAGTAGATATCCTCTTCAAGTAAAAAGAATTTTTCATGAGTGTTCATTCGAGATGATGTATAATCCTTCAAAATATCAAGGGCATTCAGGATGTCAGATGTATGCCTTTTAGGAGACATTTTAGTGATAGGATATTACAAAGTTGAATTTTTTTCTCTTTCTTGTGATATAATCTTGTCTGCAAATGTTGTCTGTGTTGTCCTTGTGATTATAAAACATTTGCTGATTGAATCTTAGCTATCATAACAGACCCATGGGATATAAAACAGTTAAGACCTGTTCATAATCCAAATCAAAAACATCCAGTTAATTTACAATAAGGATAAACCAATTATCTCCCAGATTCTCACCTTTCTCTTAATCCAAATCAAAAACATTCAGTTCTTTTCTAAATCTTGTCTGCAAATGTCGTCTATGTTGTCCTTGTGATTATAAATCATTTGCTGATTGAATCTTAGCTATCATAACAGACCCATGGGATATAAAACAGTCAAGACCTGTTCATAATCCAAATCAAAAACATCCAGTTAATTTACAATAAGGATTTACCAATTAACTCCTGTATTCACACCTTTCCAAAAAATCCTGTTGTTTTCCACAAATTAGGGATGTCACTGAGACTAAATAAGTTAGTTAGGACAATATTGGTCCTTTGATTACATTGTATATGTAAAGATAAATAACAACTATAACATTGACTCAATATTTGGCTATAATTGAAATGTCCAGACATTTGATTTCTGATAAAAATGTTCAGATTAGACAGGTCACTTTTTCAAATCTGGTTGTTCACTGTTCAAATTAGGAGGTGTTCAGATTTCAAGTTTTTTTTAACATGGGAGTCAATGGGAGGAAAAAATGGGACCGAAAAAAAGTGTTCAAATTGGAAGGTGTTCGGATTAGCCAGGTGTTCAGATATACAGGTTTTACTGTATTCGTATTTTTCATTTTTGGGTACCCGTTTTTTTGACCGGGTACCGGGTACCAAGTTTGAACCCAGCATGGAGGATTTACTACCCGGTACCCGTTTTTCTCTACAAACCCTTTCTAGATATCAGCGTCCATTTATTGTAACTCGCGTTTGCTAACATTTGCTCAGTTCTGAGATGAAGGCCACGCGAGTAGTAAAAAGGCCAACGTTGGATTTATTTGTGACCTACATCCCTATTTTCGTAATTAAAATGAAATTTGAACCCTTCCTCTTTATTTTGATACCAAACAACAGCATGCTAGGTACTTGAAATTAGCTAAACTTTACTCCTCAAAAGTGCAAAAACTTAGCTTCTTATATAAGACAAGATAATCACAATATAGGAGATTGCAACAATTTCGGAAATTCGCGGAGGTCAAAGCCACATTTGCGGGACTTCGCGGGACATTGCGGGACACGCGCTAATTTTGATCAAATTCGCGGGATAATCCCGCCATTCGCGGGACACTTGACAGCTCTGGATGATGTTTGATTTGCCCCATAAAAGTTTGGCTTACAGTACAGGGTAAGATAATTAGACTACTGTAGTACATTTAGATCTAGTAGACTAAGCTTACAGTGACACGACGTCTTACGTTCATAGAATAAAAAAGAAAAAGGCTGGGCGATATTAGAGGATTCCTCGAGTTGAGTGAACTTGTGAATGACTGCCTAAGTTTCATACAACCCGTTTCACAGATGAGTTAATGAATATGTACAATATAGAATGAACAATGATATATATATATGAATAAACTCACCAGAGCATGAGACTGAATAATTCTGGCTTTTTTCAATATTTCCTCTCTAAAAAAGTTTATATTCCCGTGATGCACTGGACCTACCGTGATGCAACTTCAAAACTTTTATGCGGGAAAATGAAAGTATAAGGCGTGTACATTTCCAACTGTTTAGCTACAGAACAGCGTGGATGCCCGGCCTGGATGGAAACTGTGGTAGCCTACGAAGGTCTAGGCTACACAATCAGCCCTGCGGCTCGGTGCTCTTGCTAAATTATGATACGCCTTTACTAGATCTCTAAATTCGAATTCACAGACGAAAAATAGATTAAAGTCTCAATTTACCCGTTCTTTCAAATCCACACATAGTTATTGAGCATGTTTTACCCAATTATGCTTTATTTCGTTCGATTCATGCGTGTGTCATCCAAATAGAAACGTCAGTCGAACAGCCGGCCATTTTGAAAGTTACTGATTTATTATTGAAATGACGTCATACATTCTATGCATAGCAAACACCAATGACGTCACACGCAAATCTACAGCTGTCATGGCGGACAATCATTCACAGAAAATTTAGTTTATATTTGTAGGCCTATAAGTTGCTGATAATTTAAAAAATGGTATCACTAAATTCACTTTTGACATCGTAAGTTGTCATTTAATGACATAAAGCATGAAGAAAAAAGTGTCAGTTCAAAGTTCACATACAGGTAGGATTATAAATACATTTTCAACGAACTTCTGACTTCAGCAAAGTCGTTGTTGTTCTGTCGGTTTTCATATATTTTATTTGTTAGGTCTACAGTCACATTTATCCCGTTCCATTCCATGTCATGGAACGGGATAAAGTCACATGACTCAGGCCAGGTATAACTTTTACCCGATTAGTTGCTCTTATAGTCCAAAGGTCGTGGCATAATTTTGATCCCGGATTTGATACTGTTTTCCAATAAAACCCTTGTAGCCTATTAGCCTACCAGTAAGCTTACCTGCTTCATCTGACAAAAAATTCTGTCAAGATTGTGTTTCCCGCTAATTTCATTATTGTTTAGATAGTAAAGTTATGATGTGTAAAATCAGTATGTTCTTTTCTTGCTGATCATTGAATTCCGCTTCTATCGCCCGAAGTACATCTATGTCACCCGATAGGCCATAGGTAAAATACTATATGCACTATGAAATACTGAACATAAATTTAATAAATGATAACATGATGATAATAAGTTATGCAAAGGTGTGTTAGTCTAAGTTTCTTGAATTAACGAATGCAACTTTCGGTAAAATAGTAGGTTATTCCGGTAGCCGACAGTCGTTAGTTGCATTCGGGGATTATAAGTTCGATTATATTCCTAAGTCCATTGTTCTTTAAATTGAACCATGGCGTCATTTTTTTATTTCATGAAGGTTCTGTTAATGGTCCCCTTGGTGGAGGCATATATCTCTGGAGTGGCTCATTATCTGTGTGAATTCGTCATTTAAGAAGAAATATGAAAGTACAATTATTTTTCAATTTCAGGTTCTAGCAGTTTCCTTGCTAGCGCTTCGCTTTTGTTATGTATGATTATCATCCTTCAAGTAGACCAACATCCAGTTGCTGGTAAGTAAATGGCCCCATAGAATGCTGCATAGTGTACAAATGTGAGTGAAAATGCTTTAAGACAATTTAACCTCCAGAAAGACATTTGTTATTCAATCAACTAAACTTTGAAGATTATCTTGCCCTAAAGTTGTTTGTATGTTCATTGTATTTTCTGAAACGAGATGATTTTGGCGTTTTTGCCTCTGTAATGTAAACATTAATATCATGAAGTGTCTTGCTGGAAAGTTGATAGTCTGACGGCTTCAACAGCTCAGCCAGCCGAAGGAAGTATTCCAATACACAATTTGTAAACAATTTAACACAGAGTAGTATGGCATTGGGACATCTCCATGACTGGGGACAGACCTCCTGTGGTGTTTGTTTATGGAAGAAAAGTTAGAATCTTCCATCTCAGAAGAAAGTAGAATTTCTGACGGAATTTGCCTCACCAAAAAGAATACTTCGAGGAGGATATTGTTCAATTCTGAGATGGAGGATTCTACAATGTGCTGAGATTTAGAACTATATAAATAGAAAGGGAAAAGGTGATTTAACAGAATTTTAGAAAAGCGATTGAAGAATGAAGTTATGAAGTGGTTATAAAGTATTAAAGAGAAATTGTTAAATTATAGAAAATTGAAAATAAGAATTTTAGACTGAAATAATAAAGAAGGAAAGACAATCAAATAATTTAGGCTTATGTTGAGGAAGTTTCGTAATATAATAGAGAAGGGTCAAGACGGACACACAGTTCTTAATTTACGTAGGTCGTGAGGCGTGACCCTGCCTTTTGTGCAGAAATGAAAGATGTAACTACCATGTGTGGAATGGGTTATGTTAGAAAATAGCACATGGTCATGGAATTTCAAAATATACAGAAACATTATTTTTGCCAAATTCACATCGCTGTTTGGTGATTTGAATTTGAAAGTGTATTCTTTATCAATCCCATTGATTTTACTTGAGACAACCCGACGATGGCTGGGAATGCCGTCCACAGTGGCGATAGTCGTCACTAGTCACAAGCTAATTAGTAATTTGCAGTTGTAATTTCTATTGTTCTTTTACAAAAGTCCCATGTTACCATTTTAGACGATTTCAAATTCTTCCGTATTTGAGCTAGCTTTTTATGTTAGTTCTGATTTTTTTAGGTCTCTGTCCCAGGGTTCTTAACTGGGCACCAGTATTTAACGCCAAGAGACAATGGGTCCCAGGAGACCTGGGAGGTCTAAAAGAGATACAGACTGTACAATTACAGGGTGATACAGCATTGCAACGAAATAATTCAAATGATGGCAAGTCTCAAGCGTACAAATTCAAACTTGGATACAGTTTGGATGGCAAATCAGAGTCAGTTTACAAAGAAGTTCCAAATGAAGAAAAGGTGTGTAAGAAAAATCTTTTATCGGATCACTTTATCTGTGTAAATGAAACGGTTAAAATTGGACGTGTACAAAACGTCGTGTATCTTGTGAAACTGTACATTCGGCTCCTACAGTACTGTAGATCATCTAGACATATATGACACGTCCTGCATTTGGTACATGTATTCAGATATTGATATCAGAAGTGATCTCTGTAGCATCAGAACAACCTGGTGCTTCCTTATCCGTGTTTGAAATTCTCTTTATTATTTCGAATGTTTTTTATCTTGATTCACAAGGTTTCAATAGCTCCAACTGTTATGACACCTTGGAAATCGAAGATGAATGTTTTTGGCATTTTAAAGATTCTATCCGATCTGTTTTAGGTTTTCACTGGTACTTGGCGCTACGACAAACCAGTCACTCATAAGTTGACAGATGCGTTTCTTGCACGTTATGTGAAAATCATACCGATCGAATGGAAAACTGACGTCGGTGTGAAGTTTGATGTGAATGCTTGTTCAATTACAGGGGAGAGTAAAACAAAAAATAATTCGAGTAAGTCGGTGCAGTAAAATGTATTTGTTATTTCTTCTGATCAAACATGCATGATCTGGATTCTTTCAAATCACACGAACAAAATATGATATTTATACCCGGGTATTCATCCATCTTGATTCAAGAGGCTTTTGTGTGGTAGCTAAAAAAATGGTTATCAAACTTTATTTTCAGCTAATCGTTTAGTACTCGAGCATGGGAACCTTGGAAAGACTCCATCTAAAAGTCACATGCGCAAAAAAAGATCAACCTCCACGACTTCGTAAGTGAAATCCTAAACAATATTATAATTCATCTTTAGAATGGCTATATATTTTCAAAAATATCAACAAAGAAATAGTTCAGGACTTTTTAAACTATTATCTTCATGAGACCTACTTTTAAAGTCTACTTTTATCACTTATGTTAGTTCTTTCTTTAGTTAATCGTTCCCTACGGCTCAGGGGCTAAACATTTTATCTGCATCTTCATTCATTCTGTGAAATATTTTCCAAAGTTGTTTGCTGTGTTTAATTCCTTCATCTTGACTCGTCCAAGACATTTCTTTACAAGAGAAAGTCAAAAGCGAGTGTTAAGTATGAAATTCCTCATTTAAATTCAAATTACATTTCAGAAGAAAACAAAGAAAAGGTAGAAGAGGCGGCAGAAAGCATCGCATCAAGAAACACAACAAGCCGCCAAGACTTGGTAATTATGAGTTTATCAGAAATTATTCCAATAATTTTGACAAACACTTTTTATTTATGCAACGATGGACATGTAAGAAACTCCGGGATTTATTTTGGCACCTAGTCACCATATCATCGTATACATGTGTTCATTGGTGACGTTTTTCAAAGATGCCAAATGAACTTATAATAGTCTGCATATTGGTTGTGTGGCAATTATGAAAATACTGACATCGTCACATCTAGATGTCAACTTGACAAATTCTGACCTCTATGTATACTTTAAGTTTACTTTAACCTTTTGATGTGAACTTGTAATTGACCCAGCTATGGTTCTGAATTCATTAGACTATAAACAAATTCTAGAGTTTGATTCGTTGTATTGCAAAATTAGATCGAAAGATGCAAAAAGTCTTGATGGCTTGTATTAGTGTTGCTTTTTCATGCCCTTGGTTAAGTGAACCGACAATATAGCATATGCATCACAATGTTCTTGCAGGACGATGTTCCTTTGTCGGTATGAACCTACCAAAAAACAAGATATCAGCTTCCTCCAGTGCAAATCATTTTTCACCATTCATGGGAATAGCTAATACCGTGCGAAAGGGTGGAGCTTGGATACCAAGTCCCCTAGACCAGAACCCGTGGATTCAGATGGACTTGTCTACTCCCATGCAAGTGATTGGCGTAATTTTGCAAAGTAGTGTCAGTGGAAAAGAATTCGTCCAGACCTTCAAATTCGGCTACAGTTTAAATGGCATTACATTTAATATGTACAAAGAACGAGGCAACACTGCTAAAGTAAGATAGCTAAAACATAAGTCTTCATAACACAACACGTATTCTAGATTCTCATTGTCTTATTTATAGTCATATGATATGAAATTGATGATCTAATTCTCTTGAAAGTCCTAAATCGTGCTAACGGGAAGGTGAATTTCTGTGACTCCCAAATGGTCGTCACTGTTCGTATGCCAGTCTCATCTATCCTTAAATTGTGTATTATTCAGCTTCACATCACTCCTGACATTTGCTATTTTCTAAAATGCCAAAAACTTAATAACAATAATTTCTTAGCAATTGTAATCATCTTTACCATTTTAGGAATTTTTGGGCAACACAAAAAAGAGGTCCACCAAAATGAACATGTTTTATCCTGGCGTTACTGCAAGATATGTTCGTCTTTACCCGTTGGAGTGGACCGATGCTATTGCATTGCGATTTGATGTTATTGCATGTGAAATTAAAGGTAAGAAGAATAATCTTGTAAAAATAGATTTTACTTCATGTGTTCATAATTTTTTAACAAACAAGTAGTTCGAATGCGACACACAATTTGGGTACCACGTGCTGCGTGGACAATAGGGAGTTTAAGCTTGCATATAAAATCGAAACGCCAACCTATACGTAAGACCAATATGCCATACAAATGCAACGCTTTAAGTATTTTCCGTTCACGTTTAGGTTGTGAAAAACATTGCAAGCTTAAACTCCCTAACACATGTTTTAATCCGCTTTTTCCATGGAATCTTTGGCTTTGAAATTCAATCCACGCCAAGAGTATATGTTACAGCCTGTGTTATTGAAATTCCATCGTAGAGGAACATATAAACGGACGCATCTTTCACGCTACAGTGGCGTTAATTGCATGAAAATTCCTCATAGAGTATTAGTCATATTATGATGACTGTAGCGCAAGCAGCAGATGAAACTTTGGCATGATAATGCGCAATTCCCCAATCACACTTCACAGTCTACATTATGTGTTGTCTTTCATATTTCATTGAAGCCATCGAACCAAATATACAAGACTAAGAGGAAGAATAAAAGTCTACAATCCAGCTCTGTTGTTCAAAAATGAAGTGCAAAATTTTGGGAAAACATCTGAATTATACATTTAGATACTATAAAGTTTCTTAAACATAATACACTTATGTAATATACTTGTATGGAGAAATCTTCAATAGGTCCATCATCATAACTATTTAAATTATAGTTTCCGTTTCACATGCGCCATTCACATTTAATTTGAATTACATTTTCCATAGAACTATTTTGATTGATAGCACTTTGATATACTATTTGATATTGTTAAAACTTTAAAAGTTACAAATGTTATATTATTTTCCAGATGGTTCTACCATAGGACGACTATCAAAAAGACACAAACGCTTGAAAAGATCAACTTCGAAATACAGATCCAACAGGTATCCAAAAATAATAAGTGATCATTCAAATGTTACTTTTCTTGTAGCTTTACAGCCATCAACGTATTTTAGTTTTATTCGGCTGCAAGGCGTAGCAAAACCAATAATGTTGCTGTGTCCAACATGCAGACCATCAGGCTATAGTTACGTGCGTTAGTAGTTATTTCTCTTCAATTGGTTCAGATCATGATAAAGCGTCTTGTTACTGGGGTTATCATCTCATTCAAATTGGCGAACAAACTTTGTTCTATGAGGGCGATAAATATGTGCTAAACCAAGTAAAATCTGAATTCAAATTATTCCGGTGTGCAAACTTATAAGGTTACGAATGTAATCAACCCCTTTGATGAAATCAAAGAATTCTAAGAAAATAGCTTCACTTAGGATGAAGCTAACTCAGTAACAAAAAGACATATTGCAATAATAAAGCAAATATTCCAATGGGTAGTTACTTGCATTGGGTTTGCTTCATCCATGTGAATTAAAGAAAGATTTTTATTAAATTTAATTACTCTGTATATTTCAGAAGAGAACAAATAGATCGAAAAAGGGAAAACATGGATAGAAGGAAAGACCGGCGTAAAGAGAGTCGCAAAGTGAAACCTAAAAGCAAACACAAGATGACAAAATCTAAAAAATTTTCAAAGAAACCCTCAACAGCATTGGATCGTAAAAACAACAATGAGCCAAACCTGGGTAATAATGATTTTATCACAACTACCTTCCTATGACATTATTATTTGTGCGAAAATGTCTGTTTATTTTCAATGAGATAAATCCGATGATACGAAAATGAATCTATAGACAGAATGCTCTCCAATAATCTTAAATATCATTGTTTTTATACTGCAGACAAGAGTCTCTCCATCTATCTTATATAACTAAAAGAATGTGGAAATGAATCAAGAATCTTTACAAATAATTTTTATTGCAAATCATTAATTATGAAATATGACAATTTGTTTTTACAGATAATATTATTTTAGTCAACAAAGTGTTTTGTATACGCGCGCGACTGGTTTGATACCTAAATAAATAATGCAGGAAATTAATTTAAAAAAATGAAAGTCCAAAATCTAATGCTTATAATTGAAAATCTAAATGTATCTATTTTAATGATGTGCTGGCCTTAAAAATAGCTTTCAGTATCAATGTTTTTTGCAGGAATGTGTAGTTTGGTCGGTATGAAACTACCAAAGAACAGGATAACAGCGTCCTCTAGTGCAAACCATTTTTCACCTTATATGGGTATTGCCAATACCATACGTGAAAAGGGAGCTTGGATACCGAGCCAACGAGACAGAAGACCATGGATTCAGATAGACTTGTCTGTTCCTATGCAAGTTATAGGGATATTGTTACAAAGCAGTGTCAACGGCGATGAATTCGTTAAGACCTTCAAGTTCAGCTACAGTTTGGATAATTCTACGTTTGATATGTATAGAGAACAAAATGATACTGTTAAAGTAAGTGAAAAATAAGTGAGGCAAGTTAGGCAACCGCTTTTTCGGATCATCGTGTCTCAAAATGCCCCCCCCCCCCTATACTTGGTTTTTATTCCAAAAGTGTACCACATCGATTAGGCTAGCTAAAACTAGACTTAAAAATAGTGGGACGCCCACGCTGCAAAAACTTCAGCACAGGTATCTGATATAACTAAATTAACAATATATTGGACTAAGATAATGAGCAATTTTCTCAAAATTTTGAGTTTGTATACAACAATAGGGAGTTTAAGCTTGCAATGTTTTCACAACCTACACGTGAACGGAAAATATTTAAGCGATGCATATTTGTATGGGCGATTGGTCAAAGGTTTAGGTTGGCGTTTCGATTTTATATGCAAGCTTAAACTACTTAATCACTGGCCAATCCGCCAATGTATGTAACCGTGCCATTTCAGGTATTTTTGGGTAACACAGAAAAGATGTCCACCAAACTTAACACATTTTATCCTGGCGTTACTGCAAGATATGTTTGCCTTCATCCGTTGGAATGGAATGATGCTATTGCACTGCGATTTGATGTTCTTGCTTGTGAAATCAAAGGTATGTAAGCAGATTGCCTGTGGTAGCACCGCATATAATATATGTTTTCATTGCTACATTTTAATCAGCTACAAGCACTGATTAGCGTTCAATTGATTTTGGAAAAATCTGCGTGGTCCACTTTATTTTCTAACATTAAACTTATCCTTTAACTTTCCATGGATGTATAACTAAAAATGATATTATGCTGGTAAGATGTGGATATTCGATTATGGCTTTGTTATTGTTGGTGTTTTCTCCATCCTATCTATCACAATTTAAATCAAAGGTGCAACTAAGTAAAGGTGAAAGGTGCACATTTGAGATTTAGGTTTTATAAATTGCTCACAATTGTTCAGGTATACAATGTTTTTCACAATTCTGACTGTTGTTATCATAATGTTTTAATTTCCATGCTAATTTGTCTAACTTTTTCACAAATTATAGAAGGCGTGAATACATAGAGGTCATCCTATATGAGGTTCAGGATATTGGGATTATCCCGAGGCTAATATAATTTATCCTATGCCAAGTAGAGTTTTAGGAAGATAAGTTGGTAAGATATATCCCGTATCCTGATTTCGAGGTTTCCATATCCTGAACCTCCATATCTCCCGCCATATATCCCGCTCCAGGGCATATCTTCCCGCTTCGAAAAGAAATTGAAAAAATAAAAAAAATTGAAAAAATTGAAAAAAGTCAGAAAAATGTGAAAAAATTGAAAAAAATTTAAAAAATTGAAACAAGATTGAAAGAAAATTAGAAAACTCTACTTGGTATAGGATAAAGCAGTTATGTACGGTCGGTTTGGATATTGGGTTCATCCCTCGTGAGATATGCACATCTACCTTCGGTCCCTACGGTCCCTCGGGTAGATATGTATATCTCCCTCTGGATAAACCCCATATCCAAAACCTCCCAGTACATAACCCTTATATATCCGAGGGTAGATGGCCAAGGGATAATCCCAATATCCTGAACCGGCTATAGGAAGATATGTTTATCTCATACCAATCTTGGTCATCTGGGGGTCATTAACAGAACTTTCGCAAAGTTACGAAGTAACTTTATGAAATTCGTAAACATTTAAAAATGACTTGCGAATGGCGATTATACTATATCATCCCGCTGATGAAAATATAAGTTTTTACATGGATTTTACAAATCACGCCCAAGTATAGGATAAAGTCATGTTCGAATTTTGAGAGAACCTCCCTCCCAATGTCATTTGAACTAAGAGGAGATGCATGGTCACACAATTTATCATAGAGACTCTCTGAGAGTGACCAAAATTTCTTCTTTATATGCAATTGAATTGCATTCTCCTGTTTTATATGAAATATCAATGAAAAATTATGATGTAAATAAGAATCTTGTCATTGTTTTCTTGGATATTGAGGTGGTAATTTCAAAGAAAAATGTAAACATAAACACTAAGTTGAAACTAATAACGCATAATTATATACTGTTGGGTTGCTTAGACCACAAACGTTGTTGTTTTTGACCTTTAGATTGAAAATAGAAACCGATTGTCAAAACATTTTTTGATTAAAAAAGCATAATTGATTTCTTAATTTTACACCTTGGTGATGAAAGGGTTAATGCCCAATTTTGCATTCACTAAAATTCTAATGGAGGTCAGATTCTTAAAGCTGATACTTTCAGCTTTCCAACGGCGGAACCTTAGCGCAGAAGGGGTAATTTAAAAATCGAAAATTTATAATCGAATGTTTATATTCACAACACTTGCATTGCGTTAATATTCAAACATTTTGCACAGGTACATGAAGTGTGCAACACATTGCCACACCCATAACACGTCGTACAGACGGAAGTGGACGACATGTTTTGTACGAGGGGTGATCAGGAATTTCTGGACCGTTTGTTCTATTTTTGCCATTTTCTATCCTTTCTTTGTGATTTGTTCACACAATATAACTCAAATATAGAGGATCACACCCTGTCGATTTCATTGTTCTATGACATTATTATCCTATTATTTTTATTACCATGGTAACTGGTGACCCAACAAGGTGGAGCTCAGAAAAAATACCAAAATCAACAGTAATTTTATATAATGTTTGGACACTGTATTCATTGCTGAATATGTGAAATGCTGTAATATGTTGTATTATTTCATTAAGTATTTTCATTAATGTTCATAGTAGCTGTCATTATTCTTCATTAATTCTAATCCTTCAAAGAAGTTGCCAGCATTTTGTAAGCATTTGTTATGCCTTTTCAGTTTTCACCCAGTCCCAAAAGATGTGATACAGGCCATCTTTGCCTACTTTGTAACATGGTGTGTGAATTCTGGAATGATCTCATTACTGTCCTCAAAGTTGATACCTCGTAATTTGTTCTTCACTGTGGGGAAAATATAGAAATCATAGCCAGCTAAGTCTGGGGAGTACAGTGTGTTTGGTACACGGTCACAACCAATGGAATCAATCACAGTTTGTAGGAAAAGAGAGTCTGTATCACGTCTTTCAGGACTGGGTGAAAAGGCATAACAAATGCTTACAAAATAATGCTAGCTACTTTGAAGGATTAGAATTGACGGAAGAATAATGACAGCTACTATGGACATTAATGAAAATGCTTAAAGGCCCCGTGTAAAGTTTAAACCACTTTTGCTTATATTGTAGTCTTACCCAATGTTATCAAAGTGTGATATGTGAAACTTTTTTTTTTAATTTCAAAAAGTGGTTTTTGATAGACTTTTTGTTCCAAAATTTGTGAATTTATTTAAAACCAACTTTTAGAGGTCACTCATATCTTCTAATTAGCCTCAATTCATACCAATGCATAGCATTCATCCTCCCATGTTTTTTGCCGAAAAAATTAAGAAAATCGATTGATAAACAAGCGAGAAATGAACTTATAAGTGCATGAAAATGGTTCTGAGAAAAATGCATTTCAAAATTTTAGTTCTCATAGAAACCAATGGTACAATGATATCTAAAACATAATTTATTCTTCCTTTTAACCTGGTTAGACAATCAACATTGTTTTTTATGAAAGTCTAGCATATTTAGAAAAGATTGACATCGAAAAAAAAATTCAATTTTTTCAAAAAGTTTTTGTTACCTTAGTGACATCACTAATGTTTCAAAATATTTTTGATAAGCTAAAACATTGAAGTGGCCCATTAAATATGACATTTTATTATTGAAATAGTGTGTCTTTTGTTCAATCTTTGCATTGGTGTTAAAAAGATAATCTTTTTTGAAATGCATTAAGAAATATTTGATGATTAAGAAATTTCAACTTTTTTTGAAAAATCGCCGGAAATTTGAATATTTGAGAAATGAAATGCTCACAACTTTTTTTTCAAAAAATGTTTTTTGTTCAAAAATCTCTAAAATCACTTTTTAAGTCCTGGCAAATAGTAAATGAATGATAAACTTTAGACGGGGACTTTAATGAAATAATACAACCTACTACACTACATGTATGTCACATATTCAGCAATGAATACAGTGCCCAAACATCATATAAAATTACTGTTGATTTTTCAAATACAGTATTTTCCTGAGCTCCACATTGGTGCATCACCGGTTACCATGGTAACAAAAATAACAGGATAATGATGTCAAAGAACAGTGAAATATTCATGATGTGATCCTATATATTTGGGTTATATTGTGTGAAAAAATCACTAAGAAAGGATGAAAATGGCAAAAATAGAGCCAACGGTCCAGAAATTCCTGATCACCCCTCGTAAGTACAAACCTAGCGCCATTTATTTCAACGTTTTGACAGCATATGGGTCTTTCTCCCTCATAGAAACATCGCCCATGGTACGCAGAGATGCCTCAAATCACTACATCTCATATTTTTCTGAGCACGATCTAGAACTTTCTAGATTTTTTTGATATTTTTTCTTGATATATTTTTTATATATTTTTTTCCAGATATTTTTTTTAGATACTTTTTAGATATCAAATCTTCTAGAAAGCACGACATTTTCTTGAAAAATATTGTCATTTTTCAAAAAATCTATCATATTTCCTACATCTTGTATCGTCACGCAATAGTGACTAAATTATTAGTAAAATTATTACATCATCCAGACACTTCATTTTCCAAGACAAATGGAAGAATTCGGAGAAATCAATTTTCGTTGGAAAGCGTACGACTTGAAGGGTGTGTACGACACATACCGGTAATTGTTGCACATATGTCCTTCTTCTAAGTTAAAAAAAACACGTATTTAATAATGTGGATTTTCTATATTAATTTATGCTTCGTATACTTTTTTCATGTCTTTAAGACATGACATCTTAAATTGTTTGGAAGCTCCTCGAATTTCTATAGATTTTTGGACGAAGTAAAATTCTTAAAATACGCATTATCGGAATTACTCGCGATTAGGCCCACTGGGCGTTTATTTTGCCCAGGGCATTTATTTGAAAAAAACTCAATATAAACTCCCATGGGCCTTTTTTAAAAGGGGAAACAGTTTTCTAAGGGGATGGGCGTGTGCTAAGCTAAGAGGAGAGAAGGAACATATTTCAATGGAACTGTTGTTGAATGTCCTGCTCGTCGTACAACCCCTTCACTAAAATTCCTTTCTCTGAATTTATTCCATTTATTTTGGAAACAGAAGTGTCTCGAATCTCGATGATGTGTAATGAATTTAGATTAATAGTAAACTCAC